ACACCCAGATCGAACGGTCCTGATCAAATTTGCCTCCGAATTTGATACTCTCTGTCCCGACGGTGGATGCACGGAAATCTGGTAAGAATTTGGACATTGGTGTAGCTCTTACTCACACACTCTCTAGTAACACCATGTTAAACTGCGGCATCCATCCTTGCCCACTAAAATGTCATCAGATCTCAGACCATTCACAAATGCCATGTCAACATCCGTACTCGGACACGTGCCCTGTCAATCACAAGCTGAAGTGGAAATGCCATGAGTCAAAGCCAGACCCTTGTCCGGTTTGTGTCAAGGAAACCGAACGTGCTGAGGAGAAGCGAAAACGCGAGCTCGAACTGAAGCAGAAATTAGAAGAAGAGGAACTGCAACGTCAGATACAACGCGAACAGGAGCAGTTGGAACACGACTTACAAATGGCTGAGCTGAATGCTAAGTTTAAGGCGGAAATGGATGCGATAGCTGACGCCCAGGTTGCGCAGCAGCGAGCGAATGCCATGAAACAGAAAATCCAGGATATCGAGGCAGCCAGAGCCAATGCACAGAAGGCGGCTGCAGTTGCGCAGGCACATGCTGATGCCGCTCGTTCTGCTTCGTCATCCAGGACAACAAACCCCATACCTCCCACACCTTCATCCAATCCTCAATCAAATGTACCTCCGCCAAACCCTACTCCTCCGTCATCGCCGTCGCCAAACCCACCACCAAAAACGAAACCTCCGACCACCCAGACTCCTTCCAATCCTCAGCAACCGAAGCATCAACAACCCAAACCTTCATCGACGTCGCCGATGAATGCAGTACCTACGTCGGCTGCCCACCAGGATTGGTTGCATCAGAAGCAAGTCAACGGTGAAAAAAACAGCGCCATCGACGGTATCATGGAGTTGACAGGGCTTGAGGATGTGAAAGCCCAAGTGCTCCGTATCAAGGCCCATATTGACTTGATGAAACGGCAAGGCGTGCCTCTAAATAAGGAGCGTCTCAATCTGGTTTTGCTCGGTAATCCAGGAACTGGTGAGCAATCATCAAGTATCTAATGAATTAGCCGCTCATATTCCTCCAGGAAAGACCACAGTCGCGAGATTGTATGCACAGTTCCTTGAATCAGTGCAAGTCCTCCCGGGCGATGCGTTCCTTGAAACGACAGGTTCAAGCTTAGCGCATGAAGGGGTGGGCGGAGCGAAAAAGCTCATCGAAGACGCTATGAAGGTTGGAGGAGGCGCTATCTTCATCGATGAAGCATACCAGCTCATCAGCGAACACCAGCACACAGGAGGTCAGGTGCTGGACTTTCTGCTTGCTGAGATGGAGAACCGAGTGGGTACCCTCGTCTTCATTCTCGCGGGGTATAGCAAGCAAATGGAGAAGTTCTTCGAGCATAACCCTGGTCTTCCCAGTCGTGTTCCGTACTCTCTCAAGTTTGCAGACTACACCGACGCAGAACTTCTGACGATGCTGGAAGCACTCATTGAGAAACGATATTCGGGACAGATGAAGGTCGAAGATGGCATCAGGGGCTTATATGCTCGAATTGCAGTGCGTCGACTTGGACGCGGTCGCGGTCGCGAGGGGTTCGGAAACGCTCGTGCATTACAAAACATGTTTGCGAAGGTCGCCCAGAGACTAGCCGAGCGACTTAAGAAACAAAGCCAACAGGGGTGGATTACTGATGATTTTCTGATCACCAAAGAGGACTTCATCGGTCCTGACCCATCCCAGGTCCTTCCACAGTGCGCTCCTTGGGAGAAATTACAAAAAATGATAGGTCTTGATTCCGTCAAAGACTCTGTCCGTAATTTCTTTGACATTGTCGACACGAACTATCACCGAGAGCTTCAAGAGAAAGAGCCTCTTGCGATGTCTTTGAATCGTGTCTTTCTTGGCTCACCGGGAACCGGCAAAACGACAGTTGCGAAGCTCTATGGGCAAATACTCGCAGAACTAGGACTCTTGAGCAACAGTGAAGGTGATAATCCATACTTGTGTTATTGGCTGCCCGTTAAATGACGACATTCTATTAGTCGTTGTCAAGAATCCATCTGATTTTGTGGGCGCGTATCTTGGCCATACAGAGAAAAACACCAAAGCTATATTGGATAGTACCGTTGGTAAAGTCTTAGTTATAGACGAGGTATGCGACCCTAGATTCTAGCTGGTTATAATATTGATCTCGTCTGGTAGGCTTACATGCTGTATAGCAAGAATTCTGGATCCCAGGACCAATTCAAAGCGACTGTAATTGACACTTTGGTCGCAGAGATTCAAAGTGTACCTGGAGAAGATCGCTGTGTCTTGTTATTGGGATACAAAGAACAGATGGAAGAGATGTTCCAGGTATGCTCAAACATTCACTCGAATTTCTGGGTGTAAATTCTGATGTGTCTACTCAGAATGTGAACCCCGGGCTCGCTCGTAGGTTTGCCATTGAAAATGCATTCACTTTCGAGGACTTCACCGAGTCCCAATTGCGGGATATCTTGGACTTCAAGCTGAAAGATCAGGACCTTGAGGCCACCGACTCAGCGAAACAAGTTGCTAGTGATCTTTTGAACAGAGCCAAGAACCGTCCTAACTTTGGCAATGCTGGTGAGGTGGAGAACATGCTTGGCCTGGCGAAATCTCGCTATCAGAAACGTCAGGCATCAATCCCTCCCGATCAACGTTCCGATGTAATCTTCGAGCCTCAAGACTTTGATCCGGATTGGGATCGTGATCGCAATGCTGCAGCCAATTTGACAAAACTCTTTGAGGATCTTGTTGGTTGTGACGACATCGTGACGAAGTTGGGCAACTATCAAAAAATTGCTCGTGCGATGAAGGCTACTGGTGTGGATATGCGCAAACAAATTCCAACGAGTTTCATTTTCAAAGGACCCCCAGGTAAGTAACAATTCCTTATCCGGAGCGGAATGTTGATGCTTTACTTATCCCCAGGTACTGGCAAAACAACCATTGCGAGGAAGTTTGGCCAGGTGTATTATGATATGGGATTTCTTTCTTCATCTGACCTTATCGAGTGTTCTGCTTCCGACCTCGTAGGCCAATACGTGGGTCACACCGGCCCAAAGACGAAGAAACTTTTCGAGAAGGCCTTAGGCAAAGTACTATTCGTGGATGAAGCGTACCGGCTTAGTAACGGGCATTTTGCGCAAGAAGCCATCGATGAGGTCGTCGGCCTCATGACCAACGAGAAGTTCATGAACAAGATGGTTATCGTTCTTGCAGGCTATGAGAAAGAGATGAACACTCTTTTGAGTGTCAATCCGGGTCTCGCCAGTCGTTTCTCTGAAGAAATCACTCTGACCAACATGACGGCGGCCAAGTGTCTTCAAGTGCTCGACAAGGAATTGCAAAAGACGCAGATTGTCTTGTCCGAGCTAGCTGATACCACTTCTTCTGCTTACTCGGAGATGGAGACTATAGTTGACCGGATGTCACGCTTGTCGAACTGGGGGAATGCCCGAGACGTCAAAACCATTGCCCAGAGGCTTGTCCATCATGCATTCAATGCTGTAGCAAATACTCCCGGGAGTAACCCATCACTCACTGCAGATGAGGCGATAGCTATCATGAAGGACCTACTCAATCAGCAGCGCCAGCGGTTGAATATTCCACGTATAACCACTTCATCCCCGTCAGGCAAACTGCCGATGGCATCGTCCAGCAATTCAGCCCCTCCTCCGCCCCCTTCTCAATCCGGGTCTTCTTTCGCAACCAAGGGATCTCGACCGCCTAAACCACCTTCTCAAAAGAGCTCTTCTTCCAATCAGTCGCCGCCAAAGCCTCCTCCGAAATCAGGGCCGTCCTCCACACCGGGCGGATCCCACTCACCTAATAAGCCACCCCCACGCCCCAGTGCACCATCTAGCACATCGCGTCCGAAAGTTCCGCCACCCCCATCATCAACTCCCTCGTCTGCTGCACAAGTCACTCCAAAAACGACTCCTCGTCGCCCAAGGCAGCCCAGAGGTTCTCAGCAGGCGTCGCCTGCATCATCCAGTTCACGCAGTCTGCCTCCTTTCTCTATTTCAGGTGCCCAAACTGCTTCTCCTATTCTTTCACAAGGCAGTATCCCGCCAATTCCAGATCAGCGACGGAAAAACATGCAGTTACCAGTTCAAAGCGCCCCGCAGCCCCAGTCTACCAATGATGTTCAGCGTGACCCAGGAGTTGCTGATGCTGTCTGGAAGCGGTTAGAGGCAGATAAAGCAGCGGCGCAGGAGGCAAAAAGGAAAGCAATCGAGGAGATCAAGAGGCGTGACGCTGAATTGAGTAGAGCTGCTCAAAGGCAACAAGCTGCGGAGGCTGCAGCTCGAGCCCTCGCTCAGCAGAAGGCACGAGACCAGGCTGAGCAAGAAGAACTCAGGCGCCAGCAGGAGGCGATTCGAATTCAAGAGGCGGAGGCAAAAGCAGCGAGGGAGAGAGCTGCTGTTGCACTCTGCCAGATGCGTCTGGAGCAAGAGAGGAAGAAACGTGAAGAAGAGAAGATACAGCAGAAGTTGAGAAATCTCGGCGTCTGCGTGCGAGGCTACCAATGGATTAAACAACCATCAGGTTACCGTTGTGCGGGTGGCAGTCATTTTATTCACGATTCCCAGTTGCGCTAGTTCCACGTCGATTCTACATACAGTAGGAATTTCTTTAGATTGCGTCTTTGAATCACGGCACTCTGTTCGATTATGACTTCATGATCATGACGAGTAAACTGTCACACGGATCTTCCCAATGTTCAATATGCATCGTTGTACGCGATACTCTGCGAGCATATTTGAAGAGGTTCCGCTGAATTGATTTCACAAGCAAGATTGGGACCTTCATTGACGCTAACAATACCCGCGCACAGCACTAACTCAGAAAATGAGCATGAGGGGTACATTGTATCTAACTATTCCTCCCAATTGAACCAAATGTACCAGTCCTAATCCAAGTGTTGATGCAGAGTTTGACAAGAGCTGCTTATTGTTGGTAGTGCTCACATTAGATAGTTCCGCTGGTCATAGATTTCCGTACACGACCTCCCCATCGATGACAGTTGCTGTCCCTTTGGCACTCGGGATATCATCTATAGGCACCATCATAATCTCACGGTCCAGAACGACGAAATCAGCTATCTTCCCGATGGAGAGTGAACCAAGAATATCCTCAGAGAAAGATGCATATGCAATATCGAGGGTCATGCCTTTTGAATGCTTCAGCATGCGTGAGGCGCTCGGATGGGTACCTAGAAAAAGAGTGTAATCAATAACTTTCGGATCAGCGAATTTCATTATTCTCCAGGACCATGAGGCGAGTCACCTGTTACAGAAAGTCATGAAGAAACCAAGATGCCCTCGACAGGGAAGTCAGAGCCAAGGGGCAAGACTCTGGTTGGAGACGCACTGTGAGGTATCAGTTCCAGCTCGATACAAGGCGGGAAGAAAAGGTAACTTACTTGAGTAGAGTTCGATACGCATACGCGCCTTTGATTCTCTTTGAATCCTGTAGGAACCTAGCGTGATGTGTTCTAAGTCGGATGAAAGAAGGAAACTTACCAATCGATCCTCAGCATGCTACATGTCACTTGTCCTGTAAGGCGAGATATATCAGTCAGGTGGTAGGAAATGCCTATCGATGAACTCACGCATGGGTTGGTTGCACACTAGGAATCACTGGAATCATATACCACCGACAACGCGAACTCAAGGTAAGAACCGGACCTCTTACCACAATCTTACCACCTAACTTTCCAGTTCGCTTGATATTATCTAGTATCAATATTTGCGTGTGCTTAATACGGGGTTGCAAAACGTTTATGGAAAACGAAGCGTTGGCGAGCATATCCTCATAAATGTCAAGTACGATATGATTCGCCCGGTCGCCAATGCCGTGGACGTTCTAGTGGTGAGGGTCAAATAGGTGAGCTAGTGCAAGCATGAAAGAAGATCATAAACATCGGTCACTTACAACTTGCCAACCATCGGTCGAAAACTCCATTACTAGCTTTGTCAGTGCTTCCGGCCGCACGCGCATGATACCGCTCGTTGATGGATTATCACTATACTGAGATCTTTTATATCAGCACGTCCATGCTCGAACGGTAATATGAGTGGGTGTTCACGGACTCAAGCAGTGCAGCGCCGAACGAACCAAGCGCACCTATTCATTGAGATCAATATAAACACAAAAAATCAACTCGAACAGGACCGACCATCTGCGAAAAGTTTGACGCTGCACACTATCCATCGTCCACCGAATCCGTGCTGGATCAGTCTTGGAATCTGGCTTCCCCAGTACTCATCAGAGTTTACACTGCCCATGAAATAAAGCCGGAGCTGGTGCGCGTGTCAGTAAAGTGCTACACTCAAGGAGACAAAGAGCTGACAGGTATCTTCTGAGTCTCTGAAAGTCTAGAATACAATTAATCCAATATTTTGGAGAAAGGATGTGTCACGTACTTCCTGTAGAACTGTATTTCTTCAGGGACAGAAAATGCGTCGTGCACGCTAGTCAGACCCACCACGAGCGCGTCACTAGTAGTGCGAGTGAAGTACTCCATCGCACGGGTTTCGCTGAAGGGTGGTGAGGGAATGCGATCCATAGCGTTATCAACGAATATTCCTGTGATTCCATATAGGTTTCAGACAAGGAGGTACTACCTCAAGAACAGAACATCTGAAGAAGAGAAACACACCAGTGAGTTTTCCGTGCTCATCGCGAATAATCAGCCCGCCATCGATGTCCTCCCAGGAAGGGGTACCATGAGCTGTAGCACGCGGTTGGATGCCCAGGAGACGCGAACATCAATACGGGCGAGAGGTATCCGTCGACCACGAAGAAGTGGTTCCCTGCCAAAGTCGTCCTTTGAGGTTGTGAGAAACTGCGAAGAGAAAGTAAACACAGACATACGGCATAAGGGTATTGCGCTCCAGGCCATTTATTCTGGTCCCATCCCATGCCCTCTATCCATCGAGTTGGATCGCCCAGAATGTCAGGATGTGATGTAACATAAACTTTCAAGTGGCTCGAGGACTCTTTCATGCCGCATCAGTAAATTGACTACATAATCAGTTGGAACAAATACTCAAGAGAGGTACAGTTTCCCAAGTTGTGATTCATCTTAGAACCATATGAGCATGGGCATCTTCAAGGGTCGAGAATGAGGGCTCGAAATTTGAACTCGAGTTGGCGATTTGTACCAGTCAGCCCAGGAACTACGATACTACCAAGTTGAACGTTTATCACCCTGAGAGATGACTCGAGAAAATTGAATGGCAAAGGTAAGTGAATGACGCCCGCCAGCAGTTGTGGGTTTTCCGTTCCACTGAGTAAAACAAAGGTAACTCCGCTAATTATAAATTTTATCATGTCACCACTCACATGCATCACTGAGTCTAATGGCTGTACTGTCACTGAACATTCACACTAGCACTCACTGTGAGTTCTGTTTTATACATTCCGAAGTTTTTCAAGGCAGACTGGTCCAGTGGATAATTCAAGTTGCGGTGGACCTTGACACACACAACCGACCCTGAATCAGACTCTAGCTGTCCAAACGAATGGTCACTGGCGTTGAGACAACATTGAGCAATGAGCGCTTGCCCTAGAGCACCTTGGCCAGGGTATCAAACCAAGCCGCATAGTACTACCTATATGATACCTTCGCGATCCTTATCAATCAAGTTCCAGGCCTGTATTACTACAGACCGACGGGCTCGGACCTTCTTGAGCGCTCTCTGGGCGCCCGAGTCACATGTCCAACTGGGTGCGCATGGTACTAACTGGTGCTTGCGCAGATCCTGTTTGTTGTTCTTTCGATCACACGTGCCCTTACTACGAGTCTTAACCCTCAAAGTCCAACCTAACCTAACCTATTTGTGTTATCATTCATTCTCAGTCCACACTACCACCCATACCACTGCCGCCGCTGAAGGACACTCGAAAAATGTCTGATCGACGAGCTGCCTTGCTGACCAAACGGTTTTATGATGTTCTCAAGGGCAAAGTCCCTATCGAGCCACGAACCTGTCACTTATTTCTCGATTCTATATGCTCCCAACCGGATGTTGCGTTATGCGTAAGCAAGATAGTGGGAGAATCAAAAGGACCCTCTGCTGTGCAGGAGGCGATGCGACTGGACTTGTCAGCAGAGTTTATGAATGGCATTGGTGCTGACGTTCTTGTATACCTCCTCCAGGCCACGAACATCAGCAGCAATGTACTGGATCACCTGCTTGTTCAGATAGTTGAACCAGATTTTTTCTGGTCGGCGTTTAGTCATGCTTTTACTCAGGGAGAGCTACTCGAAAAAGCTCAACGTGCCTTCGCTGGCCTCCTCCTTCGGCTGTTGAACCTCTCCAACCACGACACAATACCCTATCTCGAACTAGCTGGCAGGCCAAACGTGCTTCCAAAACTTACAAGCTCTGCAAACTTGGAGGTCCGGCTCATCGGAGAGAAGATCAAGCATATTCTTTCGACATATTGCTCCTCAGCTCCTCCCTCAGCTGCCCATGGCCCAGGCGGACGACATGACAATGATCATGTCAATTTTCGCGAAATCGCTATCCTTCCCACAGCCGACGAAATTAGATGCAAACAGCTACCATTCTTGCGCCACAGCTCAGAGTTAGAAGATGAATCCGGAGAAAGTACGCGTACTGCGGATTACCTCGACAATACATTTCGCCTTCTTCGCGAAGACATGATAGCAGAAATGAGAGAGGAACTTGAAACGCTAGAGGGAAAGAGCGCCAAACGCCGCCGTGCCAACCTGATAGACGGTGTTATACTCAAAGGCGTTTACCATGGCACTGATGATCGGAAGGTGCTGTGGGGAATAACATTGGAGTGTGTCGACGACCTGCCATCTCTGAAGCATATCCCCCCGAAGGACAGAAAAGCGTATCTCACAGATGATCATGCTGGCTCCAAGATCCTTCGTCACCAATCACTCGTCTGTGTGGTGGTTGATAAGGAAGTGGTTGGCTTTGGCACTGTGAACCGAGTTGAAGATCTCTTGATTCGCAGCCCCCCTGTTATCGTTATCCAGCTGGACGGGCGGGCGAGTACAAGCAGAACGATTCTTCGGCTCCGCAATGCCAAAGACGCGAAGCTCCTCCAGATTGACACTGCTCTTTTTGCTTTTGAGCCGGTGCTCAAGGCATTGCAGAAGACGCAGTACATCCCAGTATCCGATGAACTGCTGTTCTGGAAGCTCGGTGTCACTCTGCAGAATCCCCCACAGATGGCGGACCATGTTATCACAGCCATCGAAGCTAACCATTCCGGAAACTTGCAGCACTTGCTTCAGACTCCCGATCCTATACATTTAGATCGCTCGCAAGCCTTGTCTATACTTTCTGGCCTGACTCAGAGGGTATCTTTGATACAGGGACCTCCAGGTATGTCTTTTGACACTGGATGCTAAGTAAATGCTTATGTGGTGGCCGGTCAGGGACCGGAAAGTCGTTCGTGGGTGCCCTCTTAGCCAAAGCTCTACACGACTTCACCGATCAGACAATTCTCGTTGTCTGTTATACTAACCATGTTCTGGACCAGTTTTTAGAAGATCTTCGCAAAATTGGCATTCCTGATAACAATATGGTTCGACTTGGGGGAAGAGCCAAACCGCAGCTAGCGCATCTCAATCTTTTTAGTCCTGGTCAGAGAACGTCCCAGGCTCCACGGACTAAAGCAGATTGGACGATGATCGATGAATTCAAGAGCAGACTCAAATACCTCTGTGGTCGCCTTGACAGCTCTGTCGTGGAGTTCATGACGAACAGGATTCGTTATGAGGATATCCTAACGCATATCGAGTTCGAAGATGAGGCTTATTTTGAAGCTTTTCGGGTTCCCAAGTCAGATGATGGCATGGCTGTTGTAGGCAGCAGAGGTCGAGAGGTCGACCCAACGTATCTCATCGCACTATGGGAAAGAGGCCGTGATGCGGGTATCTTCAAAAACGCACCTCACTTGAAGACGGAGGAATCGGCTCGCATTTGGACTACACACTTACCTGTCCGTCAGAGCTTGTTGGCAAAGTGGAAGCATGATCTTCAGAAGCAGATGGTAGAAGATATTGGCACCGTTGGCAGAGACTACAACAATTGTCAAATAGATCTCACTCGGAAGTTTGGCGAGTCGTTGGTCGCAACCCTCAAGGAGAAAAGGATCATTGCATGTACAACAACAGGTGCCGCCAAATTTACTGAAGATCTTCGAACTGCTGCTCCCGACGTTGTCCTTGTGGAGGAGGCTGGGGAGATTTTGGAAAGCCATATTCTGACTGCTCTTGGTGAAAACACGAACCAACTGATCCTCATTGGAGACCACAAGTAAGCATACTTTCGATCACCGCCTTCAGCGCCCTATTCTGAGTCGTCAATTTAGGCAACTAAGACCGAAAATCAAGAGCTATGCCCTACAGGTCGAGAGTGACCAAGGATATGACTTAAACAGGTCGCTTTTTGAGCGCCTTGTTCTAAAAGGATTTCCTCATGCTACTCTCACCGAGCAACATCGTATGCGGCCTGAAATCTCTACACTTGTGCGCGAACTCACATATCCCGAACTCACCGATGCCGCAAGCACTCACGGCCGAGCTGATATTCGTGGCATCCAAGATAACATCATCTTCGTCAACCATGCGCACCCTGAGGACAATGACGGCAGAGTCAGCGATCGCAGCGATCTTGGTTCCGTGACTTCAAAACAAAACTCTTATGAAGCCGGCATGGTTCTGAAGATCGTCCGGTACCTCGCTCAACAAGGTTATGGGACAGATAATATTGTCATCCTAACGCCTTATCTTGGACAGCTCTCAAAACTTCGGGAAGCTCTCAAGGCAGACAATGACCCTGTGTTGAATGACCTCGATTCTTATGACTTGGTTCGTGCTGGGCTGCTCTCTCCCGACGCTGCAAAGTCATCCAAAAGGAAGATCAGGCTCGCTACAATAGGTATAGATTCCATCAGAACGAATACCTAACGTTCGACTGACTGGAGCAGACAATTATCAGGGAGAGGAAAGTGATATCGTGGTTGCTAGCTTGACACGATCAAATCCTGATGGCGCTATCGGCTTCATGAAGTCCCCTGAACGTCTGAACGTCCTCTTGTCTCGGGCCCGTGATGGTCTCATTCTCATCGGCAATATGAACACGTTCCAGAGCAAATCCCCCCTTTGGAATCGTCTGTTCGATCTTCTCAGACAGGCAGCACACATCTATGAAGGGTTCCCCGTTAAATGCGAGCGCCATCCTGTGCGGAAGGCCATTCTGCGAGATGCTAAGGATTTCGACGATCAATGTCCAGATGGAGGTTGTGCGGAGCCCTGGTGAGTGTCCTTTCAACAAATTTCAGTGAATCTCACCGACCTTGGTCCTTTAGTGGTACCATGCTCAGTTGCAATGTGCACCCTTGTCCTTCAAAGTGTCATCAACTTTCCGATCACTCCAAAGTACCTTGTCAACAGCCGTTATTTGGGAAGTGCGTGGTAGGCACTCACAAAGTTTCATGGAAGTGTCATCAAGGGCCTCCCTTAAAATGTACTCCATGCGAGAAGGATGCAGAGCGAACTGCAAAGCAGTTGCTGCGTGACGCAGAACTCCAGCAAAAACGTGACGCCGAGCAAGCTGCTCATGATACCCGAATGGCTGAACTGGATGCGAGGCTTAAAGCCAAGGTAGAAATTGTTGCAGATGCCAATATTGCGAAGCAGAGAGAGGCTATGCTCAAGCAGAAGGAGCGAGAGATTCAAGAGGCAGAAGTCCGCGCGCAGAAGACAGCAGGTTCCTCAAAAGACGGCAGTGTAAATGCACCCAAAACAACAACCGCTCCCTCACAGCAATCTTCACATCCCTCGTCTACTCCTTCACAGCCTCCAGACAGCCAACAAAGCTCTGCTGCTCGCGATGACTGGGAGTCGCAGAAGAGGCATTTGGGCGAGCAAAATGACGCGATTGACATTATTATGGCGATGACTGGACTGGAAGGAGTGAAGTTGCAAGTTCTACAAACCAAGGAGAAGCTAGACTTGATGAGACGCCAAGGAATACCGGTAAACAAGGAGCGTCTGAATCTTGCGCTCTTGGGAAATCCAGGGACAGGTAGGAGCCTTTCGCTTAATCTTTTCGTGCTGATACAAATTTTTCTGCAGGGAAGACAACGGTTGCAAGACTGTATGCCCAGTTTCTCGAATCGATACAAGTACTTCCAGGAAGCGCATTCAAGGAAACTACAGGAGCGAGCCTGGCTCATGATGGTGTAGGTGGTGCAAAGAAGCTCATTGAGGACGTTATGAAAGTTGGCGGTGGTGCCATATTCATCGACGAGGCCTATCAACTGGTTAGCGCACAGGGCGGGTCTGGCACAGATGTTCTGGACTTCTTGTTAGCAGAGATGGAGAACCGCGTTGGAAGTCTTGTTTTCATCCTTGCCGGTTACAGCCGTCAGATGGAGAAATTCTTCAGTCACAATCCAGGTCTTCCGAGCCGTGTGCCTCATAGATTTACCTTCGAGGACTACACTGACGAAGAACTCCTCGATATGCTTGCTGATCTGGTGGAGAAACAGTATGGAGGCAGGATGAAGGTCGAAGAGGGCATCAAGGGTCTTTATGGTCGAATCGCAGTCCGACGCCTAGGTCGTGGCCGTGGCCGCGAAGGGTTTGGCAATGCCCGTGCACTGCAGAATATGTTTGCGCAGATACGTCAACGACAGGCTGCGAGGGTAGGAAAAGAGCGCAAAAACGGATCATCACCGGATGATCTCATGCTCGTGAAAGAAGATCTCATTGGTCCCAATCCAGACTCTGTTCTTCCGCACTGCCCTTCCTGGATAAAGTTGCAAAAACTCACTGGTCTTAAATCCGTGAAGCAATCTGTCAGCAACCTCTTCAACCTCATTATGGCGAACTATCATCGCGAGTTGGCAGAAAAGCAGCCTCTCGATATGGCCCTCAATCGGGTTTTCCTGGGCTCCCCAGGCACCGGCAAGACCACTGTCGCCAAACTCTATGGTCAAGCACTGGCAGACCTAGGACTTCTCAGTAACGGTGAAGGTTCGGTGCTCTGTTGAAGAATATTTAAGGATCATTACCTGATTACCGTCTTTAGTTGTGGTGAAGAATCCTTCAGATTTTACCGGGCAACATCTCGGGCAATCTGAACAGAACACTAAGGCCATCTTGGAGAGTACTGTCGGAAAGGTCCTGGTCATTGACGAGGTGGGTATATCTGTTCGCCTTCGACTTGTGGTTCTCAGCGCCTCGCTAGGCATACATGCTGCACAGCAAGAATGGTACCCAGGACCCCTATAAGACCGGCGTTATTGATACCATGGTTGCGGAGATACAGAACGTACCAGGGGATGATCGTTGTGTCTTGTTATTGGGATACAAGGAGCAAATGGAAGACATGTTCAAGGTAGGTGCACGACATCATGATCAAAAGCTCGCTCTGACACATGAATCAGGATGTTAATCCCGGCTTTGCTCGGCGCTTTGCGATTGAGGACGCGTTCATGTTTGAAGACTTCACTGAGCCTCAACTACAGGAAATCTTTGAACGCAAGCTAAAAGACCAAGACCTCGGTGCAACAGATAAAGCCAAGCAAGTAGCGCTTGGTCTTTTGAGCCGAAGAAAGAACCGTCCGAACTTTGGGAATGGAGGGGAAGTGGAAAACATGCTGACCTTTGCAAAAGACCGATATCTAAAACGGCAGGCATCGCAACCTTCCAATCTGTCTCTGGACATCGTCTTCGAACCAGAAGACTTCGATCCTAATTGGGACCGTGATCAGCACGCTGCAGCAAACTTGACTCAGTTATTTGAAGATATGGTTGGATGCGAAGCTGTTATCCAGAAGCTGGGAGATTACCAGAACATGGCGCAAGGGATGAAAGCATCGGGACTGGATATGCGCAAGCAAATACCCACTAGCTTTATCTTCAAGGGCCCACCTGGTAATAAAATCATGTCCGAAGTTGTCCAAAGTTGATGCCTTCTCTTCAGGAACCGGAAAGACGACCATCGCAAGGAAATTTGGTCAAGTCTATTATGACATGGGCTTCCTCGCATCTACAGAACTTGTAGAGTGTTCCGCATCGGATCTCGTTGGCGAGTATGTTGGCCAAACAGGTCCCAAGACGAAGAAACTTTTCGAGAAGGCCGTTGGAAAAGTCCTCTTCGTGGATGAAGCCTATCGACTCAGCCAAGGCAATTTTGCGCAGGATGCCATTGACGAAGTCGTAGGGCTAATGACCAACGAGAAGTTCATGGGTAAGATGGTCATCATCCTGGCAGGATATGAGAAGGAGATGAATCAACTTTTGGGCGCGAACCCTGGACTTTCTAGTCGGTTTTCCGAGGACTTCATTCTGCCGAATATGTCGCCAACCCGATGCCTCGAACTGCTTGACAAGGATCTGCGTGATTCGAAGGTTGTCATTCAAGGGCTATCTGATCCATCATCATCACTATACGAGGAGATGCTAAACATCGTCGCTGATATGGCGAGCCTCGAAAATTGGGGTAATGCACGTGATGTAAAATCTATTGCGAAACGGTTGGCTCGCCCTGCATTCATCTCAGCTGGGAAAGCTCCAGGGAGTTCACTGGCCGTTTCATCAGAAGACGCACTGCGTATCATGAGAAATCAACTCTCTGAGCAGCAACAACGTCTCAACTTACCAAACAAGACGGTGCCATCAGCACCTAGTGTCCCACAGATGGCTATGTCAAGAAACACCGCTCCTCCTCCTCCTTCAATTTCTCAGAGTGTGTCCCATGCAGCTCCTCCAAAGCCTCCCGCTCCCAAGCCACCTCGTAAACGAACCCAGCAGAAACCTAAACCCCCCACCAGCGAGCCACCTCCGCCAGACACCACGGTATCATCTCAGGTCAGTGTCACACTACATAAGACAGCGAAGAGATTGCTCAAACAAAGTCCATCGCTTGCCCAGACAAATGACGAGGTGCAACGGGATCCTGGTGTAGATGATGCTACTTGGACGAGGCTGCAGGCGGACAAAGCAGCTGCGGAAGCAGCCGAAAAGGATGCTGCTGAAGAGTTGCGCATGCGCAATATTGCGCAGCAGAATGCCCTGAACGAGCTGCGAGCTTCAGAAGCCGCTGCACGAAAACTAGCGCAGAAAAAAGCGAATGACAATGCCGCCAACGAGGAACTCATGCGCCAGCGAGAGGCCGCTCGTATCCGAGAGCTAGAGGCTAAGGCCGCTCGAGAGAATACCTTGGCCGCGCTGAAGAAGCAGCAGGAAGAGGAAGTGAGGAGGAGGCGCGAGGAGGCTCAAGTACAGCAGAAGTTGCGGGAAATGGGTGTGTGCGTTGCAGGCTTTCGCTGGATCAAGCAGTCGCACGGTTATCGATGTGCTGGTGGTGCCCATTTCATTTCGAACGACCAGCTAGGCATCTAGGTTGGATTCAACGAATGGCAAACCCACTGGGATGGGCTTACGTACCGTTAGGCTGAAAGTTGCTTCTACTCTTGTTTGTATGCTTTGAACTCGATCGCTCCACTGTAAAGTTACTGTTAATCCGACGAATCAACTTTAAATCCAGTGTTACCTGATTTAACATGACCGTAGTGATATCATCGAGACCTTGAGTATCTCATCGAGGAAACGTTAGCATAGTTTGCATTGTGTAAAGACTGGCTTGAGATATCCACCGTCGAGCACAAAATTTGTGATTAAGGCTTCAGTCAATACTTCGAAGTATCTTACATGCATGGCTCAGAGAAGTTTCCAAGATTGCAAGGCAGAACAAGATTCGATTATCATGCATGTAGATCTAGCAGTGCTCGAAGTAGAGGGGCTTCTGATGATACTATCAGAGGCACGATGTCTGTTGTAGTACCAGAGGACCCGATCAATGTGCGTCGTAACGCTTGGACCGCCGTTGACTACACTAAAAGGGCTCAACACCGGAAGTTGAAGGGCACGACGAACAGGTCGAACGATCGCAAACTATAAAGAGCAAGCGTCAATGTGATTTGTAGCATGTGGAAATAATGACTGACTACTAACATACATCCTGCAGCCTGTCTGTCGCTGAGCCTTCCACTAGGTGAGACTTGACCGACTCTATGGCGTGTATGCGTATCTAGACGGATAGAGGAGGTACGAGTTGAAGTGTTCAAATGAGAGCATCGGAAATCCAAGTTGAATTTGGTTTGCTAGAAATCAATGAGTTGGTCTTCTTCTTGACATCGAAGCTGAAAGTGGATGCAGTATGCAGGTGGCAAGTTTGAAGTTTAAAACTTGAAGTTAGTCGTCGGATTAGTCGTCGGAGTTGGAATAGAACCGTATGCACTTTAAGGACCACATGTGCAATGACATACGGCGAAAATAGAATGTTGAATGACTGCGTATTTTCATTCGTCTCCTAGGGCCAATATCCTTGGCATAAGCACCGGATTTTGGTGCTGCATGATGGGTGGGAGCTCATTCAACGTCCTCACATAATTCAGACATTCGACTATCACGTCCATCGCAAACTGTGTCTTGCCACATTCAGTACTTCAGTGCACATGAGCGATCACCTGTGAGGCAGCAAAGTGGAAGATAAAAAATTAAGTCAAAATCGAGTGTACATATCCTGTAGGTTTACAATCTCAAAGTCTGAAATATCGAACTCCTTGGCAAGTAACAGATTGTGCGTGGCTCTGACTGGACGCTACATGGGAAGTCGTCAGAATGCTTTAATCAACAAGGTGGGAGGACGCACGGAATTGATTATATGCCAATATGCACGAACACTATGCGCTGGTCCAAGGGCATATCCGTGTCACAAGCCAACGACTGGACCGCTCGGTGCAGCGCCCGGGCAGCTCGTTTGGAATTCATTGTGCCGTCCCCGCACAAGTTTTTATAGAATGCCTCGACTAAGCGGTGCACGGTACTATCGTTGACTTTCCATAATGTCCCAATGACGCTCTTAACCCCGGCAAATTGCAGGCCAGCCGCTAGGTGTATTACTTCATCAGGAGTATCATCGTCACCCACTGCAGTTTCACAGGCAGAAAGAAATGCAAATTGATGCCGAGACAAATCCATTTGTGTGATGTCGAGGAGCGATAGCGGCTGGTCGCGCATAAGAAAGGCCGACTCGAAGGGTTCGACAATATTCTGTGTCCCGTGACACGCTAGATGGAGCCAAGCATTGTCTCGCAACGCGCACAGTGCTCTCGATTTTGTGGCATCAGCACTGGTTATCTTGGAGAAGGAAACAGTTGGGGGAGAGGGTAAAAGGCTCCGCACCAACTCCAGCTCAGGCTCCACAGCATCCAAAGTGAATGCGGCACCGGCTGGGAAATCCTGACCAATGGCAACGAAGGGCACCGACGGGGACCTGTCATGACTTTCGCGAGCCTTGATCAACGCGGTGAGTGATGGTGTATATGAAGAGATGTACTGCTGCGAAAGGGAATGTCCCTTTGCCTTGTATTCGCCAGCAGCATGCAATGGCAGGAAATTGAAGAGGGACGTTGGGCACCACCATATTCGGGAACCTCGTCGTGCAATTCCGCCCAGACTTTCGACCACCGGGCCGACCACGTCATCCCACAACTCTCTCAAAGCTTTTATGAGCGCTGTTTGGTTCCCTTTAGGACCAGCCTCTTTTTCAACTGCCGCTCGGAGTGCCATTACCAATTTGATGAGTTTCAGCAAATCGGTAGGGAGTTGAATGCTAGTCGGAGGTTGCTTGTGCGGGATGATAATGGCGTGGCACGACGACTTGCTTGCGATGAGCACAATGATGAGCCCATCACGAGCTGCATCTTGAAGATCGGAGAATAAGGGGGGAAGGAGGAAGCGAGAGAAGCCCTCGATTTTCCGGATCTCGTCTACAGCTCTATTCCAGTCCTGCACTAGACGTCTGTACCGAGTTCCCTCTGCTTCCACATCGACTCTCTGGTTTCCTTCTGGACTCTTCGCAGGAGGTTTATCGAGGAGGGAGCTGAGGTCTCTGAATCTCTGCATCAGGGCTACTGCATGATCGCCGTGAGTCTGCAGGCTGTCAAGAGGGGTGCGGAGTCGTGTCATCTGGGTCCAGATGATGGTCCTGCCTTGTTCCAACAACTCAACAGCGCGACACACATCACCACTGCGAAGAGCACACGATGCAGCATCAGTGGCAAGTGTACTTGGGAAGTCCTTCATAATATTGTGGCGAGACGATACTGAAGCTGTTGTAGACATGTAAGCGTCCAGAAGTTGCATGGAAGTTGCATATGCCTCCAGGTCAGTGGCATGTGAATATTGACGAGCATCCCGAACCCAACTTAGACTTGCCCGCAAGCGGGATAGCAAGCCTGCAGAGTCAACATTGGCTGCTGCCTTGAGGTGATACATGGCGGCATTCAGACTATCACTATCATCACCTGTGACGGTGTCGTCAAGGCCTGAACGGTGGAACGACATATAGACCTTAGCCAGCGAGCGGTGAACTAGTAATTGAAGAGGATGATGTTCCGTCAACACAGTCAATGCATATCGTAGATGCTCTCGTGACTCATCAAGGTCTTTGTCATTGCCTCGGCAGTCAAAGCGGGAGGAGAGTCGATTTGCGAGGTTGCATAATGACGCGAGCCGATCTGTGTGACCGATCGGGCACAAGGCCAGTGCTTCCCTGTGAAGTGCGATAGCCCTGTCCAAGTCTTCGTCGTTGCCTCGGTGCTCAAAGCGGGAGGAGAGAAGAATCGCGAGGTTATTTAATGACTTGGACCGATCTGTGTGACCGATGGGGCACAGGGCCAGTGCTTCCCTGTGAAGTGCGATAGCCTGATCCAAGTCTTCGTTGTTGCCTCGGTGCTCAAAGCGGGAGTCGAGTCGAGTCGCGAGGTTATTTAATGATACGGACCGACCTGTGTGACCGACGGGGCACAAGGCCAGCGCTTCCCTGTAAAGTGCGATAGCCCCATCCAAGTCTTCGTCGTTGCCTCGCTGGTCAAACCGGGAGGAGAGGAGAGTCGCGAGGTTATTTGATGACGTAGACCGACCTGTGTGACCGACGGGGCGCAAGGCCAGCGCTTCCTTGTGAAGTGCGATAGCCTGATCCAAGTCTTCGTCGTTGCCTTGGTGCTTAAAGCGGGAGAAGAGTCGATTCGCGAGGTTATTTAATGACATAGACCGATCTGTGTGACCGATAGGGCGCAAGGCAAGAGCTTCCCTGTGAAGTGCGATAGCCTGATTCAAGTCTTCGTCGTTGCCTCGCTGGTCAAAGCGGGAGGAGAGGAAAGTCGCGAGGTTATTTAATGACACGGACAGATCAGTGTAACCGACCGGGTGTAAGGCCAGCGCTTCCCTCTGGAGTGCGATAGCCTCATCCAAGTCTTTGTCGTTGCCTCGGTGCTTAAAGCGGGAAAAGAATTGATTTGCAAGGTTATTTAATGACTTGTACCGACCAGTGTGACCGACGGGGTGCAAGGTCAGTGCTTCCCTGTGAAGTGCGATAGCCTGATCCAAGTCTTCGTCGTTGCCTCGGTGCTCAAAGCGGGAGGAGAGTCGATTCGCGAGGTTATTTAATGACACGGACCGACCTGTGTGACCCACGGGGCACAAGGCCAGCGCTTCCCTGTGAAGTGCGATAGCCTTATCCAAGTCTTCATCGTTGCCTCGGTGCTTGAAGTGGGAGGAGAGTAGATTCACGAGGTTGTTTAATGACGTGCACCGATCTGTGTCACCGACCGGGTGTAAGGCCAGTGCTTCCATCTGAAGTGTGATGGCCTGATCCAAATCTTTGTCATTGCCTCGACGCTCGAAGCGAGTTCGCAGCATTATACCCAGGTTACATAGCAATTGCCACCGGCAAGCATTACCAGTGTTGTAGTATCCCAGTGCATCATAATGAAGGGATATCACTTCATCTAAGGCACGGGGCTCGTCTCTCTGCAAACACCGCTCTGCTCGATGAACAAGTTGATTTGGCGATAACGGAACTATGGATGCGGTAGGCTGCCTCCGTTGAAGATCATTTACATCCATGCTTCCAGCAGAATGTAGAGCGGATGTTTCTATTGCAATCAAAGCTGCTCTGTAAATGTGGCTGTTGGCGTGACAGACATCAAGCACTTCGCTCAGTAGCTCTTCAGCCGTGTCGGCGTCTGTTCGAGATCCCTGTCTCGCGAAGCGAGAAAGCAGAGAAATGGCAAGATGGAGTTGGGTGGTCGGTCGGTCTGGATGACCAGTAGGACACAAATCAAGTGCGTCTTGAAAAAGAGAGATAGGTATGTCGAGGCCGAGGTATCTTCCGTTGGCTTGGCAACTAATGAACTTTGCGGTGGCTAGATTGAATTGTGCTGCACGGCGGTAGGGATGATCCACGGGGCAGAGGTCCGAGGCGCGTTCGAAGTGATCTATGGATCGGTCGAGATCACTATTGTTCTGCGTCCTGCGGTATCGTGCGAGAAGACGATGTCCGGCATCCGTCCTTTGTGCTAACACATCCAAATCGCGAGATGTAAGCTATAGGTTACAGCGATCAGCATTATAATCCCGGACTGCATTGATCACTCACGGTAATAAGGGGACAAAGAACTTCGCCGTCGTTTTGGTCAGAAAGCCGCTGCTCCACCGTCATGAATAGTGAAGTACAAGCGGATACGACTTCCTCCTGTTTCGGTTGAAACATTATGGCTGTGATACTCGTTAGCATCCATCAGGCGCTATTTGCAATAGACAATACTGACGATGCGACCTTTCGCTGCGATCGAGTAATTCTCCGACGGAGATCTCGAATGTGCGGAGAAGTTCTCCGTGACAGAGCATGGCACCCATTTCAAATGCGGCATACACGCTGACCCGAACTTTAGAAGATGGCTCGCATGGCCTCGAGTCTTTCTCAATACCTGCAAGACACACGGGATTGAAGACGACTTACAGGATAATGCGCTCGTGCCATTTGACGGAAGCTCGGTCTACGTGTGCAGATTTATTGCTTGTCTGATATTCAGCACCGTCATCCTTGATCACTACATGGAAGCCAGCGGAAATCCGTCGGAGACCAAGAGCGAGATCGGTTGCGCGAATGGCTGGAGGGAAATCGTCAATACGAGCTGAGTAGAGATAGATGATACATACAAGTAATGACAACTTGTTGCACTCCACTGATGTGTATCTCTCCCGAGTCCTGTGTGTGTTCTAGGTGGCTTGGCTCCTCGCCCATGACTGGGGGGGCATCATCGAGTGGATCCGACACGGAATCTGCCATGGGAAATCGTGGGCACCACATGCTGAGTGAAGGTAGATGGCACATACTGTTTATGGCGACTTGTAACGATTCACTGGTCACGAGGTTTGTCTCTCCCAGATCCTGGGGTTGTTCTGGCTGGCCCGACTCCTCGCCCAAGGCTTGGAAGGTATCACCGAACGGTTTTGGCACGGAGTCTGTCCCAAAACAAATCAAGAGATCAATGACGAAATAAAGTGTCGCCAGAAATACTCATCGGTACGCATTAAATGAAGATAGATGTGACACATACTATTGACGACAACTTGGAGCGTTTCATTGATCATGATGTTTTTATGTCCTGCGTCCTGGGGTTGTTCTGGGTGACTGAGGCCCTCTCCCAAGGGTGGAGGGTAGTCATTGAAATGGCCAGGAACGGATCTTGACATGTGACTGAGGAATGGATTTCCACTGACACTTGAGAATAAAATGTGAGCTGAAGGTCACGAAAATACTGCAGAAGCTGTGAGGTCCAGATGAATTATGACTGAGGGAATCACAGCATGCATGTGACATCCACACCGTGCAGCCTGATGAGTCAATAGGGCGTAAGTGACTCGCAGGATAATGATCGGAAGCACTTACAGTGGGCGTCAAATTGTACAACAAAAGCACGTCGTAGCCTGTATGGTGCAAAAATGAGTAAAGCAGCTGAAACGATAATGCTACGACAGCAAGGCATTCCATACTTCTTCAAGAATTCGATTACTGCGACGTGCGTGAAGGTCACGGTGGTGTCGAGGCGGCCATTGCCAGTGAATTATTATGTAATATAAGCTAAGGCCCAAGCCTGAGCGCAGTTGAGCAGGCAAATATTCTAGTGCTTCACTCAGTTCATTGCCACTCAAAAAAAATTACATGATATGTCAATTTGTCTCGTCTACCCTTAAGGCTTGAAGGAAACCGGTCAAGCGTTCAAGTGTCGGAAGTAGCACTGCCAGTGAGTCAAGAATACAATCCGAATAAGCACAAACTAGACTTTCGTTCACCGTGACTCGGTCAAAACATCCATGTCACTGCTTTCAAATTGCGTGCTCGATCAACGCCGCGTTATACAGGTGTGCAATACGGTAAATTTGGGTCTATTACGACTACTTCACCAACCACGTCCTAAATCTCCCCCATCATCTGCGGAAGCTCCGTCCTCCCCACGCGCAAACGCCTGCGCCGGTCCTTGCCACCGACAGAACACGGTCCCTTCACACCCCGCATCATGTTGGATACTTCTGGGAAGGCGCATGGGGAAGTATATCTTGATAATGGTGAGAGGTATGCGTATGGAATGAGGGATGTTGTTTAGTGTAGGTTCGATGCGAAGAGTACGAAAGGAAAGGGATGGTGCTTATAGATGCCGCAAGAGCGGTAGTGGATGCATGCATACGACTGTATGAACGGTTCGCGTGCAGTGTGAGGGATGTGAGAATGGCGAAGTTGGTTGCTCTTGGACTTGGGAAGAAGCCTTGGGATGTTGTTTTGGATGGCGGTTGAATAAAGATCCTGCGGTGCGCATGGTGAATAATTGGGCTGTTGTTGTGAAGTCGGAATGAGATACATACTCAGAGCGTTTGTTGCTTTGTGTCGCAGATGTTCATTGCGCTTTCATGATTTGATCGATATTTCGACATGATATCTTGACGCATCAGTAAGCATAGTCCAGTTGAGAATTCGCTTTACTTTCACGCATCACTTGCACTTGCACATGGAGTCCGCTATCAATTCAAATCAGAATTCCAAGATAGTGGATGAGCACTAGTAACTGGCTCATCGACTACCTTGGGACTCTGCAAAGGAACGACTGGCTGTCGTCTTCTTTAATCGACCTGACGGATATCCGTGCCTCATCTGCAGCTTACTCCAGACGTACCGTAACAAGGTGGTGTGATCTAGAAGTAGGACCATTCAAACTATGGATCTTATCAGGCCCCGTAGGCGTCTCAAGGACACTTCGTTCGCTGATTAATTTGTTAGCGCTCTCTCTCGATATTGAATACCATGCATGCACTTACGACGTATTTTTTTGCACCCCAGATGCAGCTACACCGGCCACTAATTGTATAGTCAGAAAAGCAAACAGAATAGTATTCAGGAATGAACCTGTCGAATGCCCCAAGGGATTTTTGCCGAATCATTTTTTTTATACATTGTACTCTCTCCTGGTGCCTCCAATTCATCCGAGTCCAAGCAGACTAGTTTTGATCAAGGGAGATTTACAACTTGACTGATGAACCATGAATGAAAGAAAGAAATGGCCGACCGTGAGAAACATCGGAAGTCGTGTACTAACCGCTGAACTTTGAAGCTTGAATTGACGCGCAATACAGTATTTCATGTCCAACAGCACCAAACCACGTGTGGACGATGAGGACGACGTCGATGATCTCGACGGTCAGAAGCAGACCATGTTTTCACTTTCTAGATGCGCTTATAAAGGCTCGCAGATGTCCTAGATCAATTTACCTCCGTCCAAGGCCCCCGCATCCGGTTTATCCCAACCATCGACGTCATCGCCTGCTGTAAATGAATCAGCATCATCGAAACAAACGCCGTCTTCGTCAAGTGCTGACTTTGAAGCTGATTTTGCGAAATCGCTTGCTGAAGACATGGAGGTTCTTTGGCGTGGTTTTGCACAGCAGGGAGTGAACGAGGGTTCAAGCAATGAAGACGAGACTTCGGAACAACGAGAAGAGCGGGAGCGGAGCATTGCGGCGGCTTGGGAAGCTATGTTGATAGAAGGGATGGATGGCGCGATCGACCCGTCACTCACACAGGGAGTACCTATTGCCTCAAAAACTGGGGAAAAGGACGACTTTCAATCACGCATCCGAAACACTATGAACAAGCTCAAGGAGAGCGAGTCAGGCTTGAAGTCGTCAGATCCGAGCAGTTCTGCTACCAGTGCTGATCCACTCGAGGCGCTTTTATCTCAACTCGGAGACGAGGATGAAGAAGACATGCAGGGTGTCTTGGAAGCTATGATGGGTCAGCTTATGGGAAAGGATGTCCTGTACGAGCCATTGAAAGAACTCTCCGACAAGGTAGGCTATTTCTTGACATAGCGAAAACTCTGATTATCTTTCCTTCGTCATATTTGCAGTTCCCGGACTACCTCAAGGCTAATGCAACTACATTAACGTCCGATGATAAGTCACGTTACGATGCACAGATTATCTGCATGAAGCAACTCCTCGAAATTTTTGAATCGAAAGATTACGCTGACGACGACGACAAGACGAGAATAAAAATCATCGACCTCATGGGCGAGGTGTGTTAGCTCTAAGTCTTCTATGCTCTATATCGCATTGAAATCTCTGGTACAATTACAGCTCCAGAAACACGGGTCTCCCCCGGAGGAAATTATGGGCCCATTGCCCTCCGGAATGAGCATGGGTGCTGACGGTATGCCAAATATTCCTGATAACTGTATTATCAGTTGAATGCGTATCGGCGGAGGGAATGAATAACTTTAAGCGAATACCTGAGCTTGTAGGCTATATCAACGATGCTGATCTAGTTTCTTTCGTAGAATTCATCACTTGCCTGTGATACGGAATCAGGCATCAGCTTTGTATGCCCCCATGGGTTTCAGATTTTGTATCTGCTACATCAACGATGCGTTAATCTTTCTATTTTGCTACTTTCTCTGGAGCAGACGAGGAATCCTCGAGAGATGTATACAAGGTTCTGATCTTGGTCCACGTTAGTTCGATCTCCCGTGGAACATTCGCCCTCTGATACTATATCTATGGCTTAGCGACATGGGGTTTGAATCATGCTCCAGAGTCCTTCAGGACGACTAGGAACTCATCTGTCGCGCACACGATGAATTCAGTGCCGATAGATCATACGAAGGTATAATTATCTGGAACTGTTAACGATCTTGATCGCATATTCACGGAGGGTTGTCTACCCAATTGGCGAGACTGTACGAAGAAGACTCTTCTCGTTTCGACCGCAAAACTCTTTGGATTATTTTTGAGGTCTGGCTGTGGACGTGAACATGGGCGACACATACGTTGTCAGCTCTTCCACGTGTCTTACCAATAGGCTTGTGCTAAGTAGCTGTCAGTGCACATCAGTCCGAGGTCGACATTAATTTCCAATCTGTAAGTCACTTCCAGACTTTTGTGTAGTGTGATTAAATTTCAATGTATTTCCTCCTGTCAGCGCATGTTCGATGTCATCGTCAAGCCTATCCCTAGTACTGTACTCGACTACACTCTTCGGCTATTGACTGAAATGGCATTAATGCATGACATGCTTCTCTTTTCGCCCATGTGTTTTGATTCCGTATCTGCTGCGAGTGCGTTGGTGGATTATGCATTATGATCGATCGCTCACCGGCACCGGTACACCTATGACAAGAGATCCTAATAATTGATGCTAAGCAGTATAACTCGCTCTTTGAGGATCTGCATTTATGTAATTGCAGCTCAGTGCCCGTACTATGTACTTACTTCGTGGCATGCTCGTGAATCATTTGTGTCGCCACTTCAAAGCTTCAAGCTTCAAGGCTTTATATGCATCAGTAAAATATTTCATCGTAAAATATCTCGATCGACACACTGATCTTGCACCGAAGTCTGATCGCGGGAGAAGTCACGTGATCGATTGCGTCCTGGGTCCAGACCACGGGCAGGTGTCGAACTTCTCACCTTTGTTCACGGCCTCACGGTTTGCAATACAGGATGGAAGTGGCCTCAATTTTCTCAACCTCAGGGTGGTGAACCAGGTCGACCATGTGCAAGACTAGGAACAATCATTTCCAGAAAATTTCAATATGGACCACATTGTCGCTCTAGGACGAAGACGCCAGATTTTTTATCCTGCCAATCATGGGATACTTGTTGGCACCATTCTGTATCCATTTTGCAAAATCATTGTTGCTGTTGGATACCAGACATTTCGGCAGAACCTGCAAAAGCGTGTTCAATTGATTACGCCCATTGTATTACAACCTGCCCCGACCCCGTTACCACAGAACCCTCGCTCGATTCTCGAACCCCTAGTGTCTCATTGATCTCCCCCTTATCGCTCAATGACATGTGATATTGCAGCAGCGACCCTGCGTCTGCATCAACTTCTAACTTCAGACGGAAAATGTTTATTGCAAAGTTGTGCAAATCGTGCGTCTTATTTTTCTCCATCGTGCATATACCTCAGCCATCTTACAGTTTTCAGATTCTCCAGTCGCTTCAACGAAACTGCGGCCCTGGATGCACAGCGCTTCATCCATGCAATGGACTTGTCCATCTCGCGGAAAAGGAAATGGACAGTCGCGTAAAGGGATATGTCCTTGATGTTGAATCTTACATCAAGTCAAGGCCGCAATTTGAGCGGTTGTAAGCCTTGCTTTGCCTTTATCGAACTCGCCTGTCAGACTGGTCTCCTGACGAAGTAGTCTCGCATCCGGTCGTCGGCGCTCACGTCGTGTCCCGTAAATCCTCGCAGTCTCATCAACGCCTTTCTCTCCTGGAACCTGCGAAAAAACGACATCCGTCGGGGAAGTTATGCAACCTCGAGTTTATGTGCATACATGCGCCGTACGTCTTCAACTGAAGGCAAAGTCCACACCGATCAACACTCCGAGCCGTACGCTGGCAATCACCGCTCGATGCTCCATCATACGTACCTCTCGCGAGGCACCAGTTACCATCATCAGAAAACGATATGACATTACTCGATACTTTCCGGAGCAGGCGGGGAGTTTTCAAGAGTCCTATGCTTATAAAAACAAGATTCTGGTGATATCTCGGCTCAGGTCAGTTCGATCTGGTAGATGACTGGTCCGTCTGATGCTACATATGGCTTAGCGACTTCGGGTTTGAAAGAGTTATTCAGGACGACCGGGAACTCAAGTACTCATCTATCGCGCACACGATGAAGTCGGGGCCGAACCATCAGCCGAGGGTATATCTGAAACTCTTGATGATCTTATCGCATATTTACCGAACGTTGTTTACCTGAATGGTAAGACTGCGCCAGGAAGACTCGGGCTCCTCCCCTGTCGACCGCTAAACTCTTTGAGATCTGGCTGTGAATGTGAAACATAGGCGATACATACGTTGTCAGCTCTTCCTTGTGTATCACTAACAGGCTTGTGCTTAGTGGCTGTCAGTGGCTGTCAGCCCGAGGTCGCCATAGGTCCCGGTCACATCCAGACTTTTTGCAGTGTCATCGTCGACCCTACTCTTCGGCGATGGACTGAAATAGCAGCAACACATATAGTCATTTGGCGCTTGCGCCCAGTTGAGTATTCGTGCGTGATGGTGGCAATGATCTCAGAAAGCTACTTCGACATCATGTGATCGGGAACTTCGATCTCTTCCCATTGATGTCCGTCAAAAGTGTTGATTTGAATGGATAAATTGACTGATGATGGAAGTCTTCGCCCATGCATCGATCGCATTTCTATTCTACTTTAGGTACAAGCTAATTAACCTTCCGACGGACAATGCTACAGTAACAAATCGCGAGATGATCACAGTAATCATGAGTCATCCATACAGTGAACAACGGAGTCTAAGTAAAAGGGAATCAAGCGTATCCAAACGATTCGACATGCAGTGTGATGCTCGGTCCACCATTGAGGATACTAGAAGGCCCAGAAACAGGGAAGCGAAGTGCATGACGGGTCGCACGCGCTATAGCCTGCGATCCGCAAACTGATATCATCACCCATAAGCCTTTCGTTCTTGGAGCCGGCATAATGAGTACTTACCGCTCACCGACATCCTGCCCGAGGTTACACTGACCTCTTCTTTGAGCAGTGCATCTAGATCCGGTCTTCCATTTTCAGTCCTAACGCCGCGCAGCGACATGAATGATAGTGATAAGGAGTTTTTCCTAGTTACCACGTGTTCGGGGCTGCTTTTTTTCTCGGTAGAGCTTGAAATGCTGTCATCGTCTTCCCTGAAGGACTTGGATTGCGTCGTGGATGAAGCAGTGATGAAAGATGCGGATAGAAACTGTCAAAGACGGCGGGGCAAGCCGAACGGCTTTGATAAGCGCCTCTTCGATCCATTGGACGTACTCTATCGTGCATGACGTTAATGACATCATAGAAGAAGCTGCGGATTGTTATGAATACACCCACCAGCACCGCGAATTGCCCAAATGAACACAACCCGTGTGCAAGAACTTTTCCCCTTGCGTACGCGTCTATAACAAGAATCAAACATCCAACCATGTTGATAAATGATCACACATACTCGATAATGTTGAGGAAGACAGGGAGGGTATACGAGACGCCAGATCCGCCTGAATTCGATCAGTACATGTTATTACCAGACAATACACAACTCACCTGCAACCAATACAGAGGTGTCGTACGAACCGAGGTCAGGAGATGAACCATAAGGACCATCCACAAAAACCTTGACAGTTTCCTTCCTGGCAGCTACTTCCTTTAGTTTTTTCGTGAAACCCTCCTGCACGTTGACCAAAAATACAAGCTCCTTCCAGAACGGAGCGCTAGGTCCCGTAACATCACGGTTGGATCGATCCTCCGCCGGTGCGGTTGACAGCAGGCTAGAATCAAAACTCGCAATAGTAAAAGGGTGCGCTTCGAATGGCAGTGTCGAAACTGAGGGCATGATCAGATATGCCGCTTGTCCTGGGGACCAATGGAAATGCGGGGGTCGACGTAGACGCATTCGAACGACGCCTTCGGAAAGCAATTCTGTCGCTGCGTCCATTGTCCCAGTTCCTGACTTGAACCCAAAGTAAGAGTGATTGAATACTACAAGTCGGATTGCTCGGATGAAGCGATCGAAAGCCCAGAACACAAACGAGGGCCATATCCAGAACGATCCGCTGTTCGCTGCAAATCAGAAACATAGCGTCTGTATGAATTCGTACTTACTGAGCACCCTTGGTATGGTAATATCCTCCCACAAGGAATATGCTGCGTTCTGTCTGTCAATACAAACTACAAGCGAATAAAAGTGCTACACTCACAGGACGCCAAGGAAGTGAACATAAAAGAAGACCTCATACATATTACTGCGAACGGGACGCAGTGACACTAGGATCAGGATAGAGAAAGCGACCATGGCGGTGATACCAGCGCGAAGCCATGGTTCGCTCAAAGTTTCCCGGAAGCTTTCGATCATCTCTATTAGAAAATAGCAAGTACAAAATTGAAGATACAAACAAGGGAAAGGATACTATCTGGCCCGCCCCATGTACCCAAAGGAGCATGAAGCATGTCCTAGCCATCATTCGATGAGTATAGTTGAGCTTTGGGTCCTCAAGTAAGTGCCACTTTAAGGGAAATTAAGGGTCATACCTTATCGTAACTGATTCCCGTGACCACTGATTCGAAGAACTCAACGAAACGTTGGACCAAAAGCGTTTTCACTTACGAGACACAATATTGTTCTTTGTTCCAAGGGCTGTGATAATTGGAAACTGACTAGCCGCAAGCATAGCTATGCGATTGCTCCAGAAGATGATATCAAGCTTCTGACCCTCGGCTGAGGTAGCTGCGTGATTCAGTGATTAATATAGTTTAAGCGGGACCGCCCATCATGATCCTGTGTACTTACTATTAATGAAGGCATAGGTCAACAAAAGGACGATGTATGCCACAGTGACGAAAACCTCTGTCATGTTGAGGGTATAGGATCGTCCTATTTCCAGGGTCCATCGGAAGGCAACAACGCGATAGACATTTATGACGGCAAGCGGAATTCGACGAAGAGAAAATTTTCGATGAACGCCATTGGCGATAACCGTTTCTTCGTCGTACTCATGGCGTGCCCGCCTAGCGAACTTTGAGTGAAGGAATAATCCCCACTGGAAGCATCCGATTACGAAGAGAAAGGCGGCGATAGTATACCAGATCTGTTGAGGGTACTGGACATTGTCATCTATGAGCGAGGATATGTCAGCGTCAGAGAAGGGAGAACTCGACATCCCCAAGTTGTGAGGAAAATATGGAACCTAACAACTTGAAGGTGAAGAGAAGAGCATACTAAATAAGAGAAACATATCAGTGTGGGTTTGCGTAATGAGAAGTCACCATGAGGGAATAATGCCGAAATTGATACGCCACGTACATAGGTTCGAAGGATGGCCAAGAGGGGAATAATTGGCGTACTGAAAACCGGGTCAATGGGCTGCGGAAAAATAAACCTCAGCAGATCAATACGGTGGGTAACCATCAAAAATCTTATCTAGCAAAGATGCGATCGCAAAGTTAACGAAAGATCTACTTCAAAAGTCGAAAACACTGCAAAGTCAGGTCAGCATACAACTGAATCGTGCATGGATTGATCACGCACGGCACTATGTCGTGTGCTGTTTCCATTGGATGTAAGAATTTGAAAGTGGGGTAAGATTCAATCTTGAATCTCAATCACTTAACGAGCGCTCTCCGTAGCCTCAACGTTTAATATCGCTTATTTTATTAAATCCCCGTCCGAACGCATGCAGCGCCTCGTGCGCCAATACCGTCTTATTGACTCATTACCGCGTCAGCCTTAACGTATTATGTCTTGGACTCGCGGGCTCACATGCTGTCCGAGCTGCGGATTCTAGATTACAGATCTCAGCTATCATGGTGGAGCGGACATGAATTTTAGGGTCAGAAAGTTCCTCGAGGTGAATAATCGTACTCATCTATTTGTGGTGCTCAGAAAACTCGCTTAAACACCGGCTAGACTCTTTGAGCTCCTGGTTAAAATCCAGTCAGGCCAGCATCGTACGGCGTTGAAATCACCATGCATCTTGCTCGCCAATGTGCTTGTCTTGCATAAAGATCTGCACGAGCGAGCCATGTTGTCACGTCACATGATAAGAGTAGCACTGTTATTGTGCGTTCGCAAAATCCCGAACATAGAGCTCAACTTTACATAAGATAAAAACCTTAAATCACAGCCACCTGAAGCTTTGCGACATGAGTGGCGCATACTTGTTCTTGTTCTTCTTCTTGTCTTCCAGGTGTGCTGCTTCTTCCTCATCTTTGTGCAGCTGGAGATGCTGCTCTTCTTCCTTGGCTTCCCTTCCTCTCAATTCCTGGATTTGCTCTTGCCTGGTGTTCCATCTCTCACATTCCACATTGTTGGTCAATATCCACAGTGCCATTAGTGAACGGACTGCCAATTTTTCAGTGAGTCCCTCATTTATGAGCTGCTGTCGGGCAGGTTCATGTTTGGGTGCTTCAAAATATGGCTAACAGCTAAATTAGGATTGTTCTCTGCCATGGCTGAGGATAAGGTTAGTGCAAACAAACTTAGGGAGGAGTAGCTAAATACTCTGCATAGGGCACTGTGAGGTGGGCAGGAGCAAGAGGTGCTGCACCACCTCACTTAATTCACACTTAGACTAATATCTGTGTCAGCATTTAACACATTTGTTTGGCATAATATTCTGCCAGACTGTCACAACCCAATAACGAATTAACGCTGGGCAGAGACTAGGACTCGGACTAAGGTTATCACAACAAAGAGGTAATGAGCAAGGACATCTTGGATTGCTACAGTTGTAGATACAAGAGGTTTGAACTAAAGAACTATCGACCAAGACATGCTACCTATATACAACTATTGAAACGGAGATTGAAACTGAGATATAACTAGCCAATCATAAAAGGAAAAGGGAATCGTACCATAGAACATCGTAGAATATTAAAGAAGTATCACGTGATCATATCTTATCTTATCGTATCTAATCTAATCTATTCACAATCAAAGAACTCGTCTTCTTCATCAGTCACATCGAAGACACGTGTTGTGGGCGCTAATGGAATCTCTGAACTGGTAGGCGCTTTTGGGGTAGGGTTAGGGTTTGTCTTAGGCGCTGTGTATTGACGCTTAGGAAGATTTAGGAAAGAATAATGGTTTGTTAAAGGTACTCGTGACACAGACCCCCGATCACCAGCAGACAATAGAGCACTAGATAATATATAATAAATATATATGATGATGATGATGATGATGATGATGTAGGTAGCTGTCAAAGGTCATGTGATATTTGGTCATTTGTCATCCTGGGACAACAGTTTAATCAGCCCATCACACATACCCGACATGCACAATCTGTTATATAAAGTTAATGTTTTATGTCCAGAATGTGAACCTACTTATATATGTTATATTTTTTATTATCACCTGTATTTCTGAGTTCATTATGATTTTGTGCTTGTGTCGCTACATAGAATTAAAAGATGTAAATATACCAAGTTCTTGATATCAGAAATACCAATCTCTCATTTAAGTAGCATCAAGTGAATAATGAAGAAAAAATTAGTGTGATGTGCCGACAGTTCTAACTCTAACTTAGTGACTCCTTCTGAGACTTGCCAGTAGATGCATCATGTATGTTGCAAATTTCACCACAGAAGCTGATCAACATTATTATGGAAAGTCAGACAACTGTGCCCATTTTTGCAAGTATTTTGGTGATATAAAATCCTAAACAGGTGAAGAGCTTCTAAAGGACTCCTGACACTGTTTAAGTTAATATTTTATGATCCAGAAGCTACAACAAATGTAAACTAGGCATGGAATATAGAAAATGGACATGTGCAACACGGCATCACCATTCATCTCCAGCTACATGGTTATTGTTGTAGAAAGTGAATCTCTGCTGGGCTCAGCAGAAACTGTACCACCTAGTCAACAATATTTAGGTAGATCTTAGCACGACCTAGTCTGCTATACTTGCAGAGCAAGTGTGTTCGATCCTAAAGGGATTACTAATTGGTATTAGTAGTAAAATGTGTCATCTTTGAGGTTCACAGCATTGCAGGATGGTAATGGGGTTATATTGCTGTCACAAGTACCTTTAACAAACCATTATTCTTTCCTAAATCTTCCTAAGCATCAATACACAGCGCCTAAGTCAAACCCTAACCCTACCCCAAAAGCGTCTACCAATTCAGAAATCCCTTTAGTGCCCACAACACGTGTCTTTGATGTGACCGATGAAGAAGATGAGTTCTTTGATTGTGAATAGATTAGATACAATAAGATAAAATATGGTCACGTGATACTTCTTTAATATTCTACAATGTTCTATGGTATGATTCCCTTTTCCCTTTTATGATTGGCTAGTAGTTGTATCTCAGTTTCAATCTCAGTTTCAATAGGTATATAGGTAGCATGTCTTGGTCAATAGTTCTTTAGTTCAAACCTCTTGTATCTACAACTGTAGCAATCTAAGACGTCCTTGCTCATTATCCTTTTTGTTGTGATTATCCTCATTTGAGTCCTAGTCTCTGCCCTAGCATTTATTCGTTATTGGATTGTGACAATTGCTCTGTGATTCTACTGACTATGGCAACACCAGCTGTGGATGTCAAAGACAGTGGGGGGTTTTCAGGTGAATGCGCGCAGTGCTTTCCGGCCCCAAGGAAGGAAACCTAGATGGAAAGAGAGTTGAGCTGTGAGAGCGGGTGGGTCTGCCTTGCTGTGGTGTTTCTATGTATCTGAATTTTGTCCTTAGGACCCATTTGTGGATTGTTATCTTAATTTTGGATACTGTTGAGGCACTTCATTGAGTTCTTGGCTCGATGGGTTCTGGGAGTGGAGGGTGGGGGAAAATGAGATTGAGCAGTGTGAGCTGTGCAGCAACTAACAGTGATCGCGGCATGGGAACAAGAGGTTTGGTGCTGCACCTCATGTTCGCACAAAAGACCTTACTCTAATCTTTCTCTCGTGCCTTGTTACATAATAGAGTCCCAATCTTTGAGGTTCACAGCATTGTGGGATGATAATGGGGTTATATTGCTCTGTGATTCTACTGACTACAGTGACACCAGCTGCAGATGTCAAAGAGTGGGGGGTTTTCGGGCGAAGGCGCGCAGCACTTTCTGGCCCCGAGGAAGGAAACCTAGATAGAAAGAGAGTTGAGCTGTGATTCCGAGTGTTAGGAGTTGGCAATGCATTCAGCAATGCTTGAATTCCCAATTTTTAGGAGGCAGACAGATTACTCACGAGTTTTCTCTGTTTAGGTTCTTGTGCTTTGGCGAAGTGGGGGTATGGTGTACCATAGGAATTGGTCATGCAGCGTGGGGACAGCCTGCATGTATGGTGCCATGATCTGTGCATGTCTCCTTAGGTAAACAAGGAACACATCACTCGCCCAGTGCCCTTTGACTTTGACTACATTGAATGGGACATTGTGTAGGAGATACTCTAGGGTTGACCCAATTCGTATTCCATGCCCTTGTAAGGGCTCGCAGCCTGCTGCTTTCGTTGCTGCTGCTAACCTTCTGAGAAACTTTGACTTAGTCAGTGGGTGGTGGGTGTTGTTTCTGTGACAGTATGCAAAGAGTGCAAATTTGGGAGGAGGTTTGTTGATTCACAAATGGTTTAGGAACACTTCTTTGGGATCAGATAAACCTGCTTGCTTTGCCCAGTGTAGTCTTTGCCTTCTGGAGCTGATTTCATCCGTGGCAGGTGGAAGTTTTGGTCATGAGATTCTGCTGGTCTTGTGTGTCCTTGACGTTTTCAAGTGAGATGTGCATGTTCAGGTCGAATGCGCTGAGACGCGGAACGGTGAATTCACCTACTCTGGCTGTTGTGTAAAAAATGGCTGTTAGGCAAGCAAAAACTGCTGCATCTAAGGGTTCGTCAAGCTTGAGCTTCTCATGAATGGCGATGATGAGGTCTATGGTGTATGGTTCGCGCGTGTCGTTTTGCAGATGCAGGAGTGAGTGATGAGGCTGCCTTCAGCATTGCTTCGATCTCGATGTCATTGAGTGACCAGGTTGCACTGTGCACTATGTGCCATGCTCGAACTCTGTTGATGTAGTTGGATACTGTCTTCCCTGAATAGTTGCCTACCATGCATGATATAAAAGTTTCGATCAGCATGTTGCTGGCTGGTGCTCTTTGGTCTTCGGTGATGGCCTTGCTGTCACAAAACACGTGGAATACAAGTAGACCCAATCCGTAAGTCTCGTGCATGCTCTCTGAGTACGTGTGGACCATGACATTGCGTATGCATTGGACGTCTGCGGCTGTTAGCGGGAGTGGTTTTCCTTGAGCATCTTTTGTGGCATGTATTGTCGTTGGGTGCCACAGGTAGAGCCTGTCTTTTGCTGGACAGTGTGGGTGCAGGTGTGATCATGGGGGTTAGGCTGGGGCTATATGCTGGATTGTTTGCTGTGAGGTTAGTGGTTCATGCTCTGCAGTACAGTACTTACTAGCTTTGCGATGTTTGGAGGAGTTCTGTTCCTCTGACTTTGAATTTGCGGTTGATGCAAATGTGCCGCTCACGTTCTTGTCTCTCGCACTTGTCTCCCATTGGGTGAAGCAATTTGTTGGAGGTGGGACTCGAGGTGACAGTGTGAGTGTCAGGATCTGTGGGTGGGTCGTGTGTGTGATGAATTGGATGGTCTGGTGCTTCTGTGAGGAAGGGGCAAAGTTCTGGGGGGATCGGGATGAGAGGGAGGTGTTTGGATTTGGGAGGATATATCCTGTGGGACAGGCCGTCTGCGGGTTCTCTTTGCTTGGTATGTACCTAGTAAGAATCTGGCACCTGGTACTGGAAGCGACCTGATGAATCTGCTTGAAGACTTCATTCCAGGCTTGGTTCTTGCTGCATCCTTTCCACCATCCTTCGACGACGCCACGGTTATCTCCATAGACTTTAAAATAAGTGCCAGCGGCACAAGCACTCATGATTGTCCACACGAGGAGCTTGAATCTGATGCTCTCCACCCACCCGATATCTCGGCTGTCTTTCTTCCATCCTGGTGAGAGTTTCCACATGCACCATCTTCCATTGATCGTGATGCTGATGCCGTGACCAGAGCTAGCATCCGAGTAGGCGAGAAAGTCGATAATGATGCATGGACCTGGGATTGGGGAGATGACATGGGGGGAACTGAGGAGTTCTTCCCACCATCTGATGTTGCTTGCGGTGCTACATGGGGGGGTCCAGGCCATGTGCGGGCAGTCTTCAAAAATTCCCAGCATTTTTTTCAGGGTTGTGAGGTAAGTGTGGCCTTCTGGCTTGATGAGGCACATGTGGAGGAGTTTACTGTAGAGTTTCTGAACTTCTTGCAGTGTGTGGGTCCTGCTCGATTGCCAAGATCAGATGGCCTCAAGGTATTTGATGCGCTTCTTTTCAGATAAGGTGACTGTCCAGTCTTCAATGTTCCATGCAAGGCCGCTGTATGGGGGCTCGTTGCTGAAGGGTTCATCTTTCGACATCTCCCATATTGTGCCCATGTTGGATGAGGCGTCATCGATATCTTCCATGCTGTATGTGAATTGGCTGTTTTCAACCGATCGTGGTGATTCTGCTGATAGATTGCAAATGGGGAGCGGGCGTCTTCATCAAACTCTTCCAGTGATCTGTCTGGGTGTTTCTCCCCTGTACCATTTGTGACCTCCCTCTGTGATAGCTCCTCCATTTTCTGCGATCTTGTCTGCCCACCTTCGATGTTGTCTATTGTACTCTTCCAAGTATCTTCTCTTGATGCGAAAGAAAATGTGGTCATCAACCCACTTGGATAAGGGACCAATCCCTTTGGCTCTGAATATGTCTGCCCCAGTGTCCGCAACATTGCCATATATCCCCACCAATGGGCTGAAACCGAAGCAGAAAGCCATGTCAACTGCAAACATGTCTTTGTTGAGACGTATTGCCAGTCCCGGTGACATGCACCAAACTGGTCCGGTGCATGACGTGCGGTGTTAGAATATTTTTCGGGAATTTTGCATGGAATGAATTTTGTGTCATTTGGCTCGAAGATGACTCAGCTAGATTCTCATGCATCTGAAGCTTCCATGAAAAATACTTTCTGTGTATGTTGTTTACGGGAACTTCCAGGAAACTTTAAATACATGTGTTACCCGGTTTTGCTTTATGACATATGCTACGTCTCTGAATAACACCAAATACAACAAGTTTCAACATATTATGTAAACCATGTTCTCTTACCACAGTCAGCTGATCTATGACTAAGCCTGACAATCATGTTCACCTACATATGATTCACATGGGTATTATGATCTATGACAAATAATGTAGTATATCTAGATATGTGAGAAAACGAAAATTGAATATACCTAGGTACGCGGGAGTAAATTAGCACAGCCACGTAGGTTTGTCTATATAAGGACCTCCGTTTTGGCCTGAAATAAAATCAATCAGACTTCCAGAGTCACCCTTAATAAAATTGTGAGTGAGGTTTGTGTGTGATCAGCATCAGCAACAACCACGAAGAGTTGTTCGACATTGTCAGGTACATTGATGAGACAGTAGGAGCCATTGAGCTCACTGTGCTCAACAGCCTGCAAGGCCTGGTTATTTGTTTTGAGAAATCTCCTGTTTTTCTGAGTGTTTGTGTTTGTGTGCGGTGTCTCTGTCTCTATTTCTCTATCTGTTTCTCTAGGATTGGGATCTATTCTTTTAGTTTAGGATCTATTTCCTTATCTCTGTTTCACTCTATCTGTTTCACTCTCTCTACCCATTGAAGGCTAACAGTCTGAGTGCTCGTTTATTGTCGTGTCACTAACGTGTTATAGATTTAGCAAATATATTCTGAGTGTTTGTTTCTTGCTGCTGATACTAACATACTTTTGATTGTAGCGAGTACATTCGAGCCTTACCTTTAAATTCTTCGTGTTGTCTCTACGTCCGCTAAAGGCTCAGAGTAGCTTAGTGGGGAGACTTCAGGAGTTGATTATTGTCCACTTGACCTCACACATCTGAGTAGTATACTGAGCCAGGATTGTTATTTGTCAGATAGGCTTTAGCTATTGAATAGGGGACTTGGTATTGAAATCCAAGGACGTCCGTTTCTGATTCTGTTTAATACTCATCGTGAGTTCCTTGGCAGCAGATTCAATATTAGGCTAAGAGTTCTATGGAAGCTTTTGACAAGTCTTGACCTTTGATCCTACCTGTTTGCGCTGTGGGAGTGACCAATACAGCTTCACACGATTGTTTCATAGTAAGTTTAGAATATAGCACCATTGATTGTGCCTAGTTTTAGTTATCATTTCTGTTTAGCACCAGTGATTGTGCTTAGTCTTAGTTTTGTTTCTGTTTCTTGTTTCTTTTAGTCAACACCATACCGCTGGGTTGACTAGTGTTTCTATACTGATATCGTAGAGTACCTTTGTCTGACCGTAGCTTGGATATACTGACAGGCCACCCACGAACGACCACATTATCAGTCATTGGTATTTGTCTGAATCGCTGACCATGGAGATATTTGATTTTGTAGGTGTTCATCTATAGATCATCTATCTAAGAAGACACCGGCCATTGTGAATGGTGCAGTGGGATTGTTCTGTAAGCTTCTGTGACATCTCCTATGGCGCCTTGTGAGCCAGGTGGGAGGTGCCATATTGTTTGGCAGATGCTGGGGAAGGTTCCGTATGTACAAGGAAAGAGGTTGGAATCGACTCTGGAATTAATGGATCTAATGGGCAGGTGTGGGTTTATGGGAAAAGATAGATTTTGTACAAGTTGAAACTTCCCCGGCTTACCAGGTTTCAGGATGAGTGATAGCAGGGCTGTCTGGAAGTCGCCAATGGCAGTTTTAAGCTCCTGTGCTGTGAATGGTCCAATGAAGTGACCTTTCACCAGCTCGTTCTCAATGATGCTCTGGAATACTTCCTGGTACTTAAATATGGTGTCATTATTAGGTGGTGAGTATGTACATGTGATTGGGGGTATCCCACCTGAGAAACTGTGCATGAGTCCTTCTGGGATGGATGGGTACCTGCCAAGGAGGTCTGATTCAGCCAGTAGGCAGAGCCAAGCTTCTGCATTGTAAGGCATGTGAGCTCTAAGCCTTCTCACCACGAGGGCAAGTTTGGGCTCCGTGTTCCTTGCTTCCACAGCCGGAGCATTCATGCAAGGTGTCATGGTTGTTTTTGGCAACTTCCTGGGTGTTGCCATTTGTGGCAGAGGGGTAGACCCTTGGGGTTGATGAGCTGTCCATCTTCTGCCCGTCGACAGCGAGTGTTGGCTCCATCCCATAGTTGATGGGATTTGCAGCCGAGGCAAAGGGCGCAGGCAGATAGGCCATGTGAGCCTGCACCCAGAGAAAAACCCCTGCGGCGCTGGTTGCGGTTGTGGCTTTTGTCTGGCAATGTGGTCTTTGACTCCTTCTGGTTCTCTGTTCTCCATGGCGGGGAACAGGAGTGTGAGTTCCGGTTGAGGAGGTCATAGATGCTACTGCGTGAGTCGCGATAGCTGGACCTGCGGTGTTGATTTGCCAGAGGGTCTCTGCTCGTGGTCTGTGGATTGGCAGGTTGTTGGCGGTCGTCCACATTGTGTGTGTGGGCATCCATGGCATGTGCGTGGGCAACCATACGGAGGTGGGTATGGGCATCCACAGGATGTGTGTTGCAGGCATCCGTGAGATAGATGTCGCGGGCATCCACATGGGTTGTGGGCATCCGTGTGGTTGTTACAGGCATCCACAGGAGTGTCGTCATGGGTAGCTGAGGTGAGTGGGTTGGTTGTTCAAGGTTAATGTGTTTGGAAGGGGGGGTTGTAATATGTTAAATGCAGTTTAGTATGTCTGTCTGTCTGATGGTTTGAGTGGAAACGTACATTGAGCCAGGATTGGGATCAGACTTTGTGCCAGAGTTCCTCATTGATCATCCAGATCACATTCTCATTGATGTTGCCGATGTGAAGCCTTCATTGCGTTTGAGGTGGTCATGCCAGTCTTGGTGTACGCGCAATGCATACATCAGTATAATGAGGTCTCTGATGTCACCTGTCGTTCTGGATTGAGTGATTCTTGAGGTGCCAGAAGAACAGTGAGAGGGCGTTGATGTGTGATTGGGGCCATTTTGCCTTGCTGATTTGGACTAGGAACAGGTTCTTCACCCTTAGGAATGTTGAGAATGGGAGTTTGTGGTCCGCAATTGCTGCCTTGGACACTTTGAAGGCTAAGGATGGGTGCAAAGTGAGCTGGTTGTCTACCCTTGTGATGCTCAGGTTGTTTTCGGCTATGGAGCATGAAGATCTGAGAGCATCCTTGCAACCATCAGGGGAGAAGTACCATAATTCTATGTATTTAAAATTGGTGAGTTTTTGTGTTGTGTATTGCGCGGGACAAGGGTTTAAGGAGTCCTCCTACAGATGATGCTTCGTTGAATCTGTTCTCTTCAGCTTCTTCTTCTCTGCTTCTAGATGTTCCTTCTCTGCTTTGGCTTCATGTTGTGTGCGTTTGGCTTCTTCTTGGTGTGGCTTGTGTTCTCTCGGCTTCTGCTAATGCTTGTGCTTCTTGTCTCAGTGTTGGTTCCATTCCGCTATCCTGCGTTGTTACCGTCCCTCCATGTCTGTTCCAGGTGTTCCACAATTTGCTCTTGGTTTGGTTTGTTGCATTGATAAGGTCTGTACAAATGCCATTGTACAAGACTCCGGCAAAGTCTGGGATAACCTCGAGTGTGGGGTTTGTGGCTATATTCATTCTAAATTTATTATGGTTGGCTGAGGTGTATAGTACTAATTGATGATTGTCTCGGAGGAAAATGAGATTGAGCAGCGTGAGCTGTGCAGCAACTAATGGTGATCGTGGCAGAACAAGAGGTTTGGTGCTGCTGTGCCTCATGTTCGCACAAAGACCTTACTCTAATCTTTCTTTTGTGCCTCGTTACATAATAGAGTCCCAAGTAATGGAAATAACCAAATGTCTGATGGTGTGAAATGATGTCCGAAGCCAAAGTGTGATGTCCGAGATTTCAGACTTTCGGACTTCACAATAATAGGTTGGAAACTTTATAACGAGTGTTGGATTGTGAGTGGTATGCGTGAGTATAACGAGTGATGGAGTATGACGGTGAATGAATGGTAATATTTCGCAATGCAACTAAGAACTACAAGAATATTCTGGGTGATCCACAGAGTTGGGAAATGGCTCCTAACTACTGGATGATAATTGCAGGTCACTACAGAGTATTTAAGTAAGTATGTAGAAATCCAGAATACTACAGGCAAAGATAGTTGCAATATATTTCGGGTCTGATGTCCTATGTAATAAGACATGAGGTGCTGTGCACATGTAATAACACGGTCTGAATGTCAGAAAACATGCACGGGAATAACTACACACCTAGTGAGGCTAGTTTGGATGGACAGGACATGGGATGGACAAGTGCGCACAAAGTGCGATTGGCCGATGCAATGTCCAAAGGTCTGATGCGGAGTGGCTCGGACATGTGCAGAAGTGCATTGGACATGTGCGCATATGTTTCGGGTGTTGATGTGAGTATGAAAATATGTGGTTCCGAGCCCAGCACTGCGACCATCGCTACATTGTGCTCTTCATCAGAGACATCCCAAACTACCAACCCTGGTTGCTCAACAAGAGCATCCAACTGGTTGTGATGGGAAGCATCTTAATAATGTCTGAGTCAGAAAGTGGTTAGATTGAGTGAAATATTTCACACCTAAGCCCAATCCTCCCCCCACACCACCCATATAGTAAGGGCCATTTGCTTCCTCACAGAATGGCAAATCAGAACAACCCTCAAGTAAAGGGACGTCATCTTCATTAGTCTCAGTCTCATCCATTAATGTGGGTGGCATGTTATCTGCAAGTTGCAGGACAGACAGCAAGTTCCTATAAACCATCCACACAGATGAGCGAATGACTTTGGGATAACCCATTTGATCATAGCAATGTTGAATAAAGTTGCCGAGGGTGGGTGGGATGATGTCAAACACAGGATGAGAGGGATTGATATAAAGTTGTTGGACCCAATCCATGCCCTCATGGTCTATGGTAACCTAGAGCACATGAGATCCATGTCCGATGTAATGAGACTTGACTTACCTTGAAATCCAAAGCATTGAAGTCTTGAGGGTAGTCATAGATTAGGCTTGGGACGCCATGCGGGAGTACCTGATACATGGTCAGATTTACATCACTAACATTAAAAATTTAACTGTACTTACCTTATTGCAGTCATGTCTCTTGGCTGTGTTGTTAACACAGTTGTGATACACATCTAATTCTTGCTGCAGCCAAGGTATGAAAACCCAATGAAAACCATGCTAAGATCCACAATTAGATTTAGTATCAGATAGGAAACCAAAATCAGAGGTATGAACTTTTGAAGGGTGTTTCCTACATTATACAACCCTTCGTTGACACTGTGATCAAGCATCATCTCGGAGCCTGGAGTGAACCGATGCCATAGCTGAGACCAAGTAATTTCTAGCATAATATTTTTTTTGGAATGCATCCAGCGATGCTGCAGCATTCTTTGGAGGTCGGGATCATAGTGTTGGCGAAGAAGGGTTTGAGTGTTGGCGATACCAAAGTTTTCACTACCTAAGTCACTCTGAGTAATGAGCATATCTAAAGTGGTACAATGTTAGTTGGTGTATTTATATAGAATAATGATGACTTACGACCAAGTTCTTCAATGGTATCAAGGTAGTATGATAAAATCAGCTGCAGGTTTCTATTAGAATGCCAAACATGGATCCACATAATATGTCCAGAAAATGGTTCAATCCCACTGTGAAGACCAAGACCAAATCTTAACCATTTATCATGTTGGTTGACAGCGAATAAGTCATTCACACCAGCAGCCCAGAAGCGCCCCCTCTTGAGACACCTAGCCTTACATTCACATACAAGTTCAGGCTTGAAGATAGTGAAGTACGAGGAGACTACAGTCCTGCAACTATAAGTTAGATCTTGACAACTGTGAAAGAACTTAAACTGACCTTGAGATACTCATATTCTTTTCATGAAAGAGCAGACTGATTACTTCTGGAATTCCGGCTTTCAGATACATCTGGCAGATATCAATCATAGCATCACGGATAGACTCTATGGTATGGCCTTGCTGACAAGTGCATTAGAGGCCCATGCTCTCACATATCTCTCTAAATTTGGTAAGCCTAAAGAGTTAGTAGATTAGACAGTAGTATTTTATGTGACACGCCTTGTACATACCCAATGCCATAACACTCAGTGTTGATGTGGTTCTCCCACAGAGTGCAAACAATTTCCCTGTTATTCCAACGTGCCTTCCATAGGTGGAGAATATGAGGTGCAATCTCACTTAGCAGCACTAAACTGTCATTAGTTGGATGCATCAAACAGGGATAACTTGAAGTGCATACGGATGTGCTTATACTGGTTGGGCATTGGTGACTCGGAATGATGTTAATGCCCATGGACTGCAGAGTACTGTTAAATACTTACTGATGATGGGAATTCCATGATGGACTATTGTGACTCACTGAGATTACTGCAACTCACTGACATTAACACCTTATTATCCACCAAAGAGAAGGTGATTCAAAGTGTTACTGTGCCTTTTGTGGACCCTGAGGATGAGGATGAGGATGACGGGAGCCCACTCCCAGTCAGCAGCATCTTCATGCCAGACTCAAGGCAATAACAATAATCTAAAAAGGGTTTGTCAATGTTAATGTAGAACATCAAGAGAAAAGGGACCGCCCTGTTTCAAAACAGTTGTGTGCAAATGGCTGATGCATGTCTCAGGAACAAACTGAATTCAATGTATAAGTAAATTTATCTTACCAGAAATACAAAATGCACCATTACCAACATCAGCAACTCTGCAAAAATCTAGCCAAGTAGCTACCTTGATGCCTTTCCACAGCCTCATCGATCTCGGCTTGGACTTTAGCTTGCTCCTCGTTAACTCAACCTCATCAATCTCAGCTTGGATTTTAGCTTGCTCCTTGGGAAAACATGCCACTGCTATCAGTGTCATGCATACATGTTAGCACTGGAATGAACCTTGACTTGGAAATAAGATGAGCTACATGAAAACAATAGAGGAACCGCAAGGTCAGACAATTGCATCACTTGCACTGTCTTGCCTTCCAAGTGCAGTTGATCTCACTGAAGGTTGGACCAAAATTGTGTCACTTGCTACTGTCACTTGTACTGCCTAAAGACAGCACACTCAAACAGTTGCTTGATCATGAAAACCATTGTTGTGTGACTCCGGTATGGTTCCTCTGAGTCAAGCTGCAACTCAATGTGCATTGGGATCATATTTAACATAGTATGTGTCTTACTACTATCTTCAGATGCTACATGTTGTCTGACTGCCTCTATATGTATTTAAGTCATGAGTCAGTCTCACAGTTTTTACAGTATTCAAGTCAACTCTTGCTGATGGCGTCTATCGGTGAACTTGTCACACAATTTACAGAAGATGCTGTTGCTGATTGAGACTGTACATGCCAACACCCATCCTGCACCACCAATATTCATAAAAGTGAACCATGCTATTATATTGCCACAATGGTTCCTGGGAAGGCCGGTCACTTTGTCTGTAGGCCATGCAACCACCACTATGAGCAGAAGCTTGCTACTGGAGGCAGACCCACAGGAGGACGTGCTCCTGACCCTTCCATCGACCCTCATATACTAATCCAATAATCAGTCAATGCTGCACAAAGATTGTGTCTGTTTCTGCTTTCATTTATGCTTCTTGCCACTGACTTAATTGTTTTCCAGAATCCATGCAACCATCTCTTGTTATCACAATGTCTCATGGACAAAGAGCGGGACCAAATGTGGCAGTCCCTTCTAGCTGGTACCATGGTGAGGCGCACATCCAGCAATCTCGCCCTGCTGCCTTCTCTTCAGGCCTTCCAGGGTACTTGACTAATCATGTCATGTACAGTGCAGAATGGGAGTGCAGGGCCAAGCAGGCATACACCACTTCTCCTGCAGAGACCATCAGCTTGGAGATTTTGGCAGTTCACAAAGATGAAAATAAGAGGAAGGGCGGCCGTGCAGTTTCCTTTGGGGTATGTACACATGAATATTTCTATTGAAGTTCAACTAAATCATTGATAGAATATCTGTGAGGGCAAGAGGAATATTGATGCTCAGATTGATGTACCCCAGCTCATCATGCTGGCTCTTGAGATGGTCAGGCCAAAGATTCTGGCCTTTGCACCAGGGTTTCCATGGCATGAAGATGAATTTATTATTTGCGACAGGGGCCGGGTGGATTTGTCAAATCATCCACCAAATTTTGCTTACTTCTACAAGCAATGTGTGCAGCCTTCTCATACTAAAGGCCCACACACCACAATATTCAAGACCAAGCAATTTCTACTGTCAGTTGTTGTACCTATGACTCAGTGGGATGAGTATGAAATATGGCTTGAAAGATCGAGGAAGTTCATGTTTGTGCTTATCCGTCTACTAAGACAAGACCACTACTCATTTGTATACTTGAGAAAATCGAAATTTTTGTCCTTATACCAGATTCCTGATGATGCCTCCCTCAGAAGATAGCATTGACCACTCTGAGTCTCACTCTGAGTCTACCAGCACTATGGCAACTACCTCATCTGGTAGCACATCATTTCACTAACCACTTTTCAATCCCCCATTGGCTAAGTCTTCCAATGCTGCCATGTCGTCTAAAGCCCTGAGTTTCAAAAGGATATTTGAACATGACAGCACCCCTCCAAGTCTTCCTTCATCACCTCCTCATAAGAAGTCAGTACCGGCTTTTCAATCTCCTGATCATGAACATCTCAGGGAGGCATTGCAGTCGGGAGGTACCGCCAACTTAGATATACAATAGGGTAAGTTCATTTAATAGTAACTATATCAGCACTGATTTCAGTTCATAGTACTCACTCTCATCAACGAGACAATTCAGTTCTTTCCTATCTGGAACTGTCTGCTCTCTGACATCCTGAAAGACCCACAACATCATGCATTCTGTCTTGATCCTGAGTTGAGCCAGGCTGACATGCTTTCCATTGAAGCATCTTTAAAAAAGATGATAGGAGTAGGAGATTTTAAAACAGCACACCCTGGCTGGCTGACACTTTTCTCAGCACATCCAACCATCCTAGAGACTGAACTTGGTTTCCACCTGCAGCAAAATGTGGCAGTCAAACACCCATTTTACAAGATCTACCCCCAAGGTAGCAACAGCAGCAGCATGCCCAGCAATTTCGCAATTGGACAATACATCATAAATGATGAAATGGCAAAGTTTTTTAGAGAGGCGAATGTATTGTACTGGGCCAGATCACTTCTTCAGTTTGCATATGACTTTATTGATCACAGCATTTCCTGTTCAACTGAACCACCACCTTTTGATATTCCTCACTTGTGCTTTGTCAATGCTGGTCTAGCCGCATTGTATGCTCAACCACTGCCTACTACGTCTCATCAGAAATCAAAGGTGAACATCCCTCGTTCTGGCTACCTGGTTGAAGAGTTGATTAGTGGCAAGTTCCTGAAGTATATTCATAATATGGACTGTCAACTGCTGGTTGACCCAGATGAATTTGGCTACGAAATAGCCAAGTTCCTGGCATACACGCAGCATATGTAGTACATCAAAACCAGTGGCCTGGCTTTTATTTCAGACTATCAGGGTGTGCACATTTTATTTCTGAATAATCAGTTTATTAATGAGTTGTCACCAGGTGACTCTGAACTTCTAACGGACCCTCAAGTTTTGACTCACCCATAAGTGTTTCTCCTTCTGTGTCATCCAAGTTTTGCTCATCTTGGAATTCTAGCACAGTTAATGGAGGCAAAGACATGTTTTGGAATGGGAATATTGAGGTTGGTGTGAGCAAGTTCGAGAAGGACCATATCTGCAATAAGTACTGTTAGTGGAGTGGTTTCAAACTGAAAAGTTTCAGGATCGAAGAGTAGAAAGTTCATAGCCGCTTTGTGTTTTCATGATTTGTGTTTCATTCCATGTAACTTGCAATAGTCTGAATCCTCAACTGTATGAAGTACAGAAAGGTTTTGTCCAATCTCAAAATTCAGGCACCTACATCAATTATAACAGACCAAGAAAAATTTGCCTTCCTTGGACAAGCTTCTACGAGCTTCTAGATTCTTCATCAGCATTTGATTGCAGAACTCCCACTCCTCAAGGAGCCAGCACTCAGAGAGATTAAGTCAGTGAACAAACGGTTAGCAAAAATAAAATTGAAATATATGGATGTGGTGGAAAGAAAAGTGATACTCCACTACTCAATCTCAGGGCAGGGATAGGCCAAACTGGACTTCATAGAGAGGGGAGTTCAAGTTCTACAGGTATGTTGGAATATATGGATGTGGTGGAAAGGGAAGTGATACTCCACTACTCAGTCTCAGGGCAGGGACAGGTCAAATTGGACTTCATAGGGAGGGGAGTTTGAGTTCTACAGGTATGCAAGGCAAAAACTTGGTGCCTACCAGAAATTGGTGTGAATCACCATGCTGACCACAGCATGATAAAGGTGGAGAGAAGCACAGAAATGTGAATGACAAATGAATGAGAAGGAAGACCAAGAAGTTTGCAGAAAAATGAGGCTATCCCTGCTATATAAGCTTAACACGAGGGAAACAAGTACCCTAGGAAGCAAAGCAAGATGGTCAAAACAAAGAACAACAATGGTATTGATCGGGAAGGCACAGTTGGGGACTGGCGGCTCACCCGCTGTTATATGTTAATTTTGGTGTATTTGGTCAAGAACTATTGAAACAATATTGTAGTGTAAGGTATCGAAGGGTGTTTGGTATCCTTGTGATGCACATGGACAAAAGAAGGCTTACAAAATGAGCACAGTCATCTGACTTTCCATAGATTATTGCAAGTATGCAAAGTGTTTCAGTGGCCCTTCCGGCACTGTGGTTGTCATAACATATATTGAACACATGGATCTGTTACGACTGGGATAGTTCTGCTGTTGCCGGTCAAGATAGACCTGTCAGGCGAACAGTTCGTCAGCCTTCCTAATACAAGGAAGGTTTCTGGTGGTTCCTACTGCACGAGCCGCGGCTTCTATGCAGGATCAGTGGCGAGTGGTTTTAGCACTTCTTCCGCAATCAAGGGTTTCAGGCTAAGACAGTGAGTGACTGCCTTAGAATCAGAGTTCAGGCTACTAAGGGTGGAGACCTTAGTAGATCAGGTTTCAAGGGGAAAACCCAGTAGATTAAGTTAAGGAATACAGCTATGGTACATGGGGTTTATATAGGTAAAAGGAAGCGGCGTAGCCGCGACAAGAACAGTAACAGAGATAGGAAAAAGAGTACAACCTATCAAGATAGCAAAGATAGGTGAAACTGCCATGCGGCGCAAGATAGTATCTATGTTACAATCAAGAAAGAAGAGAAGTGCGGACAGCCCGCTTGATAAGAGAATAGCCGAGTCTAGATGAGTCTAGAGTCGGCGGCATGGTTACAAGAAAAGAAAAATGAAATAGGAGTAAATGTTATTGTAACAGGATCCACAAAAACAGAGGAAATGGCTGTGTGAGGGCTGCAGTTGGTATCAATGCTCAAAAACAACAACTAAGTGGATTACTGATTCAGATAAGTGTTACACTTAGAATTCGTGTCTGGTGTCCCTAATAATTTATGAACTTGAAAATTTTGTTTCAGCACCAATATAGCATCAACTGCAGTCGCCATATGACAGTGCTGTGATCTATAAACAAATTGCAGAGGCTCAGTGGGGTAGTAAGTGTATACTAACTGATTACTTCCTTTAGTACTGACATAACTGAACCTTAGAATCAAATTTCCCTATTCATGCACTTGGACTTGTAGTTCAGCAGCACATATCCAGCCCACAGGCAGGAAACTTCTGCATGCTCCCTTCTGCATTTACTCCTGATTCCTGTCTAGCAAGTTCAAACATTTGTCATCCAATTGCTTCTAGACCTAAAATCTCCATTTATGGATGGGATACCCAAACTGTTGTCCACTCAGACCTACTTTAGACATTTCCACTCTAGCCTGGCTATCAAGAGGCTCATAAGGTCTATGAAGAAATGTGGACATCACTTGCAAAATTGGCTTGCTCAATGATCGTTCCTGAAATGGTATGTGTTAAGGCATATCTGGCAGTGATGATGACATGTGCCAAGAAGCCGGCTCAGATATCTGTTTGTATCCTTACTGTTAGTTCAAGTTTAAGGGTAATTCTAACCACTTTCATCACAGGATATTATTGAGTCAATTAGTCATGTACCTTATTGTATTGGTGCCAAGAATCTCAAAGTCTCCATCTATCTCACTTTGCTTCCATTGTTCTTTAAGTGGTCTTATGGTCTACCATTTTCTTTTAATAAGGCTCATCTGCTATTAGTAAGTAATTTTAAGGAAATTATTTCATGTCCATCAGGCGAAGATACTAATGCAATTGCTATTTATTTTCTTAAGATGAAAGGTAGAAAGCAATAGTTCCATGCTAGAAAGGGTATCGAAGTCCATCTTCTGATCCCTCTCAAAAAGTTTCAGGAGGCAGAGAAAAGGCAAGAAAAGGTTGAGGAAGGTACTAAATCTAAACTTAAAGTCCATATATGCTAGTTGTTCTCCAAACTGTCCCTAACCTACTACTATTTACACCAGAGAACATCTGATACTGTGTTATCAATAATAGACCCATGACCTAATAATGCTTATGTTAATGACTCAGAGACTCAGACAACTACAGGTAGCCTTCACAGGCTTGGCTCATTGCAGTCAAACAAGCTGACAAAACACAAATTATCCTCAGTGAGTTTAACATCTTCCTATGCTTCACCGCACTCAATAAGATGATACAAAGCCATCTCTTCCAGCAACACCTCCTCAAAAGCTTCGCACTTTGAATACAACTGTCTCCCCAAATGCAAGTAAACTTTGTCGTGCACGCCAAGCACAAGCAACTATGATCAGTGGGAAATTATTTCCAGATCCTTTCCATGAGTGAGATCCTAGCTTTATATATAAGCTACACTAATTTCAAATATTGCAGTTACTCTGTGTCTATTCACTACAGTGCTACACATCATTCCCTCTCTCTCATTATCCTTAATCCAAACACCTCCAACTTCATCAATACCATTACTCCGACACAGGCAACTTTTTTTTTTCAATCCACAAGGCAAACCAAAATATGGTGCATTCAAGGCTGCTCAATTTGGCTTCCTTGACAAAGCTATTCTTGGGCCCTCCAAGTCAGAGTCAAGCTCCAATTCAACACATATCTGTCTCAAGCAATGTTACTATCAAAATAAAAAGTCAAAGAGGTTCCCTCATGCTGATCCACAATAATCACAGCTGTTACAACCTGAGATAAAGTGCAGCATATGGGCTGGAGCTTTAATGGACCATGTCCAACTTTGTCGCCACTGAGCTTTTCACACATGGCACACCGCCATTTAACATTCCCAACATTCACTTTGTTCATGTCGCTCTTGCCAGTATCGATGATGCAGGCATTACTAGAACCTATCTTGTTGAAGAGTTTATTGATGAATCCGTGGAAGGCAAGTTTACCAAATACATCTCCAACAACTCACCTTCCCCACTATCCAATCTCGATGCCAAATCAAGCAGGATTGCCAGGTATCTGTCATTTGCACAACATGTCCAGTATATCAAGATGAGGAAACTTGCATATGTTGCTGACTTTCATGGTCTGTTCATTTTTGTGAACTTGTCTTTACTTCTTCTGATCTCAAGCTTATTTCAGGAGGAATGACCCTTTTGACTGATCCTCAAATCATAACTTCACCATTAGTTTGTATAGCCACTCAATCTTATATGTATTGCTGACAATTTTTACTAGTGATCTTTCTGGGTGCTTATTTACAGAAGGCAACTTGATGCATGTATTCACTTCATTTGAGGATAAGCACGTATGTAATGAATTTTGCAAATTTTTTTCAACTTAAGACATTTATAACAACATGATGCACAAACATGTGGACGGCCTACAATAAATCCTTACCCTCTCTCACATCACCTCCTCACTTTGACCCAGATTATCTATTTGCCAAAGAAAACTCAGGCACTGAAGCAAGAGTGGACTCAGATATCACTCATCACTCACAGTGGTGGCAGTGAGTACGATGACTTTGGTGCACAAAGTATGGACCTAGGAACTTGTGAATGTTGAAGGATAGGTACAATGGGGAGATTGTCTTCATAAGTCTTTACTCAAGTTTTGATAGGTTTAAATAAGTTGAATCAACAATGTATTGATAAGTCCTTGGTCTGTGCACATACTTCTTACATTCAGTGACATAGCACTTGTGAGTCTCACATTGACACCTTTGATGGCCCATGTCATGAAGTTGAGGGGAACGCAGACAACAGCTAAAGAAAGGTGGGTAATACGCTCATTGAGACTCAACTGTCAAAGTACATATCACATGTTCTGATTCCAAGACTTGGATATAGGACCGAGTTTGATCCAGCATTACAAACTGAATACAGAGCTACTACATGGCAGTCTTATGATGTGCTGAAGACATTCCAGCCCTTTTTACACCTTCCATGTCCTTTGTCTTCACAGCCTGTGTGCTCACAGCTTTGGGTGTAGTCAAATTCTGTAAATTGCATGTTAATTGATTTTAGCTGACCATACTAGAAGAAAAACTTACTATGGGTCCTGGGTCATTGGATTCAAAGGTAAAGGTGAATTGTTCAGGGACTTAACAAAAAAACAAGTAAATAGTGAATTCATCTATAAACACTTGACATTAAATCAAACATTGAGTTGTGAACAATTAGTTATAGGTACTACAATGAGTGTTAGCATTTCATCTGATTGGATGTGTTTGTGCTAACCTGACGGTAAGGCCAAGATTTGAGACATGAACATCTAAAGCTGTTCACCACAGTGTCGTCAGGGCCAGCCTTGAAGCAGTGAGCACTGAAAAAACTGACTGTAATATATAAGTGTCTGTCCCCAAAATGTATCTAAAGACATGTACAAATGTACAGAATAGCACTCAAACCCTCCAACCAGAATGGTGCTTCTTCCTCTCCTACCAACGACTCATCTTATGTGGTGGTATGAGCTCAAAGACAGGGTGATCAGCAGGTGCATAAATTCCTTCTACCTTATCGATGAGATCACCAGGTATGGAAACCTTATGTTTATCAAGTAGATAGCTATTTAAAAATCATGTTATTTGTACCTTGAAATTAAAGGAGTTGAATTGATGGGGCTTAGCATGAATGATGGCAGGAATGTCATAGGGGAGAATTTTGTGTTTATTACTGCATGGAGTATTATAGTTCCTGAAACAGACTCATGGATCCAGCTCAGCCTGGAGCCATGGAATTGCAAGCCAATGTAAAATATAGCTGAATGATGAACCATTGGTAAGTGTCAAAGGAAGTATTGGGCAATGTACTTTTGCAATGTGTTGTGAGTATCATACAAGCCCTTTACAACACCATCTTCTAATATGTTTTTGAAGCCAGATGCAAAGTCTTTGCATAAGACTGACCACAAAATGTCAGGCTCAATGTTTTGGTGCTTCTGCATCCAACAGTGTTGCAGTGTGCCACAAAGATTAGGATCAAGGTGGTGACACATCATTGTTTGTACATTGGCAACAGAGAAGTTCTCTGATCCAGTGTCACTTTGGGTGATCAAAGGAATAGCTAGATTATAAATGGTGGCAGTCAGACTGGATGTATATCAATGAAAAAGTGGAACATTCCATACCTCTAAGATCTCTACAAGCATCAATATAGTATTGAGCAATGAGACGAGGATTCTTGTTTGTCCACCAGATTTTGAGCCAATTAATCCAGCCTGTAAATGGATCAAGACTGACATGAAGGAATAAGCCAAAGCATTGCCATTTGTCATGCTGGTCTTGTGTCCACACATCATTGACACCTGCACACCAAAAGCATCTATGCCTCAGGTGGCCACAACACTGGGCTTGGACAGCAGTGGGTTCAACAATTTTCAGCAGCCTCACAATCAGTGGTCTTTTAATACTTCTCATCACACAATTTTCATGTCATTCAACCCAATATTAAAATAAAACTCTGCATATTCTTGAATATCTTGAGCTGGCACTATTGCCAGTACTGTTGATCAATCTGAAGGTATATATATGCTTAAAACTCATGGCAGGGCTTATATTGATTTGCTCATCAAAGACTATCCGAGTCTGCATGAGTAGAGAGTAGAAAGTAATAGTAGGTCACACTCAGACACCATGACTTTTTTCACAAATTTGTAAGGCACAACAATCACTTTTATAAATTTGCAAGGCACAAGGAAATCAACTTGTAGTGCTGTTGTCAGTCAAGGAGTGTGGTGTGATTTGCACTCAGGTGTGGTCAGGGGTCTGGCAGGGGAAAGCCAAACAATTGCCTTTTTCTATTGAAGCTGATCATCGTTGTTCGAGCTGATCACTCTTGCTTTCCATAGCCTCGTGCCTCAGCTTATTGAATATACACTCAGTTGGCTATACAAGCAACTGTATTAGTATATGTACCTATTGAATATACACTGAATGAAATTATTAGCTAGGTAAGTAGACCGTAAATGAAAGTGTCTCACCTCAGTTGGCTATACAAGCAACTGAGGTGCATAGATGACAATGAACAAAGAAAAACTGTACGTGATTATGTAAGTAAGCAGTCACATGTTACGATAACCGTTATCATCGTTTGTACTGACTTCCAACACTCCTTCTCAAATGATGACTCTAACTCCTAGCTCGTGTGCGAAATGCTTCGCCTTAATGCTTGGAAGGGCCTTCGTTAGCATGTCGGCGACCATGTTCTCTGTCGGGCAGTATAAAAGTTTGATCGAGCCGTTCTTGATGCAGAAACGAATGTAGTGGTATCGAATATTGATATGCTTGGTGCGTGCATGGTAGCTTCCGTCTTTGGTGAGTGCAATTGCTGACTGGTTGTCACTGTATAGTGTCGTTGGGTGCTGCAGCGGCCGAAAAACTTCCCTGATGAAACGACGAAGCCATTGAGCTTCCTTGGCTGCGTGAGTGGCCGCTACGAATTCTGACTCTGCAGTTGACAGGGTTACTAGCTCTTGCTTTCGTGAGCCCCACGATATTGCACCGCCGTCAACCAAAAACGCGAATCCGGTTATGGCACGTCTGTGCTCTTGACTGGCGCCATCAGTGTCAGTATACCCGACTAACCCTGCACCACTCGTCCCAAAAGTGAGTCCCAACTTCCTCGTTCCCAGCAGATAGCGGTATACCCGCTTCACTCCTTCCCAGTGCATCCACCCTGGCTTGTCTGCAAACTGCGCGAGTGTCGAGACGGCAAAGGCTATGTCTGGACGTGTTCCGATGGCCAGGTACATTAGGGATCCGAGCGCTGAGCGGAACGGGACTCGTTTCATTTCAGCAACTTGTGTCGTCATGGTAAAGGATTGGTCCTGTGTGTACTGAATACTTGGGTTCATAGGCACTGCTGCGGGTTTAGCATCAATGAAGTTGTACTTCGTAATGATAGCATCGACAAATGATTCTTGGGATAACGAGACGGTGCGTGCTTCACGGTTTCAAGTGACTTTCATGCCGAGTAACCAGCTGATGGGTCCTAGGTCTGTTATTCTAAATCGTGACGCGATTTCGACCTTGAACGCTTTAATTAGCTCCTTTGAGCTGCCAGTTATGGTGCAGTCGTCGACGTGTGCTGCGAGGATGAGCAGGTCTTCTCCTATGTGTGCTGTGAACACTCCCCAGTCACTTTCCATCCGCTCGAACCCTAATTCGGTGAGTTCTCTGCACAAACATTTGTACCATTTTAATGTGCCTTGTTTTGATCCATACAGCGCAACTCGAAGCTTCGCGACCTCGTCCTTTCCTCCTAAGTCCACTCTGTGGAAATCGAATATGTCAATGTCCCAGTCTTGGCGTGCGGCGATAGCGAGAATCAGTCTCAACAATGCGAGACGAGCCACTGGTGCGTAAGTCTCGTAATAATCAACACTGTATACTTGAGTGAAGCCTCGTGCGACTAGCCGGGCTTTATACTTATCGATTTCTCCTGCAGTGTTCCTTTTAATCTTGAAGACCCACTTGCAGCTGACGACATTCTTGTTCTTGGGCCGCTGAACAATGTCCCAGGTACGTGCTTCATTGAGACTCTGTAGTTCTGCATTGACGGTGTCTCTCCACTTCGCCCAATCAAATCGTGTCTTCGCATCTTCAATGATGCTTGGTTCCAGGCCTTCAGCCTCACTCATTCCCGTGAACATCACATAAGCAGTAAGTTCTTCATCAAATCCCAATTCTCTTCCTAATCCTTCTCCAGACGCTACCATGCCACCGCTACCTTCCTCTCTCTCTTCCTCTACCCTTTGCATCCCTCTAGGAATGATTGGCTTGCCACTCCTACCATTGTGAGTACCTTCGCCGCTTCGTAACCTGCGCATATATGGTGATTCTGTTCGCTGACGAGTAGATCGTCTAGGGCCAGGTGGCTGCTGTTCAAAGTTTGGACCTAGTGGATCATTTTGAGGGTCTGGGTTTGGCGGGGGATTTGGATCCTGGTGTGGATTGGATGGGGCTTGGGGATTGGTCACTTGCTGATTGGCTTTTGTAGTTTTGCTCTCCTTCTCAATCGGCGAGTTTGGCCTTAGCACTGGACCTTCCTCGTGCTGCCTCGCGAATGTTACATTACGTTCGACAGCAATACTCCTCCGGTCCTCAAAATAGATCTGATGGGCTCCACTCTCGGCGTCAAATCCTATCCATCGACCTGCGCTGTCTTAATAACCGAGGGTCTTATATAAAGTTGTGTAAATGTAATGACACCACAATTACACTTTGGATAAGACTGCTTGCCAGTCCTCAATTAACACGGTCTATGACTTTTCCTATTTCGTGGTAGATAACATGTGAGTTCTTGGGAGGCTCGCTAAACTAATCTTTTTATAAAGATCAACCTAGCCGGAGCTTTACTTTTCTTTATTGAAACTCAAATCTCTTGTCTAGGAATAAGCTTCTAGACACGTAATTTGGTTTCTGGAATGTATTTGCCTAGGAAATCTCCTTCTAGGCTCTGGACTTGGATACTGGAACTAGTGAGACGTGGTCTCAAATATATGAAATATGACCAAGATCGCTTGGTCTATGGACACTTGACTATGAGACAATGGTCTCAAATATACTATATATATGTTCAAGATCGCTTGAACAAAGGGGACTATAACTTGACCAAGATCGCTTGGTCTATGGGACAACTAGTGAGACGTGGTCTCAACAATATGATAGATGACTAAGATCGCTTAGTCAAAGGGCACAGAGCAATGAGACAAAGGGGTCTCAAAGACAATATATATGACCAAGAACACTTGGTCTATAGCACTGAATAAGTTTCTAAGGTAAGAAACTTATAATCTCAAGGGAATTCTTTTCCCTGCACTTGTCTCACTTCAAAGGGACTAACTTTGCAAGTGAAATATCTGAGAGGCAGATTGCTACAAATGGGAGATCATATATTTTTTTGGGGGGAGAATGGGCTCTCCTTATATACATTTTGTGTGGGAAAGTAACCTAGGTTCACAAACAATAAAAAATAAGGAGGACCAATCAAAATATTGGGTCAAACCCAATAAAAGAATAAAATACAAGTGAAAGATGGAGCTATGACATCATTGTGGAGCAGAACATTCTGGAATGTGGAGTAATGACATCATAATGACATCAAGAGTGACATCATTGTGGAGCAAAAGATTCCAGAACCTTCCATGAGTGAGTCAGAGTGAGTCATTGTGGAGCAGAATATTCTAGAAGGAAATGACATCATGAATGATGTCATTGTAGAGTAGAATAATCTAGAGCTTGATGACATAATATCTTTCAACAGAATACCTGCAGGAGTATCTGTGGAGTCTTATGATATCATAATGACATCATACCCTATGGGTACAATTTTATGAAGTGTCAGGTGAGTCAAAGCATCCTAATGAAAAAGTAAAGTAAAGAAACACTAGAGAAAAGTAGGTAGCAAAAATAAGACAGTTGGCAAGAATTGAAACACGGTCTTTTTGGATAGGTTTTTTATAGGCTTTGTACTTTTCTCTATGGTTTTCTCTAGCCAAAGTGAATAAGCCAAAGGCAAGGCTATACCTTAACCTCCATTTCCCTTCTCACATCAACTAGGTCTAAATGTGATTCCCATCTCACATTAGACTTTTTCCGTCAAAACGTATTCAGATCATGAAACTTGGGGAAAACTGGAAATATGGACCATGGTTTGAAACCAAGGTATGGGTTGACTAGTCTGAGGACTAAGCTAGCAGACTTTATCTTTTGAGGGTCACCTAGTATTCATGTCCATGCATGATTCCCACATCATGCAGGACAGCACGTGTGCGCATGTCTAGCTTCGAACCGGTTGGGTCATGCACCCATACCTTGGTCCCCCAGATTGGTAAGTCTGCTAAGTTTGGTTTCTTGCCGTGCAACATCTCATATGGAGTTTTCCCTTCTAGCGAGCGTGTGGCAGTGCAATTCTTCACGTAGACAGCGTGTTTGATGCCTTCACCCCACATATTCTTTGGTAGACCACTTGCATGTAGCACTGCACGGACACGTTCGACGAGTGTGTGATTCAACCTTTCAGCGACTCCGTTGTGTTGTGGGGTATCGTGGGTGGTGAGTTTCCATTCTGTCCCTTTTGCTCGAAGATGTTGAGTGAATTCATCACTCAGGTACTCTCCACCACGATCTGACCGTAAACGCTTGACCCGAATGTTGTGCTGGGTCTGCAACCATGCCTCATAAGTCTTGTATGATTCAAATGTTTTGGACTTTGACCCTTGGAGGTATAGGCACGTATAACGGGAGTGGTCGTCTGTAAACGACACGTAATAGGTCTTCCCACTTGGTGTTTGAACTTGGGAGGGTCCCCACAAGTCAGTATGGACTTCATCGCCAAGGTTTTCACATCATTTTGGGTCTTGCTCCTTCCCTATTGGTTTGCGTGTGGTTTTTGCATATTCGCACAATTCGCACTGACCCATGGTAGCACGATTGGGGTCTAGTGTGACTCCTTCTATCATCCCCTTTGCTAACATCTCTCGAATAGCCAACGGGGAGATATGGGCCATTCATTGGTGTAAGTCTTCCATAGACTGGACCTTAAACGTGTTCATGGCTGCTGCACTTGGGGTAGGTTCATTTCGAATGCAATATAATCCTCTACTGACGGTAACTTCACCTAGTGTCTTGTTCTTAGCATCTAGAATTTGGCACGAGTCTCCACGAAATAAGGCCACATAGCCTGCGCAAGTGAGTCTGCTGATTGAGACCAAAGTTGCTCCCATTGACAGCGCATAAAGGACATTTGTCAACAGGATGCGAGTCTTGGTGTTACCGTTAGGGATTTCGATGGGAAGGTCACCTTTGCCTATGGCATCAAAGGTACGTTTATCGGCTGCTTTGATCAGGTATGGGGGAATTGATTTGAAATTAACAAAGCGGTCACAGTATTGGGACATGTGTTGTGATGCACCACTGTCGTAGAGATCAACAGATGCTCTGTGTGTGTTCGTGTTGTTTCGTGCGAGCTGGGCACTGTCAAACGATATCGACAATGTGTCTCGAGGTTTGGGTTCGTCGTCCCAAATATCTTCAGTGCTCGCTAACCACACCCCATCAGGTTCAGAATTGTCCTTCGAGTTCGATGCATCCGCATTTGACCCGCTAGCCTTGGATTTGTCGTCATCTTTCGACTTCGACTTCTTCCCACGCGACTTCCACCCTTTCGGTGCTTTACCAGCTTTGCCTCCTCCGTCTTCCCAGCAGTCCTCTTTCTTGTGACCTTTCCAGCCACAATTGTTGCAATTGTATGGAAATTTGGGCTTCTGCGAGTGCTGCTTGCCCTTATACGAGGTCCCATCGGCCAAGAAAGCTATGTCATCGCTCTTCGACTTCCCTTTTGTCCTGTTCTGGATGAGTAATTGGTCGTACTCATTTATAACAAGATTCATGAGTTCGTGCACGGTGGGTGTTTTCTGATGCAGCTGGATACTTGTCGAAACAGCTGATAGGATATTGTTATAGCTGTGTGGGAGCGATGCGAAGGTGATGTTGAAAAAGTCTTTGTCTGGGACAGGGTCACCAGCTGATGCTAGCTCTTCTCGTAGTTTTCGCAATGTGTCTACGTGAGCTCGAGCATCCCCGCCTTCCTTTAGTTTCAACTCGCCGAGCTGACAACATAATTCCACGGTGACGCCTAGTGATCAATTCTCGAATTGGTTCTTCAGTGTGTCGAAGAAGTCCTTCGCGGAGGTTAGGGAGAGGAGTTGAATGAATAGAGTATCTGGGACCAGTACTGCTATTTGTTGCCTAACAATGACATCGTTCTCATCCCACTTCTTGATCGCAGTCTCGTAAGCTTGCATTTCAGCTAGCTCTGTGGGTGTTGTAGGTGACCATCCAGCTGCTTGTCCAGCTGCTGGATTAACTGGCATCCCTAATCCTGTAAGGTGCCCTGACAGTCCACGAGCTAACAACGAGAGTTCAAGTCTGCCTTTCCACAGAGGCCAATCCTTCCCTGAAGCATCCAACTTCGGGACTCTCCAGAACTCGTCTCCATGTTTAACATTCAAGGACATTGCGTGGGTGATTTTTTTTTTTTTTCAGTTGCAGAGCTCAGGGCTCATAACCTATTGAATATACACTCAGTTGGCTATACAAGCAACTGTATTAGTATATGTACCTATTGAATATACACTGAATGAAAGTATTAGCTAGGTAAGTAGACTATAAACGAAAGTGTCTCACCTCAGTTGGCTATACAAGCAACTGAGGTGCATAGATGACAATGAACAAAGAAAAACCGTACGTGATTATGTAAGTAAGCAGTCACGTGTTACGATAACCGTTATCGTCGTTTGTACTGACTTCCAACACGGCTGACTCAAATCAACATATTAGGAAATCAAACAATAAACAACAGTCGGTCGGTCCAGTGTTGATTTGAATGGCTTGATTAGATAAATTCAGACTAATGATGATGGAAGTCTTCGCCGACCAGGTGTCTATTCTACTTTATGTACAAGCTATTTAACCTTCCTTTACAGCTGACGGATACATTCCTCGAAAGCTACAGTAACAAATCGCGAGATGATTACACAGTAATCATGGGTCAATCATACAGTGAACAATGGAGTATAAGTAAAAGGGAATCAAGACTATCAAGCGTATCCAAACGATTCGACATGCAGTGTGATGCTCGGTCCACCACTGAGGATACTAGAAGGCCCAGAGACCGGGAAACGAAGCGCATGACGAACCGCACGCGCTATAGCCTGCGATCCGCAAACTAATGTTACACCCATAAGCCTCTCGTTCTTGGAGGCCGGCGTAATTAATACTTACCGCTCACCGACATCCTCCCCGAGGTTACACTGACCTCTTCTTTGAGCAGTGCATCTAGATCCGGTCTTCCATTTTCAGTCCTAACGCCGCGCAGCGACATGAATGATAGTGATAAGGAATATTTCCTAGCTGTCATGTGTCCGGGATTGCGTTTTTTCTCGGTGGAGCTTGAAATGCTGTCATCGTCTTCCCTGAAGGACTTGGATTGCGTCGTGGATGAAGCAGTGATAAAGATGCGGATAGAAACTGTCAAAGACGGCGGGGCAAGCCGAACGGCTTTGATAAGCGCCTCTTCGATCCATTGGACGTACTCTATCATGCATGACGTTAATGACCTCATAGAAGAAGCTGCGGATTGTTATGAATACACCCACCAGCACCGCGAATTGCCCAAATGAACACAACCCGTGTGCAAGAACTTTTCCCCTTGCGTACGCGTCTATAACAAGAATCAAACATCAAACATGTTAATAAATGAACACACATACTCGATAATGTTGAGGAAGACAGGGAGAGTATACGAGACGCCAGATCCGCCTGATTTCGATCAGTACCGTGTGATTACCACACAATACACAATTCACCTGCCACCAATACAGAGGTATCATATGAACTGAGGTCAGGAGATGGGCCATAAGGACCGTCCACAAAAACTTTGACAGTTTCCTTCCTGGCAGCTATTTCCTTTAGTTTTTTCGTGAAACCCCCCCGCACGTTGACCAAAAATACTAGCTCCTTCCAGAACGGAGCGCTAGGTCCCGTAACATCACGGCTGGGTCGATCCTCCGCTGATGCGGTTGACAGCAGACTAGAATCAAAACTCGCAATAGTAAAAGGGTGCGCTTCGAATGGCAGTGTCGAAACTGAGGGCATGATTAGATATGCTGATTGTCCTGGGGACCAATGGAAATGCGGGGGTCGACATAGACGTAGTCGAATGACACCTTCGGAAAGCAATTCTGTCGCTGCGTCCATTGTCCCAGTTCCTGACTTGAACCCAAAGTAAGAGTGATTGAATACGACAAGTCGGATTGCTCGGATGAAGCGATCGAAAGCCCAGAACACAAACGAGGGCCATATCCAGTACGACCCGCTGTTTGCTGCAAGTCAGAAACATAGCTATCTATATGAATTTGCACTTACTAAGCACCCTTGGCGTGATAATATCCTCCCACCAGCACTACGCTGCGTTCTGTCTGTCAATAGAAATTACAAGCGAATAAGAGTGCTACACCCACAGGACGCTAAGGATGTGAACACAAAAGAAAACCTCATAGATGTTACTGCGAACGGGACGCAGTGATACTAAGATCAGAATAGAGAAAGCGATCATGGCAGTGATACCGGCGCGAAGCCATGGTTGGCTCAGAGTTTCCTGGAAGCTTTCAATAATCATTATTTCAAAATAGCAAGTACGAAATTGAAGATACGTACTTGGGATAGGATACAATCTGGCCTGCCCCATGTACCCAAAGTAGCATGAAGCATGTCCTAGCTATCATTCGATGAGTATAGTTGAGCTTTGGGTCCTCAAGTAAGTGCCACGTGGAGGGAAATTAAAGGCCATACCTTATCGTAACTGATGCCCGTGGCCACTGATTTGAAAAACTCATAATCAACGAAACGTTGGACCAATAATATGTTCACTTACGAGACACGATATTGTTCTTTGTGCCAAGCGCTGTGACAATTGGAAGCTGACTAGCCGCCAGCATGGCTATACGGTTGCTCCAGAAGTTGATGTCAAGCTTCTGACCCTCGGCTGAGGTGGCTGCGTAATTTAGTGGTTAATTATAGTTTAAGCAGGACTGCCCACGATCCCCTGTACTTACTATTAATGAAGGCATAAATCAACAGGAGGACGATGTATGCCACAGTGACGAAAACCTCTGCCATGTTGAGGGTATAAGATTGTCCTATTTCCAGGGTCCATCGGAAGGCAACAATGCGATAGACATTTATGACGGCAAGCGGAATTCGACGAAGAGAAAATTTTCGATGAACCCCGTTGGTGATGACCGTTTCTTCGTCGTACTTATGGCATGCCCGCCTGGCGAACTTTGAGTGAAGGAATAATCCCCATTGGAAGCAGCCGACTACAAAAAGAAAGGCGGCGATAGTATACCATACTTGTTGAGGGTACTGGGTATTGTCCTCTACGAGCGAGGCCATGTCAGCGTCAGAGAAGGGAGAACTCGACATCCTCAAGTTGTGAAGAAAATGTGGAATCTAACAACTTGAGGGTGCAGAGAATAGCAGACTAAATAAGAGGAACATATCAGTGTGGGTTTGCAAATTCGAACATAATGTGAGGTCACAAGGGAATCATGCTGAAATCGATACGCCACGCACATAGGTTCGAAGGATGGCCAAGAGGGGATTAATCGCTGTATTGAAAACTGGGTTATAATGGGGAAAAACACTTTGGGAGATTAACATGACGAGTAACCATAAAAATCTTAGCTGGCAAAGATCCAATCGCAAAGTACGATTGCTCTGATTAAAAGTCGAAAACATTGCGATAAATGTCGTGACTCGCACTGTCGTTCAGCGTCCGCGTCAGCCAAAGTCACTAACTGGTTGGCTCATTCGGTACACTCGTCAAAACAACCAAATCGTCCTTTATCATGCATGCTGCTGGATTTATCAAGCACGGCAGTATGTAGTGCGCTGTTTCCATCGAATGTATGAATGCCAAGGCGCCAAGGTCGAGTGAAATTCAATCTGCAACTTGAATCTCGATCACTCTTCGAGCGCGTAGATGCAAAAGCAATGCCTCGCAGGCCAATACTGTATTCGATGTCTTATTGACTCATTACCGTGTCAGCCTTAACGTATTCTGTCCTGGATTCGAGGGCTCACATGGTGTTCGAGCCGCGGATTTTAGATTACCGATAGTTATCATGATGGAGCGGACATAAATGTTAGGCTTAGAAAGTTCCTCGAGGTGAATAATTGTACTCATCTGCTCGTGTAAACCTATAGTGGTACTCCAGAAAACTCGCTTAAACACTAGCTAAACGCTTTGAACTCCCGGCTAAAATCCATTCGGGCAGGCATCGTATGGCGTTGAAATCACCATGCCTCATGCTCGCCAATGTGCTTTTCTTGCATAGGGTTCTGGATGGGTGAACTCCCATGTTGTAGTCATATGATAAGAGTAGCACTAGTAGTACGAGCGCTAACACACTTTGACTTAGTTGAAACGAAGAAGATTTGTCAGCACACCGCGTAAGGTTGTGCTGGCCAAGTGCTGGGTTTGAATTCGTCATGGGCCAGCCCGGCCAGGTGAAATTGATCAAATTCCTAGTAGAGATCATCCGTTTCAATATCATCCTTATCATTAACGATCAACACATGGATGCTCGAGTGTCTGCCTGCGTACAAGTTCTATGGTGTTGTATTCACTTCTCACCAAATTTACAGTTCTTGTCCTCTGTGCTCACACTACTAGTATTATGCATACCATTCAGCTACAATTCGCGCCATGATGAGTATACTGGGTGTTCCTTCACCGCAGAGTGCTTCATTCCAGTAGTTACTTTTTACTGGAAAGACATAGATGTCATCGAGTATAAGTGATTACTGGAATGAAGATGGAGAGCAGCTCGAGAATCTCGCACTCGAGATTGCTTCATAGGACCATATCTCTGTCCTGCCAACTCCCCATTTTTCTGATCACCCTCTTTTTCGATTCTAATCTGTGTCTTTTGCAGAGCGATATTCTATGTAGTGATCACCTCTTTATACTACCACCGCCAGTGCCCCTGTCACTCCCGTCGTGATCTCCAGTCTTTTACCTCAGCGAGGAGTGAGAGCAGCTGCAAGAAGGTCGTTCTAGATTCTCTCTTGCTCCCTTTGCGCTGACGTTATTATTGATACACTGAGTTATCGCGCGCCATAATGAGCCTACTTGGTGTTCATTCATGGCAAAGTGTTGTTCGGCTACTGAATGTCTCATTCTCCCCGACACGAACAGCACTTGCATGTCGGTTTACGTCTCGCGGTTTATCCAATCCTGCTCACTCAAAACATAAACTGGCGAAGTAAATTGCTATTGAGTAGGAATATCAAAGTGTTCCTTTGGGCTGTCCGTCAGGGGGATACATGATCAGTCACGGTAGTTCGCGAATCAAGCTTCCAGATCTAGCATGCTGCGGGAGGTGTACCGTTATTAGAAGAAGAAGAAAACAAGAAAGTACAAAGCTGGACACGAAGTCGCACTAAACACGGTCGTGGGAACGGGTGAGAAGATCTCTGCTGTTCGGAACATAACGCATTCCACCATCAATCAAAGAAGATGCCGCCATCGATCGTTATCTGTCCACGTATCAGATTGCGTCATTCCGTATGAGTAACAAGATGCTTACTGTTTGGCCTGCGAAGCAACGTATTACACTCATCAGTTGCTGAGCTTATGAAAGCCGGGATATACACACCTGTGATGAAACGTGCTTCCGGGGTCACCAAAAATGAAACCAGGTTCGAAATATCCTGGGGAGCTCCGAGGTCACCTACTGATGACAACCTTTTGAACTCAAGTACGAAAAAAAGTTAAAATTAGCATCTCATATACATTGTTAGAAAGATCACCTCATCGTAAACGCCATTATAATTAGCTGATCCAGCCAGCCCAACAACTGCACGAGGTAAAAATGATCACCGTTTATCAATCCACAAACCTCTGAATCGAAACTTACGCATTGGTGTGTCGATCGTTCCTGGCGCATATGCGTTCACCGTGATTCCGTTGCGACCAAGCTCGATGGCTTATAAGAACGTTACTGAGGTCAAATGCTTATGAAACTACATGCACTCGTACCTGCGGTCTGCGTCAGCCCTCGGATAGCAAACTTAGATGCACAATAAGCGCTGAGTGAAGCATGCCCTGGGAAAAAAAAACGTCACCATACATGAAGAAACAGTCGCATATGTGGACTTACCTTTCTTTCCCGCAAGGGAGCTCGCACCGATAATTCGCCCACCCTCACCTTGAACTACCATCTGCTGCGCTGCATACTTATAGCTGTAGAAAGTGCCCTTAACGTTGACCGAAAGCACAGACTCAAAGTCATCAGATGTCGCTGTGGTAATATTTCAGTAAGTTCCGCTGGTACATCGACTGTAAAGTCTTACTTTCCAAGAGTGGTTTTGATCTGAGGATGCCTGCGTTTGCCACAAACTATGATATTAAGATAAGTTTGGTAGTCCAAGGGCAATTGAAGCAGATGTAAACAACTCACAACATTCAGGCGGCCAAACTCTTTGACTGTGCTCTCAATCAAGCTCTTGACATCCTCCTCGATACTGACATTCCCAAACACAGTTAACACTCTGCGCTCCGGGAAATCGGCAGCGATGTCCTTTTTGACTTCCTCCAAGTTCTCTTTGTTGCTTTCCAAATCGTTGATGACGAGGTCATAGCCATCACTTGCAAGGCGTATTGCGATGCTGCGTCCAATTCCTTGCGCGGATCCAGTGACGACTGCGACACCCTTGGAGTTGGATTGAGTGGACGTCATTATCTTTGACCTGGGGTATGGTGAAGCGCTGCTTTCTTGCTATTCTCTCGTGAGGCACCAGGTCCTTTTGTATTGAATATTCAGCTAGTGCCAACTCAGATATCTCAATGTAGATGGCAGATCACCTGATTACAAGCTTTCAACCGCATTGCACCAGAAGCTTCACGAGAGTGCCTATCTCTCTTTTTATAAGTTGTTCACGTCACCATTATCGCACTTGGGGATAAGCTGCATAGCATCTGTCGATGCAAGGGGACAGCATCCGACTTACTCACTTGCTCCATCCGTTTCTGACAATACCAAATCATGCACGATGAACTAGTAGCGTTTCCGGGATCGGGAAGTCTGGGAACAAGCGCTATACAAGACCCAAGCGAGCTCGCCTTGTAAACGCAATAGCTAGCCTGTGACAAATCTAAGGCTGGGAAGTCCGACTCACCTGGAACAATAAAAAAAAAATAGCAGCAAAACCCGCGGCAGCCGATGCGTCCTGTACGTCGTAGAGCAGCCCCAGTCTTTGTTGCCGTTTCGCATGTGGCCCTTACATAATGTGTCAAGTCAAGCTTGCATTCCTAGCCTTCCCATTCTAAAACAGGTCGCTTCCCGGATATCAGAGGTACGTGTCGGCCAGTTGAAACCTGAGACTTTAATCGACTTCATTGTTCTTTGTTATCTGACTCTATTAGACTACTACTCACCACGTTATCTTTCGGTCATTTATAAGGAATAGCTTGTTAGTGTTATGCAACTCTGTCGGATCTTTGCGCCTCGGCGATGCTCTGTACTTGCATAATCGCCTGCTCTGCCTCTACTCGCGTACCAATATTGCTTCCCTTCTCGACAAGTCCCTCCTGGTCTACGTTTCCCTTGGATTTCCAAATTCGTCTGTCTAGGGAATTTGACTTTGATAATATGGCTGGGAGCAATCCCATAGGACATTGGACGTGATGACCGAAAATCAACTGGATGGCCGCCCCATGATCTCATGACTGACTGTTTTATCCTACTGTCGAACCACTCGCGGTATGTCGGACGTCTCAGAATCAAGTCGCGACTCCAACACAACCAACAATGACATGAATGCAGAGAAAAAGGACCAGCACAACGTTAAAAAGAAAAGGAGTTTGGCAGACTTCGACTAATTATCAATAAGCAAACGTGCGTACACAAGAAATTTCAGTCCCTTTTGCACTGCATCATAAGGTTTGCGAAGGTATCTATTGCCCTGTCCTATGTTTGGAGAGAGGACGCACAAGACGCGTTATGCCGGCTCGAGAACATGTACACGTCATGCATCGGCACCCGCGCGCAGACCCTTGTTACCAAAGACCTTTATCGGCGTCAAAAAAACTCAAAGCTTGGAGAACAATTATATACAACAAAAAGGTCTGACCACGACTCTGCTATCTTGCGTTACTATTCTAAGTCTTGCTTAATAACCTTCAACTCCCTTGTTCTGTTACTTCTGTGGGTGTAACGTGAATTATTCCCACTACCTCAGTAAGGAACACCCTTCTGTTTCTGTTATCCGGGACTGACCTGGCCGAGCGCCGTTACGATCTTGTAGTTTCTCGCTTTCCCACCAAAAATGCAGATTCAGAACTTTCCTTTTGAGCTTGCTTTAGGCAAAGTCACCCAGAGTTTGAGGTTGCTGTCGACGTGCAATTTGACTTGGATATCGCCTTTTGGCCCTCGCCACTTTGAGTCCACTTCGAGTCCCGTTGGCGCCAAGATATTGAATCCCCAAGAAGTCGTTTATGCGCTGGATATTTGTAGGATAAGTTCTTGTAAATCTCCATGATACAGCGTGACTATGTTATTGCAGTGCTGGCACAGGCTTTGAACACTGAAGCGAACCTTCTGTAAGGAATATCACTCTGCTAGCCACGGACACCCGCTATGGAATTCCCTTTGTACTCAGATCTGCTTTTGATTAAAATATTACATGAGTTAAAATGTTGAACCCCCCCCCCCCCCAATGTGCATGGGTTTTGCCTTGTGATTCCATTTTCGTTGTGGTGCACTGATTGTCGGGGCCTTGATTCACTGATAGCACCTCACATGCCCCCGAAATCAACTATCGTATGGTCATGCTGCGCCTCACAAGCCTGTAGCACACCCTTATGTCCGGTGATAGCGCCCCAAGAGGTCCTGGATCTTCCTCTGTCCTCTTCCAACTGACGGTCGGTCTCCATAAACAAGCACCGGTTGATGACAAAGTGATTCACCATGTAGATGAATTCAAGTAAACCACGTCTGACATATGGTATACGATAGCGCAGTAGCTGCAGTAGTCGTCCAATGCGAATTAATCAATTCTGTTCATCAATCAACTTTTATGATATCGTGAATCTGCTCCAATGAACTGGCAAGACATCCTAGACATGCTGAAAAAGGCAGTCAGCAATCAAGGACCGGTATCTGAGAGTTAAGCATCTGATACTGCAGACCATTGGGAGGAATTCACGCTCCCATTCATTCCATCTTCGGTTGGAGACAAAGGAGGTTTGCTATCTTCAAAATCAAGTCAGGCCAACTTTCTCATTATACACGACTTTCTAAGTACCTTTACCCATATTGAGCATCTATAAACTGAAGTCAAAAAGCTGGACGCACCAGAAAGTTCGAGTTCGAGCAGCTGTACGCTCAAGAGTCACTAAGCAGACGACCGGTCCGGAGACTACACGAGGGAAAGAAGCAAGGACTCGTGATCGAATTAGAGTCAATATAAAGCTAGAAACCGTCAGACTCTTCAGAAGCTGGAGAGCGGGAAAATTCGCAAAAAAAAAAACTCGCCAAGAACAGCACCCACATGACACTTTATCGCAGTTTATTTCGTCCCGAACACTCAGAAAGATAAACTGGCGAAGTAAACTGTTATTGAGTACGGTTATTAGCAAGTGCATCTGTTCGTCCGGGAATATACCATTCGTATGTCAGTGTTCGTGGATCAAGTTTCAAAGTGTAACATGCTGCGGTAGGCGTACAGAAAGAAGAGACAAAAGGATAGAACTGAACACGAAGGCGGACACGCTCAAACACGGCCATGGGTATGGGTGAGAAAATCTCTGCTGTTTAAAATATAACGCGTGCATACAATCAATCAAAAAAAGTGCCCCCATCGATCGCTATCTGTCCATGAATAATGTCAGATCGCATCCCTCGGTGTGAGTAAGAAGATGCTTACTGTTTGGCCTGCGGAGCAACGTATTACACCCATCAGTTGCTGAGCTTATGAAAGCCGTGTCATGTACGATATACACACCTGTGATGAAACGGGCTTCCGGGGTCACCAAAAATGAAACCAGACTTGAAATATCCTGGGGAGTTCCGAGGTCACCTACTGATGACAACCGTTTAGACTCAAGCATGAAAAAAAAAGTTAAAATTAGCGTCCCCTGCACATCGTTAGGAAGATCACCTCATCGTAAATGTCGTCATTATTGGCTATTCCAGCCAACCTAGCAACTACACAAGGTAAAAGTCGCCACCATACATGGATCCACAGATCTCTGGATCGAAACTTACGCATTGGTGTGTCGATTGCTCCTGGGGCATATGCGTTCACTGTAATTCCGTTGCGACCAAGTTCGATGGCTTATAAAGAACATTGCTGAGGTCAGATGCTCATAAAACTACATGCACTCGTACCTGCGGTCTGCGTCAGCCCTCGGATAGCAAACTTAGATGCACAATAAGCGCTGAGTGAAGCATGCCCTGGGAAAAAAACGTCACCATAGTACATGAAGAAACAGTCGCATATGTGGACTTACCTTTCTTTCCCGCAAGGGAGCTCGCACCGATAATTCGCCCACCCTTACCTTGAACTACCATCTGCTGCGCTGCATACTTATAGCTATAGAAGGTGCCTTTAAGGTTGACAGAGAGCACAGAATCGAAGTCATCGGACGTTGCTGTGCAAATATTCCAATAAGTTCCGGCGGTACATCGACTGTAAAATCTCACTTTCTAACAATGGTTTTGATACGAAGTTGCCTGCGTTTGCCACAAACTATGATATTAAGATAAGTTTGGTAGTCCAAGGGCAATTGAAGCAGATGTAAACAACTCACAACATTCAGGCGGCCAAACTCTTTGACTGTGCTCTCAATCAAGCCTTTGACATCCTCCTCGACACTGACATTCCCAAACACAGTTAACACTCTGCGCTCCGGGAAATCGGCAGCGATGTCCTTTTTGACTTCCTCCAAGTTCTCTCTGTTGCTTTCCAAATCGTTGATGACGAGGTCATAGCCATCACTTGCAAGGCGTATTGCGATGCTGCGTCCAATTCCTTGCGCGGATCCAGTGATGACTGCGACACCTTTGGAGTTGGATTGTATGGACGTCATATTCTTTAGCCCGAGGCACGTGAGATGCTGCTTTCTTGCTATTCTCTCATGGGGCGCAGGTCCTTTTGTATCGAATACTCAGCTAATGCCGACGTCTTAGTAGATGGCGAACCGCTTGACTATAAGCTTCTGACTTTTTTTTGTATTGCACCAGGAGCTTTACGAAGGTGCCCAATTCTATTTCTGTATGTTGTTCACGTTACCATCCCACGACCATATCACATCTAGGGCTGAGCTGTATAGCATCTATCGATGCAAGCGATTTTTGTGGGAGCATCTGTCATCCAACTGACAATGACTTATTTATTCCATCCGGGTCTGATATCCCCTCAGAGTCGTGCACTGTCGTCATCGTCATCTTTTCATCTGGCAAGACCGAACGAACTCATCTTGTGATGCACGACGAATTAGTGGCACTTCCGAGGTCGGGAAGTCCGGGAACATGTGCTATACAAGACCAAAGCGAAATCTCCTTGGAATTCACAGTAAACGCATTCATTAATAACTGGCCTGTGACGAGCACGAGGCCTTGAAGTCTGCGAATTTCCAGTAGACTTGAAGTTTCGTCGAGACTGTATTACCCGGAGTTAGAAGATATGCAGAATCGAGTATTTTGATCAATGATGATCCATTGTATCGTATTGAAGATAAAATATGGGCTTGATACGTTTATGCCATCCTGCTTCTTCGTTACAGAAGCCAAGCTTTTCAATATCTTGGACCATGTTCCTCAGGCACTATGTGCGATGCGCGTATAAAGTTTCTCCAGTAAGCAAATCCTGCCGGCTCTTAGGTTCATATTTCCAATTTGCTACTTTATCTTGGGCAAAACGGCCCTGACCAATGGACGTGACTGGTTCTTCCTTCTCATGACAGTCGACGATGATTATGATGGAGCGTCTTATAAACGATCTGATGTACTCTCCCTAGATGACAACCACGGTCGATCGCCAGGTAGTGCCATGGCCTGATTTGGTTGATGTTAATGTGCGTGATTGCATTGTTGATTGATTGGGATGCTAGATTGAAAATAGCTTAGTAGACCAGGCCTAGGAAGTGATGATTGGTTTGAACTTTGAACCAATGTGGGCCCGGGTATCATACTATAGCTCTCAAAGTAGCGTTTAGGGGATATGTATAGAATTCGAGGGTCCAAAAGCACATACTTGAGCGCGGAGCACAGCTCTTGTTGTAGTACATTTATTATCACTGAGTCACTGCTTCGTCCTCGCCCTCGTTCAACGCCACAAACAGAAAATGCACGATTATGCGACGCTCAGTGTTGCATGTGCGGCAATGCCATTCATGCTTATCTATAAACATTCTATGTGGCTTTCAACGAAGACATTGGCGTTCAGTTCTAGTCTTAGTCCACGGTAACAAAGACCAAAGCGTGTGTCAAAGATGGCGAATTCTGATCACTTCTGAGGGAAACAAACCGTGCGTGACATCTTTTGGCTAAAAGACGATCCACCTTTGATATCAATGTCACTTCGGGCTTGGGCTCACTTTCATTCTCATGGCCCCTTGATCTCGAATGAACAGAACATTGACAAGGTACGGCCAAAAGCTCTGTTGAATCTCTAGTGAGGGTTCCATGCTGTGGGTATTGTCTCATCAGCATTCAAGTGTGCGCTCGCAAGGCCGCTTGTGTGTACGGGTTCCAGATGCTTCCACTCATTGAAGATGGCGCCCGACATGTATCATCGCGGCGCGCGGTGGAGAATGAGTGCTAGTGAAGAGTTTGACGTGAGTCGGCAGTCGCAAGCCTGTGATTATGTGCTGACAGAAGGATGGGATGGGTTGTGTCAAGTACGGATGTTATAGTTTAAATTAGATATGTACGTGCACTGAAATATTGGTGTTAGATGATGAGTACCTCACCAGGACGAAAAGTTCCTGACATTAGGGGACACTTTTATTCATTGACGTGTTTCAATCGTAATGACAAATTCAATACAACACTTGGTCTGAATTATGTGTTCCAGCCAAATGTGCCATTCACGTCATTCCGAGCACCCTTGCACAGCAACGGTTTGCTCAGAATGAGGGAAACGGTCATCCGCTGTATATGAGCTAAGAAATGCCCCCCAAAAAAGATAGAATGAGATTCATCCTTCAAATAGACGCCAAGGGTAAGCACAGGCTGTCAGGGAAGCAAACTCTGGTAACGCAGCATCTAAAAGTTCAAGGGGTCCAGAATGACTGCAACGGGACTTACGATGTTAAAGTTCAAGATCGATGTTGAAAACGGACGTGGGTAGTAAATTTCACACCGGCACGTCCAAGATTGGCACTGATCGAAACGATCAAGTGAATTGTCTCATACCACTGTAAAACATACCGATGACAATAAAGCCTTCCCCCATTATGCGTACCAGGGATCGCACACACCGTGTGCCACAATAATTTTGTCAGCCCACGCAAAAAGTGTGCGTGACCTTTGGTGCCTCATCGCGTACCGTTCTCAAACCCACGATGAAATTTCATGGAGCCGGCTTGAATAGAAGGGAGAATGACAATATGCTCAAGATGTGAAAGGTCATCTGGATAGATGAGGTGCAAAGAAGAGAGGATGAAAGGTAGCTAAGGAAAAAATGATGATTCTACGCTATCGATGGTGGCCTAAAGACAAAGAGGCGGAGATAACAGTCACGGTCGAATGTCGGGAGATGACGGGAAGAACAGTCACGCGACTTGCCACAATGTGACAACGCCCTAAGGGTTTTGCAGGGTCCCCTGATGGTAAAATGGAGGACCTATGATGAACAGACTATGAAGCTCATTAATATTGTGAAAATTTGAATGTCTAGATTCTTGAGAAAGAGCAGCTCAAGCGCTAGTGCTCAAACAGCGCCCGGCTTTACTGGCGATTGCATGAAAGTTGTAAAGGCCGGCTTAGTCAGCACCAGTTTATGATGTCCAGGTCCCCTATTGATAATTCAACCTTCATTAGGCCTCCATCGGAAGAATTAGTTACGCCCCGGTTCACCCCAACATCCTCTCTCACAAACCACCATGTCCGCACAAGCTGAAGCACCTCCTTCGCTACCTCTCGTGGTCTCGAAGCCCAAGAAGCAACCCTACCCCTTCTACCTCGGTGGTCTTGCAGCAACAATTGCTGCTTCCATCACTCACCCTCTTGACCTTACCAAGGTCCGCCTTCAAGCGTCGGGTGACAAGGGTATGATAAACTCCATAAAGAAGACTGTCGGCACTGCCGGCGTCCGGGGGCTCTTCGATGGAATCACTGGAACATGGATGCGCCAGATGAGCTACAGCTTGTGTCGCTTTTGGGCATACGATGAGAGCAAGAAGCTCTTGGGAGCGACTCCACAAAGCCCTGCATGGGTTCTCGCCACAGCAGGTGTCATGGGTGAGTGCGAAACCCTATTGTCGTACGATCAGTAATATTGAGACCCGAGTTAGCTGGCTCCATCGCGGGTGTCGTCGGTAATCCTGGTGGTAAGTCTCGATGACATATGTTGTGATCTTATGCGCTAAGCAATCTTTTTGCCTGATCAGAGGTCGTTATGGTGCGTGTCATGCTCTACTACCTCGCCTCGTGCTCACATGCGCCGTTCATTACGTCATTTCCAATTCCGCCGTCGAACCATGATGTCCGCTCCCGCTCCGGAACGTCTTCGCCCCACTCTTATTCAAATTGCGCCATATTAATCAGGTCCGTCTACAAGGAGACTTCGCAAAACCACCCGAAAAGCGGTTCAATTATAAGCACTGCTTCGACGCATTGTTCAGAGTAAGTGACATTTCTAGGTGATCTAGACATGCCCTGCGCGGCTCTGTGCTCCATGTTTCTTCCTCTTCATACTTTGTCCCAAGGACAATATTATCGTGGGACGTCACCGCGCGAGTCTAGATGCCGAAGGCCATTCGGATCTCAATTGGCCGACGGGAGGATAGAAAGAGTATACCGAAACCCGCTTGCTCATCCTTTATACTCCCATTTTCGTCATTTTTGTGCAGCCTTGCGGTATTATTTGCTGTGCCGAGCATCCACCCCTCTCATGACCCATACGTGATGACCCTGCGCCATGGTCAACAGGAAGCGCGTTAACGTTGATAGCTGGGTCACAATGCATTGCGGATGGACACGTGATTGATGCGTATATATGAGATCAATTTGCCGATCACTCGAAGGAGGTCAGCGAATGCCAATTTGGAACACTACAATGTGCAACTTTGTAGTCTACTTCTTACCTTTTCGTATCCACCTTCAGTCATTCCTCAACTGCTTTGCATTGTCCTTGATGTCCAATCTGGTTTATCCCGAGTCCGAGGTGCTGACGTCATTATTGCAGATGGTCCGCGAGGAGGGCCCATCATCGCTAGCGCGAGGTGTGGGCCCAAATGTCTTCCGGAGTATCTTAATGAATTCCAGTCAATTGGCTTCGTAAGTTGCCGTTCTCACCTTCTTATCCATGTCACATGTCTGACCTGCATTCAGATACGACTTCTTCAAGGCTGAGCTCTTGAAGACGAAGTATTTTGATGACAACATTGCTTGTCATTTTACAGCCAGTTTTGCAGCAGTACGTTCTAGTTCTCATTTCCTATAATCTCATCTCAAACTATCTTTCAGGGAACGGTTGCAACAACTGTTTGCTCACCTGCAGACGTGCTAAAGAGCCGTATCATGAACGCTTCTGGGCCTGGATCGAGCGTGAGTCTCGTTTTTGTGCGATTATTGGCCACGCGTGACACTGAGACATTTGAAGTCGACGCTTGGAGTGATCCGCTCCTCTCTAGCAACCGAAGGTCCGATGTTCATGTTTAAAGGTTGGCTCCCCGCATGGTCGCGTCTCCAGCCTACCACAATATTGATTTTCTTAACCCTCGAGCAACTGAAAAAGGTCGTCGATTGGAAGCGCGGATCGTTATAAAATTGATCACGACCTGGCCCTTTTGGATAGTCAAAATGTTTGAACTTGTCGCCTGGAGGGACCATGTGTGCGATACCACGCATAGATTTATCCTGGAGATATCATTCAGTGGAAGTACTGTTAGGTGATGATCTTTGATTGTTAAGCGCTTGCTAGATTATATCGTTGCGCAACGCTGTGATTTTGTATTTTACTTTAGTTGCCTGCGTAACGCACTTTTGTGGAATTTTCTCATGTTGTTAGAAAATGAGTCGCATTTTGTGAGCGAAGATCGGGTTTTGTTGTTGTTATTGTGACCTGCCTGCTAACGTGACGATGAGAATTCACTGGTCAGTCGATTTATAAAGTTGAGTAGAGGTCGGAGGCCTCTATCGATCCGATGAGTTATTCGTGTCAGAGCGGGACTTGGGAGGATGCTGAAAACAAACTGTGAGACTTGGTTAGGGGAAAGATTTGTAAAACGGTATCAGTCGGTCTCAAGTTCAAACACCTGCATTATAGTCATTCATTCTCGCAATTGTCAAGCCACGGTGATAAGTCTTATCAACTACGTGTCCAAACGTTCTATTTTGATCCGTGGACCCGTGTTGCTGCCTTATTGTCACTCTTTGTTAATCGTCCATTCTCCACTCAGGGGTCGACTTGATGATTACACAAGTCAAGCAGATCTTCGTGTCCGAGTCTTGCCCACGTCAACGCCGATCCTCTGTGAACTGTCAACATCCTTTCGCATAGCGTAACCCTGTATCGGGGCACTCACTTTGGTCGTGTTCTCCCTTCGACCACGAACTGGATCGGATGGGTACACTAGGCCAGGAACGCCTTGGTAGCGACCCTGATCATTGGCGACTTCGACAGAAGTCGAAACCATAATGGTGAGCGGACATTGATCGGTCCCTCGGCGATTCGTTTAATGAACCAGTGGGATATCATCTCCCAGGAGTGTCTGTGAACGTACTCGGAAGGTATGCATATGCCAGAACTTGCTGTGGGAAACGAAATGGTCTTGGCGATGAGGCAGTTCTTGAAACAAGAAGGTCAAGCATCGATTCAGGGATATCATAGGATGCGGCCGGCTGCTAGCCTGGTAGATAAAGCCTAGGAGTTGCTGGAGGCGAGTACGAACCTCGCTTGCGTGAATGGGATATGGTTTGAAGGAATCTGTCCATGAAGACAGCCTGTCATCGATCCAGTCCCACGTCCTAGGAAGACCAATAGCGGGTAGAAAGCCGTGGAATCTTTTCATTGGTCTATTAGATCGGTATTTAGCCGAGTGATAGCTGTCATGACTCAAGAACGAACTGCTGAACGATTGTCGACGCCAAGCTTCAAAGCTTCAACTTGAAGTATACTCTTGCGACGTTATACATTGTCACCTGACGCCAAATAACTCAGATATCAGGCATCACAACCAAAGTTAGAACAGAACCAAATTGTCTCACACTGGCATGTTAGACGGCGTACCTGACATACTGGTGGGGACAGTACACACTAAACAAAAATTTTCAAACAAACTTTGCTTCTTCACTGCTGACTAAGCAAGACACCTTGCTCATCTCGAAATCAGAAGTTTCAGAACCAACGAGCACTCGTTAGAGTCGCAAGAGAGAAAAGGAAACACAAACACATTTGCCATGCGCTGCAACACCAATCAATGATTGACAATCGTCAGGCAAAAAAAATGAGAATGGTATGCGGGTAGATGGTTATTCTAAGCGAGCCGAGGTACGAGGCAGCGTAGAATTTAGTTTATGTGTTAGTAAGCGATGTGGCGCAGCGCTCTTGTTCCCGCCGTCCACATCAGCGGTACCGCTTCGATTTGGTTTGCAGTATGCTCACGCCGCAAAGCCTCGTTTTTGTTTGCACCCACCCGCCACTCCCTCTCTCAGGGGTGCAGACAAATGCTTAGTAGTTACATTATGTAATCCACTACTTACCTTTGTCCGACGCACTGCACTCGACACTTGCAATGTCGGTGACCTGATCGGGGCCCACCCGCCCCGTCACAGCTCACCTTGCTACCCAGTTCGGGTGCATGTTTCGGGCCAAAAAACCTTTACTAACCTTCGGCCGCACTGGTCACAAGTGCGCGCCGCCTTACTTCCCGCGTGACACTTAGCGCCGACACGCATAGATAGGCTACAATATATCGAATGCAAGGTACATGATACAAATGCAAAAGACTTGGAAATGCGAATTGTTCATACAGACTAAATATAACGTTCATGCGAGCATTCTGAAAATGTCCACATCGCTAAAGTGAAAAATGAACACCACAACGTGGCGGCAGAGCCCACCTGCATGTCGTCCCGTGCACCACTTGCTTGCCCAGCTTGGTTGCTTCCGCCCACATTATGAACAGATCCGGAAAGAGGAGATGCCATAGGGATCCCCCCGATTCCAGTGCTCAATGGAGAATAAAAGGAAGATGGCGGAAGCACATTAGTTCCTGTAAGATAATTAATAGGACCGTCTACCAATATCAGCGGATGAATTGTATCGATAACTGACCAGGAAGATCATACTGCTCTGCGGATGCTGCCAAGACAGCATCCTCTAAGCGTTGGCCAGCATCAGAAGGAACAGTAGACAGGAACCCAATCCGCGGAGGGTCTTGCAAAAGTCCCGTGAAAGAGCCATAATAGAACGCTGCGAGCACCCTAGCAATAGATGAGTGATCTGGGACAACAAACCTAAAAGACAACCAAAGTAGTAAAGAGATCTAAAGACGGGCCACCACGGTGAGCCGTAGCTCCCGCTTGGAATACGCGAGGAACTCCGTATAGATCCGCCCGTCCTATCCCCACAGCTACAGACAAATACATATATGACCGTCACTCACCCTTTCAGAAACGGATCCCCTAGACTCCAGCTATACAGGTATCCACCCCCGCCGAGAACAGGCACATCAGTCTGTGCAAGATTTGCCCCACACACTTGTACGTTTCCGGAGCGCACCTGGTTGATGAAGTCTCTTGGGTCTACAGGAAACATGCGACCACCAATCTGGAATGCCAGTGTATGAGGAAATGAACAGGCGAAATAAGGTCCCCCCAGCATGTTCTGGATGTACGAAATGACATCAGGAGGACCACGAATCAAAGAATTTCCCTACAAAGAGATGTTAGAGACGTTAATCAGGTACGTTGGTGATCTATGGACGACGAACTGTGTCAATTAGCGCTGACAATGAGATATTACTAGAAGTCAACTGTGACCGCGGAAGTTTCACGCCGTCAAGAAAGACATCATCTACTGGAATCTCCCAAGCAATGGGATATGACTTTGGCGGGTGGATCAAATGCTTGATGTATAACACCAAGGTCACGTACCTCGAGAGAAGAACCTTGGGGCAAACCGTCTTGTTGAAGCGTATATTTACGCACAGAAACCCATGTCAGACTCTCATTTTGGACCCCAGGTGGCAGTCCACCTATGGAAAGCATGCCTTCGTTCCCTCCGATTTCGATGGTGTCCCGCTGCAGAGCAATCGCGAACATGGGAGACGCAAGCCCTCCGAGCGAAACAAGGCGAGGGATGAATGGACCGGATACACTGAAAGAAGAAATGATAGTGGAAGAGGTCGTCACCTGACGTTTCTGCTGAGGCATGGATTGGTAAGAGGGAGGATCGGTATATCGAGACGAGGAAATTCCAAGGAAGGACTTGTCAAACCAGCGAATTGCATAATTTCTCCGCATAGCAGCGATACGGGAAACTGCACCACGATAAAGACTGCGTCGCCTCGAAACCTGACGTTGGTTCAGGAACACATCGGTCCAGATCACACTCCGCGGGCTGTCAGTATGTCGCGTACCTTGTCTCTGGGAAGTCGCCTACCTGTTGAGAGGAAACCCAAGCCCAAAGATCCCAGAGCACCTGGTCTGCGCCACGGATGTATTGGTATCATTGATCGCCGCGAAATACTGATCTTGCAAAGTGAGACCAGCCAGCGACACCGCATCATATCCAACAATCCCTCTCGCATACGTACCGGTCTTCGAATCGCCGTACACTAGGGCGGCATCTAGGCCTATATCGTGGAACGTGTTCGGTGGGTAAAGAGTCGTATTTGCTGAGGAGCATGTTCCCTGACATATGTTGGACAGTACCCACAGGTCTGAGGAACCCGTGTCTTGTGCGCTCCTCAGCCTCAGATGCAATGTTTCTGCTGTAAGTTTGCAGGCTCACCTAGGACGACAGGCAAGGATGTGCCGCCAATGTCTATAAGGACACTATACGTTCTGGTGGAGCGTCAGTTAAAAAACGAATCTCGCTTGTATAAACTCACACGTCGAAATAATCTCCAAGCCCCGCCACGCCGGTGTCCGCACCGAGCGTAATCCGTTTAGGAATAAGCCTCCGGCTCAGGGGCAAGTGCAAACCGTCCTGCATTCGCTTCCCCACATGCGGAGAATGACCAGAATTCCTCGAAGCAAGTTCGGCGGCAGCGACGGAGTATAAGAGAATGAACGCTGCAACAATGGACCGTACATATTTGTGCATTCCCGAGAGGACGGATTACCAAGTCGGAAGCAGAGTTGACCAGCGGATTTCAGCCAAAAGTAAGTTCAGGTTGAATGAATGACTTGGAGCGAGTCAGTTTCAAGTGACCACCGGCACGTGATCGCGTCTCCTGGATTACTCCCCTTCCAATTTTCCAAGACTCATCAAGCAAGCGCTCAATCGCATAGTATCCATGTTTTGCGAAAACCTGAAGTCATACAACGAAGTAATAATGGGAATACGGTAATAGAAAGGCCTGCAATAATCCTCCATACAGCTCCACTGCAAAAGACAATATTAAACGTATGCGACCGTTTTAAGGGGACGCGATCAAATTATTAGTATTTCCCCCATTCATGTGCCCGTACAACGGTTCATGTGGTTCAACAATATTTTGACCCATATTGAAATCAGACGCGCCAGAGAAAAGCGTCGCAACATCCACCGATCCGTCCCCAAACATATTCATCATATCTGCCGGTGACGACATATACATCCCCGCAGATGGATCCATCCCCATGTTACCTGGGTCCATAAAACTCGGCGCCGAAAGCGACAGCCGTCGGGAATATGATGTTGATGAGGGCATAGGTACAGGCGAAAAGGCGCTCTGCGGTATCGTTTGCGGGCTTGTGGCCCCAAGGGTAGGATCAACGAAGAACTCGGAGGGCGAGAAAGCCTCGGGACTACTATGTTGCGACCCACCGTCACTGCCTGTACCCTTGGCAGCGACACTGGGTGTTTTCTTGCGGATGGGTCTTATCCAAGGAGGACGCGAACTTGACTGTTCCTGGCCTTCTGGGCGAGAGGGCTCCAGAGGAATTTGTGTCACTAAGTCTCATGCATTAGCCGAAGGGATCACTGGCATCAGCAACAAGGAACTGACAACGACAAAATTCTTCCATGAGATCCCCTGACCTCTGTCCACACACGTATCGCCCACTGAAACGTCTTAATAACCCAACACACGATCGGAGCGCGTCAAGCGCAGGCTGAATCAAGCGTTGGAGTTTCTCGCTCTTGCAATTAATCAATATGGTGATGAGCGTTCTTCCGGCTTGCGTGAGTTGATGGATCACATGCACACCATCTGACACGAATGATGAACCAATGAAAGATAAGATCCATAATGAGAACACTTACAATACGTCATCAGCCCCTTCGCTGCTACCTGCATGTGTGACGAGATAATCTGCAATGCACACGACTGTGCCGCACCCATTTCCTCCTTCTCCACATCCGTAGGATCCTCCTCTATCAATGCATTGTATGCCCTCTCCGCCACAAAATTTGAGAAGCGATGTCGATGGATCAACATCCTGACATACTGCTCGGCGCAGTGCAAACGCACAGCCTGGGTCACCCTGATCACATCATCACTCGCTAATGTTGCCGACGTATGCGCCCAATACGGAGGTATTGATCGGCGGATTTCGTCTAGCAATGCTTCCTCTTCGCGCAGGTCTTTCGGGCGTACGTGACCAGACAGCATGCTCGCTGCGCGTAGCAAAAATGGAGAAGAGTCACCTGTCCGGTCGCGTGGAGGGGGTATGTCCAACACCGACTCCATCACAACCATGATCCTCACAGCGGCGATAAACGCACTCATACGACTCTCTGTTCCTGCGGGTTGCGGGAGTACCCCGTCATGTGTGATGAACTCGTCATCCACAACAGCAGGCTCTCCAATATCTGTGTCCCGAAGGCGAATCATTGGGGGTCGGCCAAAGTGGGCAGATAGTTGTTTGTCCCATAAGTATACACACCAGAATGTGCGCTTGCGGACTTCGTCCTCGATGGGATTAAAGAGGTCATATGTGTCGGCCGATCGATGGAGGCCAGTATCTATCGACACAGTAATAGCCTCTGATAAGAGTGCTGCTGCTTTTGAGAGTTTTCCCAGCCCCACAGCATAGACCGCGGCGATTAGATCTGCCTGGATAGTGTATAATGTGGGATGGTCCGCAATCGGAAGAGTACGTAGCCGTCCAAATAATTCGAACCATTGGGTGCCGGCAGATATGCCATCACTGGGGTCCGATCGTACTCTTGGATCGTCGATGTGACGAGATGCAAGGCAGCATATACCTACAATTAAGGCTGCAAAACCGGGTTCACCCCACTTCCTGGGATTACCATAGTCCTGAAATTGTGAATCGTGTGAACACGGGAAGCATAGCATGTGAACGTCACGTACCGCCAAAAATGTCGGAACATGTAGGAATGGCAGCAGGTAGTAAGAAGTACATAAAAAGCATTGGACTAGGCTATTAATGATGGTAAGATCAGCGTAAGCGAGATTAAAAGGGAAAAAAAAATAGAAAATCCACCTATCCATAAGATCTGGAACTATATATGAAGTGATAAGGCGCCACAATGTTTCTGGATTGACGTCGGTGCGTTTGGGCGTCCTATTTGGAAACCAAGTTGGGTTGGAAGTATGAGAAGATGGATTTGCCCATGCTGGATCTGGCGAGTCTTTCTCCGTTTCAGACTTGACTTGGGTGTGATTTTCGACCAAAAGATCTAAGAGAGGAAGGCCAGAAGTCTCTCCTTGCCAACGGGTATAACCTTCATCGTCGAAGTACAGATAAGAAGCAGATATAGACATGCGTGATGTCTCTTCCGGTTGTTCGGAGTTCGATGCATTCGGGGTATGAGATGATTGGCCAAGCATTGAAGAAAATGCGGTGTTTGGACTTTGAGCTCGCGGAGAGCTCATAGGCGGGGATGTCCTGAAGTGGGTAGATGGATTGGTAAGTGGGAAAACGTGCAAAGATGGGGGTGGGACACCCGAGGGAAAGTTGTGGTTTGCTGAGGCGAAGGACACCAAAGGGCTGGTGATGTTGTCCGAGGATAGCAATTGAGAAGCGGTAAGTGCAGATGCACCCGCACCTCCTGCAGCAAAAACTGCAGGAGGAATTGCCTGAATGAGAGTCTCGAGTTGATGCATTCTATCTTCTAGCGTTGCAGTTCTTCTGCAAGTCGATGAGTATTTATGTCAAGACGAAATGCACAGCACACGAACTTTGATTTATGAGGATGTGTTCGCTTTCCTGGTTCTTCAAACGTACAGGGTGAATTGGCGGTGAGACAGGCCTGGCACGGATGACCTTCATCACATTTGATTCTCCTTCGACTGAAGTTCGCATCAGCGATGGCTGATCACAGATAAGAGATGCAGCAATCACTCACCGACAGCGATCACACGCTCTGGGAGATAGCCCGAGGTGAGTAAATCCGTACACTAGGAGACGAAGAGTATGACTGACCGACTCAGCTTGAATCGTCTCTCCTTGAGGATGGAGGTCGAAGCCTTTTCTTGCTCTTCCTGAGCTGGTGCCATTACTTTTTAGATGAGAATTGAAAAATGGATTGAATGGATGGACTGCTTGAAATAAGTATCAGAGCAAGTTCAAACGGACTTTGTCTGACAAGAACGGCCCCAATATTAATGATCCTTCCCATGGCCGGCCCGCATCGGCAGTCAACTGCACCTACTACATCGGGAAATTATGGTCTCTTCCCCCGGTCTGTTCCTGGGGTACTCGAGTGTTAGCCCAATCATCATTGTACATTTGTTCTTCACCCGGACCGCGCACGGTCAGGACCTCGATGCTTCCACAGATCGCATCATGAAGTGAAGATCGACATCATTCATCCTCCAGGTATGCAAGGTTCAATCTGACTAGTAACCACCATTAAAATTTTACACAGCAAGGCCACATGCACACTACACTGCATGCAAATTTACATCTGACTCAAGTGCATGGTACAACCCACAGCGCTAGCTACAAAATGACTCCGCGGATATTCGTTTTACCCAACGTTCAACAGCCTGTCAAGGATCAGTTCTGAGTTAACCCCTGACGCGATTGCCAAGGACCAACAGGGACGCTATAATGTTGCCCGATTTGAACTTTTTGTCAGGTGTTCAAGATGGGCATAGCTTCTAGTCATCAGGCCTGCATCTCTCAGGAGCTAACACATCATTATAAGGTTCTTTCATAATATTACGTTGGTGTGCCATGACTGTTAACGTTGATTGGCTGATACAGCTTCATCCTTGACCCGCCATGCTACAAGCGCTCAATAGATGTCTTATGAACCTGAACCATTAGCACATCCTCGACAGCCCTCCGACGTGTCGTCTGACGTAAAGCTGGGGTGGATGGTTACAAAGAAATTAACGCTAACGACATTGGGTTGAAAATATACCCATCGAACATCGCGGTGTTTCAACAATAAACCGTCAATTCATCGTAACGTCGAGCAACACCCAAGAGAGCAAAATCTAGACAAAAATGTGAAGACCAAAACATGCCCGGATGATCGGCCGAATTATATGCATCATACTCACAGCATCCAAAGGCGAGGCAAAACATTGCAACGTCACGTTCTGGACGCCACGAGCCTTCAATACCAGCACACGAGGTAATAGCCAAGGGTGATGGACACGTCAAACTGATGGAAGGCCCGATTTTCCTCAACTAAGCATAGCTCTTGCAGCTAAAAAGGCTTAAACATTACGCCGTGAAGGTAGGCACCTCCAACCGTCATAAATTTTGACTTTTTACCGCCCGTCCGTCCAATCGTCCTACTATGCGCTGGAAGGGATACTTCGATCTGCAGTCGCTTCTTGAAGACATGCACGTAGTTCCTCGTGACAGCCTTGAATTCATCTACGGCCTGATAACTGGTCGCCTAGATTAGTCGGCCCTCTTGATAGTGCGTTGCTGCCAAATAGTCTATCAGATCCTACCCTGATATCAGACGCGGAGTCCTTATTCAGCTTCGCGCGCCGCTTGCTTAAGCCTATATTTTGAGCGAACGCGACAAATCGCGGACTTTCCCATCCATTCAATTTTGCCTTGACAGGGAGAAAAATATATTCTAGCCAGATTATATTTCCATAGTCAAGTGCTTATTGGAGTTACGTCGTTCGGATTTTTTTAATCGTTTCTTATTTTCCGTTGCAGACAATTAATACACAGAGTCCCATTCGTTCGGAGAGTTTCGGACGATGATCCAAGTCCCATGACCTTTGCCCTGCGTATCACGCAATCCTTTCGAGACTACCCGGGTGCTCCTAAGTCCTCGTAAGTCCGGCTGAGACCGGCGCTTTAAAAGACACATTAATAAATCTCGTATTATCGTGACACGCTGGTGAAAAATTACTAACGTTAGCTTACTGCAAGTGCGTATTGCACCCTGAATGAAATTCAACAGGTCCGAAGTTCGACGTTCAATTGAATGGCCAGAAGTGATTCGTATGCAGTTTCTCATGGGTGACAACGCGGCTATAATCGCGCACTGATTCATATGGACGTGCTGGACAGAATCCGCAGGCCACATGATGACGAAGGCATTCGAATCTCGATCGACGACTGTCGATTTAGTACTATTTAGTGGTGATCACTCTCACATCATATATTGCTCTTTGTGCCCAGGCTGTGTTATGAGCCGATTTGCACAGGTGAGTTGAGCTTACCGGAGGCCCTGCTCACTGCTCACAATTGAATAAGATCGGGAAAGATATCCGACTCGGATACCAAGCACGCCGAGCCCATGCGTGTCCTTGATTTCATCAGATACCAAGTGGTGACGGATATTTTGAATCAGGTAACTTACTTTTCTTCTCCCCCCCACGTTCCTTTTGTATTGCGACAATTTCAAAAATCTCGTAGGCAGAATCATGATGGTTACGACTTACGAGTCTATCTTTCTTTCCCCACTCTCCCCCAGCCAGTTTCTCTCACACTCCAAGTGATGAAATCCAAATTCCGGGAGGAACTTCAAGATGAGAACTCGAAGCAAGCATGCCGCAAAGTGGAGGTCACCCGAAAGCAGTAATTCCTGACTGAACTTGCGAAGATTCTGTGCAATACGAGAAAACCCTCGTGCGTAACACGGCAACATGCGGCTGTAGAATAGAGTCTAGACGCATAAACTGCGCATTGCCGTCGGATGTCATCAAATCCAGCACCCATTTACAGTGTGAATTGATTGATAATTCGCACCAAGGTTAATAACATCATGCGCTGCTTACGACGCATCGAACGCGCCATACAAGTAATATAGATCTAAGGGCTGTACAGAGTACATACTACACAGAAGCAATACTTACGATAGATAACGATATGCTTCGTCAAAATCGGGATCATTGAAGACACCACCAGGCGCAAATGGATATTGCTCGTCTGGTACCCACTCCCCATATGTAGTCTGGTTCCTAACCATGTCGTCTTCAATAATTTGATACCCTCCGATCTCTTCACCGGCATCCGCGGAGCATACTTCAAGGTGTATGTCGATGTTACACACACGTGGCGCACCGCTCTGCTCGCGTTCCCTCACCACAAAATCGAGAACGCTTTTTGTCTGTTCTTCAGTGCAAAACATTTCTATGGACTTGAGAGCACGGCAAGGTATGGTGCGCGTACAGGCGTCCGCAAAAGGAGTCTGGGTGGGTAACAGAGCTACGAGCGCATTTGGGGTGCGAGATAGCGACAGGTGACAGAGTTTCGGGACGACGGCCATCAGGAGACTGAACGGGATCATGCATGCAGCAACGCTATTGAGCGACAATCGCTCAAGGTGTGGGAACGGCGTCTTGACCGTCTTGGCGACGGAATCTTTGGACGTGGCTAAATAGTAGTTGTACAGTCCATGATTCGAGCCAGGTTCCGTGGAGACGTCCCACAGATCAAGAAAGCCGGTTGCGAGATAAGCTAGGAGAGGGCCAGAGTCCTCGACATCAGGACTGGTAATTTGATTGGCATCTTCGATGGAAAGTGAGATGAGGTTAGGGGCATGGATATGACTGAGAAGCATGGCAGCATCGTTGGCATTGGTATACCCCAAGTGAATCTCTTCAAGCAGGGGAAGTGATACTGGAAGATCACTGTGTTGCACACCTGCATCAAACCTCGGCCCAGAGACCCTGATCACGAGTTTTCGCAGGAAAGGACAAGCCCTCAGAATTCCTGTAAACTCATCAACTGTCGGCCTGACTTCACGGCAGTGCTGCGAAAGCTCCAATGATTGAATGCATGAGAGTGTCTCACTGAAGCCTGCGCCAAGAGTATAATGAGAAAACTGCGTCCAGTTCAGGTGAACACCGACAAGAGTTAGGTTTCGCAGCTTCGGAAGGGGATGTGATTGTGATTGTGCAGAGAGATCATGGTGAGGCGCGCCTGTCAAAGCGGCAAATGGTATCCCGCTGAAAGTATGTTGAGTGCGTGGAGAAAAGGTGTCCAAGTGACCTAAGAACTCGTTGCATCGCATGAGCATCAGAGTTTCAAGGCGCGGAGCACCCGAGCCCTTTGTCATGGTGGGCACACTAAGACATTCAAGAGCGACACGAAGAGGTGCCCACGTATCACTGAGGATTGTCAGCGAACGCCACCTGTACATCTGGGGGAACAGAAGGGCGAGGATCTGAGGGATGATGGTGGCATATGGGAAGCATGTTGCATTGTGAGTTGAGCATTCTTCCCTGAGCGCGAAGATGTTGGGACTGATGTGAGCTTCAAACAAAGCATGACTTACTCATCATCTTCAAAGTCCCATTCTGGATCTCGAGTGTCGATAAGAACGTCCACCGAAGAGTTTCGTGACCGCGCGATATGAGTGGCCAAGCGCTGCACATCAAGGAAAGTAGTATATGCGCGTTCGTCACTTGCATCTGGTCCAACTTGGACACGAACAACCTGCCCAAGACTCATTACGAGGCTTGTCCATAGCGTCGAGGTGGAAAGTGCAACATTTCTCCAGTGGCGATGTACAGACGCGAGTACAGTTGGCATTGTGACACTTTCGGGACTGAAAGGAACCTGATATCTTCGTTTGTAATCATTGTTGGTGGACACGGCATCATGGGTAGCCAGCGTGAATATGTAGGATAGTATTTCAACTGGGAGGACGTTGATATTACATGGGCGGTGAATCTGGTAGTTCATCGTGGATGGAGAGCAGAAGAGGATTGCGGTCGAGTTGGCCGTTCATAGCATACTTACGCCTACTTAAGCAAGGCTGCATTTCTGCGATAGAACGTGATACAGCGATGCCACTCCCTTTGTTTCACCTGTCATAAAGACAAAAGAGAAGGGGAATCTAATTGTCATGAGAGCGTGCCGTACGGTATCACGCAACAGTAATTGTTTCGGTCGGATCCGACCGAATGCGAATTGCTTCCGTGCTAGTGGTGACGGTCTATGGCTTATTCAAATACTGTGGTAGCTACAATATGAACGATTTGTTAGTAGACTGCAAATGGACTCTAACAAAAGCGTGTCCAATTTTGACGACAATGTAAGCTCGCTTGCATGCCATCAGACTTCACTACTAGCATTATTCCTTCTCTCGTTCGTCTGCATTTGCGAGGGCTGTCCACATTGTACAACTTCTGACACCATCAACATCGATGATGTTTGCGTCTCGTAGACATTTTCATGACTACTTCGAAGGTGGAACATAATTCGTGAGGCTAGGACGCTGTGAATGACAAGTTGTAGCCTAAATGGCATCAGTAAGTTCATAGTCCGCAGCCGCAGTTCAACCGGTGACATACGTATCAAAGATATTTGTATAGCCAACCTGCAGCCGAGCAACAAAAGACAAGTCATTGAATGGCTGGAGTTCAATAGACATGCACACGCACCGGAAATACTGCGTCAATAACCACATTGGTGACTGTGACGGCTTTGCGAAACGTCGGAATTACACAACAATAAAGTCGAAGCAAATTGTTTCCACGTACCGATGATGCACAACATGTAAAACATGCTACCGCCATAAACGTTGGTTATGATGGAGTTCTTAATTCTTCGGTATTCGCTGAACTTCTTATACGCCGTAAGGGTCAGTATCACTGTGAGGTTTTTGCTTGTGAGTAAGACGGCCCACAGTCCCCTTACATAGTAACTGACCACATTCAAAAAGTGCCAAAAAAGAATATACTAATGCAGCATTTCTTGACGACTCAAAGCTTGGCCCAGGTATAGTGGACACATCTGATATAGCTATATTAAAATGACACGTGTTGGTAATACGAACGAACTCACCTGCTGAAATCAACTGGTGATTCGGAAGGATGTTTATGGAAACGGCAGCGATCACTGTCACCTACTGGAAAGTTAAAAGTGTATGCTCCAGGCCCGTGAAACACGCACCACGCTATAAGTTACTAATCCAATCAGCACCCTTTTGCTCCTTTTCCAGAATGCCCACGTCCGAATAACCAACAAGCCTGTCATAAAAGTATGATCTACCCTGCTCTTCGTACGGGTGATACGGGCAAATCGCACCTTCCGCAGCAATGATACTTACGATATGAATGACTGGAAATCACGTTGTTAGGTTGAGTGACAATTAACTGGGCGACGACTTACTGTTTTCTGCCAGACTGGGGGCCGGCTTTATGTCATTCAATCAGCTTATCGGTTAGAAGCCATCTTCTGCATGCTTACCGGCCCGCTGCTGACACGCAGTGCAGCTACGACAGCCGTCAACAATACCCAAAAGATAAGGATAGTCAAAGCAGGTGACTCACCATATGTAGTCAATCCAGAGCCTATGAAAGGTAGATACCGGGATATGGTGAAAATGACACGAGTTATATCCCATGGCCTAAACCAGGTCCACTCTACCTGTAGACAGTGATGAAAATTACAGCCACGGGCAGATTATCTTAATCTTGACCTCATCTTGGAACGTGATGCAGAAATCGAATATCTGAGATGCCGAAAAGAGTCATTAAGCTCGTATTACAATGAACGGGCTTAGATGCTTACGAGAATTGCGAAAGCGCCAACTAGTGATACAACGTCGTCAGCCGCCGCTCCTTCACGCGCACGGACGATCCAAAACAAGTACTTACTATTGGAAAACTAGTAAAGAGAACAAATCAGTAATGTCGAGTTTATCAACCTGCGATCTTCGCATACCTTGGATACCTGGATATCTGCAACCTCCGAAAATGAAATAGAAGACATCTGGAAACAAAAAAAAATAGAACGTTATGCCCTCTATTAGACCTGCCTGCAAGTCATGGAGGGACCAACGTCGCCGCAAACCCAACTTAAGTACGACACACGTATGATTGAGCCTCCAATCCGGTTCTGGAGACTCAGTCATAATCATCATCATGAAATGCAGCGCCTTTAGATCGATCTAGCACAGCACTTGAGAGGGCCAAAATAGAAACTCATTCTTTTACGATATGGTGATCGCGACGCCTACAAGAACATTCGTTTAGTGTTGCTGTGCAGTCTGATGCGTAGTGCACTACGAAAACGTTACGCCACCGTTGCAACTGCTATGGTACTTGCTGAAACGTTCCAAACTTGAGCGTACTGTCGCTACTACTACTAATCAGTAATACAACTTGCTTGTTGCTGGCCGCCTGCTCTGGACTCTACATCAGTGCCTTGAATTACTTCACATGATTATATGAACCCACAGTCCTCGATGTAGTGAACTGCAGCACGCACTGAAGTATGTATATATCATTCCCACCCCGCGGGCCGAGTCCTCCAGATTTCATATTTGGGCTTCTGGATCTTGAATCGAGGCGTAAAAACAACCGCTGGAAGACATTTCCATCTGATCAAATTTTCAGTAAGTCAGTATAGTGTCGCAGCAACTTGTTGCCCGTAGTGAGATGGTTAGGCTGCACGGCATTTATTTGCGCACTCAGCACTATGTTTGCAGAAGTCAGCTCAGTTGAAAACTATCAGTGACGCATCGATGCTAAAAATATCAAGTGATGGTTGTGGTACATATGCTCATCCAACTGGAACGAGTATCGCAATGAAGGAGATCCTGATTATGATGAGCTTGGCGTGATCCACTTTCCGAAACAGTCCTAGTTAACAATCACCTTAGTGCGGGCCAGATTTCAGTGAGAGAAACTCAGAAGCGATAGCTAATTTGAATCCCACTGGCATGGAGGACCGAGAAAGCGAAGAAGGGCGGCACCAACTACGTTTTGAGATGATGCCTGCGACTGCACAATTAGTCGTGTGGAAGAAACATCGTATGGGAATCAGACTACAATGTCATATCATATAAAATTAAAAAATATTCAAGTTGTCGCGGCAATTACCGCAGTAGCGGCACAGCGTTATTGTTACAATGTGAACGTTTATGATCACTCTCATCAGTTCTCTGTTACAATGCGTACAGCTCTTCGTTTATCGTGCAATCCTCCTCGCTCAAATTTGCCGTCTTGTTGAATGTCTGGGATACGCTTCACTAGCACCACGATTGAAAGTGACCCCACAAGAACTCGATGCTTGCCATATAATCCTTACCATTGCGGCATTCAGGAAGTGCTTCGCAATGGGCCGAATCCTTGCGAAAGTGTGCATTCTGTGGAATGCCCTGCTCTTCAGCCTTGCAGGCTTCTTGTTATGGCTATTTTTGTTACTAATATCGCACCCTAGAACGTGCCTCTGCTGTGCAAATCTGATGCACACTGTAAATGAGCCTATGGGTGTCTCGTGGCTTCTGTCCCGTTGACTCATTGGCCCTGCACGATTTGGTGTTGATGTTTTGTTTCCTTTTCTATAATCCTTCAGGACTTTACAGGTACTGCAGTGTTTTATGACCTCCGGCACACATCTTATTCTCAAGTGTTAGTTTAGATCCATCCCTCAGCCATCATTGTGGTCCGTCATCGACATGTCACCTTTGAGTATTCAAGCTAATCAGAATCAAACTCAAATTCAGACTTTGCAGCGTCATCATGTAAACTTCTCAAATCCTTCAGTAAAGAAATCATTGCTACCAGTACCGAGCTCTTGAAAGGGAGAATGAGTCAGGCACCGATGACGATAACATGACGAACAGTTCAAAACGTCTATAATCGTAAGTCGTCATGTTGTATAGCACATGTATGGACTTAGTTTCGGTTCTTCAGCCAAAAAATGACAGGTAAGCATATGGTGCACTGATCATCTAAATGCCTTACAACGTACTCATTTTAGTGGGGAGCCAAGTTACCTAGAACGCACCCAGGGCCCGGGAGATATATACTGCAGTGGCGTGCAACGAGTCATCATTACTGGTATGTAATATCCATCTTCGCTCAGCTCGCACTGACTATTTCCCTCAAGCTATTTGCGCAACTGATCTCACTCTTGGTCTACAACGGATCCCTGCTGGCTTTTATGCGGTGGTCAAGGCTGACGGTACCGAATACCAGACAAGGAATAAAGCTGTACACGTCGTCAAATGGCATGAGCTTATTTTTCTGTAAGTCGCCCTTAACTCCGTCTGTACTGCAGCTATCGAGAATTAATCTAGCCCGCTTTGTGTGCTCTTCGTAGCGGTGATGTGTGTCGTGCTGTCGAGTTGTTGGAACGAGGCAGGACTATCATTTGGACACGGATGACGTGGATCCGCACCCTCTTGAGAGCCCCCGGGCACGCGGCAATCGTGCAGCGGCCCTGATAAGAGACCTCAGCACCCTCCTCGATAAACATCCTGCGAACTATTGAGGAACAACCTCAAGAGCCAATGTAGAAGCTAAATACATCCGGTACAGACGTCTAGTAAGGACTAGAATAGAGCTGTAGAAGAGATCGAGGACTTCTCTCGCTTTCTCCTTCCCACCTTATTCGCCGTTCTTCAAGATGCAGCACGTGATGGGCCTATCATCCTGCCGATCGCAAGCGAGCCGTCTTGCTATGCTATCATCATTCGCACAAGGGACCTCCGACTCTACCTACAAATCTTGAGAAACTCCTGAAATTGGTGCCCACACTCCAAAGAGCGATTAACAAAAGGCTGATTCTAAAGGGAACCAATCAGCGCTGATAAAAGCCGAGAGAGAGAGTTATGAGACGTCGACATGTGCCCAGTGGTCGAGAATCTGGATGAATTTGCACAACGAGGTTCCCGAATATGGTGGATGCCCGACGTCTATTCATTTCTTGCCGTTGCACGCTGCTGGCGAGTGCAGGGCCAAAAGGAAGTCCCTCTCGCAGCAATATATTTCTTCACATACGCCATCGCTCACCGCGCTGATCAAGGCTCGCGGAAGTCATTACAGGTCCTCGTCGGTGCCCTTCGTTGCTATTGGCCGGGATTGCCCGGCCAGTGCCTCATTCATTTTGGATGCTGTGAAGCCTGAGCTGGAATTGGTGCGGAGACTTTTGCCCCCTCCCACAACTGTTTCCTTCAAGATAACCAGTGTTGATGCCACGAAATGTGCGCATTTGGGAGACAATACTTGGCTGCATCTTGCGTGTCACGGGACACAGAACCCTATGGGTCGGCCTTTCTTATGCCAATTCATAGATTGAAAGCCAAGGATCGCGGTCAACTTGACCGTTCATGTCGTACCTACGCCTACTTAAGCAAGGTGCATTTCTGCAATAAAACGTGATACAGTGATGCCACCCCCTTTGTCTCAGCTGTCATGCAACACAAAAGAGAAGGGGATATAATTGTTATGAGAGCGTGTGTACGACATCACGCAACGGTAATTGTTTCGGTCGGATCCGACAGAACGTGAACTGGATAACCGTAAGTGGTGTCTATGGCAAGTCCTTTGAACTTATTCAAATACATTCATAGCTACAATGTTCGAACGCTTCAAATACTTATAGAAATGGGTTCTAACAAAAGCGTGTCCAATCTTGACGGTGAACCAAGCCCGCTTGTACGCCATCAAACACCACTACTAGCATCATTCCTTCTCTCTGAGTCGTTCGTTTGCATTTGCGAAGGTTGTCTGTATTGTATAGCTTCTGACACCATCGACGTCGAAGATGCGCGCATCTCGTAGATCAGGTCGTGACTACTCCGAAGGTGAAACATAATTCGTGAGGCTAAGACGCTTTGGATGACGACTTGTAACCTAAATGCGGTGAGTTCATGGTCAGTAGTCACAGTTCAGCCGGCGACATACGTATCAAACATGTTTGTATATCCAATCTGCAGCCGAGTAACAAAATATGAGTCGTTGAGTGACCGAGGTTCAATGAACATGCACACGCACCGGGAGAACTGCATCAATAATAATATTGGTGACTGTGATGGCTTTGCGAAACGAATTACACAGCAATAACGTTGAAGCAAACAGTTTCCACGCACCGATGATGCACAGCATGTAAAACACACTTACCACCGTAAAGGGTGGTTATGATAGAACTCTCAAATTTCCGGTAGTCACTGAACTTCTTATACGCAGTGAGGGCCAGTATCACTACCAGGTTTTTCTTGCGGGTCAGATGGTCAACAGTACGCCCTACATGGTAACTGACCACATTCAAAAAGTGCCAGGCAAGAATATACCAATACAGCGTTTGATACTAGAACTATATTAAAACGACACGTGTTGGTCACAGCAGTACGAACGAACTCACTTGCTGTCAACTGGTCATGTCGAACGACGTTTATGGAAACAGCAGTGATTACTGTCGCCTATTGAAAAGTTAAGGTCTATGCTCCAGTCCCATGGAACACGCACAACACTATAAGTTACCAATCCGATCAGCATCCTTTTGCTCCTTTGCCAGAATGCCCATGTTCGGATAACCAACAAGGCTGTCAAAGAAATATGATCCTACCCTGCTCTTGGTATGGGTGATATGAGAAACTCGCACCTTCCGCAGCAACGATACTTATAATATGAATGACTGGAAATCGCGTTGTCAGGTTGAGGGAAAATTAACTACTGGGTGACCACTTACTGTTTTCTGCCTGACTGCGGGCTGGCTTTGTGTCATGCAGTCAGCTTATCGTCAGAAGCCATTTCTTTTGCATGCTTACTGTCACCGGCCCATTGAGACTCAGTGCATCTACGACAGCCGTTAACAATGCCCCAAAGATAAGGATAATGAAAGTGGATGAGTCACCATATGCAGTCAATGCAGAGCCTATGAAAGGCAGATATCGAGATGCGACAAATATGACACGAGTTATATCCCATGGCCTAAACCAGGTCCACTTCACCTGTAAACAGCGATAAAAACAACAGTTACGGACAAATTATTGTAATCTTGACCTCATCTTGGAACGTGATGAAGAAATCGAATGTCTAGAACGCCGAAAAGAGCCGTCGAGCCAGTACATCAATGAACGGGCTTGATGCTTACGAGAAGTGCGAAGGCACCAACTGACGATACAATGCAGTCAGTCGCTGTCTCCTTCACGGACGATCTAAGATCACTTACTATTGGCAAACTAAATCAAAAAGAAAGTTAGTAACGTCGCAGATATCAAGCTGCGATCCTCGCATACATTGGATATCTGCAGATCCGCAACCTCTGAAATCGAAGACATCTTAGAAACAAAAGTAAATCGTTATGCCCTCTATTAGACCTGCATGCAAGTCATAGAAGGACCAACGTCGCCGCAAACCTCACTTAAGTACGGTTATCGACCCACATTGGGGTTGGGGTTCCACGGGCGGGAGCTGCGCACTCGGGGCTCCTTCCCCGGTTCTCACATTACTGTCTCTGAAGGACTGTCGAGCACAAACGAAATCACATGCGTCAGTCAACGGGTGTACAAAGCTGTGCCCTTGAATGCGGCTTCCTCCGATTCTCCTCTTTGATAAGTAATATTGCTCTGGACTGTGTATCAGTGCTTTCATGAAGAACTTCACATGATAATATAAACTTACACATGTGCAGTTCTTGGTGTAGCGAACTGCAGCCATGAAAACTAATTTGTCGTGCGTTCCAATTACAGATTTTGGCTTTCTGGATTCTGAAATGATAGGAAAATTTGCCATTAACGCGTATAATACAGTGTGAGTCTGCAATATGACGTGCAAATGACCGCTGAAGGTCCATGCCTGGTTTTGACATTGTCTGAGCAAATTTCCAGCAAGAAAGTAGTGTTGCAGGATGTTGTCGCGGGTGTTGTGGGACATGAATTTGATAACATAGCAAGAGACTGCAGTGTGATGGTTAGGCTGTGCGGCATTTACTCACTCACTCTACTTGCAGAAGTCAGCTCAGTTGGAAACTATCGGTGGTGCTTGGATGCTGGGAACCATCAGGATGGCTGGGCTCATGATACTGGACCTCCATCCCACTAAAACCGCGAGGATCGCAATGAAGGAGATCCTGATTATGATGAAAAAGAGCTTGATGTGATCCAAAAGTTAACAATCAGGTAGCGAGACCGAGAAAGCGAAGTTGACATTGACCGCGTCTTGAAATGATGCACGCGACTGCGTGTCACTCCTTTAGAAAAAGAAAAATATCATGGTATGGGAAGGAATCAAACTAAATATTGTAATATGAAAGATTGTAAGTTTAGCGACAAGGGTGAGAGGTAGTCGCGGCAGTTGCCGCAGCATTTCCACGGGCTTCTGAATCAACTCGTTTGGGTGAATGTTCATGGCACTCTGTCTGTGATAAGTTCCTCCCTCGTCCTCTTTCCCAACTGGAATCTGAACTCCTGCCATGGCGTCTGACACACACAATCCCGAGGCCGACATTTTTGCGCTATGATTGATTGTTAGGTTGGAAGCTGAACAGCTCTACCTCCAACTCGGAAGGATCCATTACTTGACGTCCTCAAGGAATTGACGTGTTGAAATAGAACGCCTCGGTAATCCAGGAGAAAAGTAGGTTCATAGAACGTATTGGTTGTGATTACTGCCTCACGAGTGTTTTCCTCAACCCTCCAGCAAACTTGCCTGTGGGACTTTCACTTTGATCGTTGCTACTAAGCGCCTTCCTGCCTCAATTGTGAAACATAGTTTTTTGATAGTCTTCTTGACTGGAATTGCAAACTAAATTATTACAGATACTCTGTTCTCCGATGCTCAAGATGCAGTCGACCAAGTCCGAAGATATCGATTAACTGAAACCCGCGGAACGTCGCGATACGTATAATCACGGTGCTTGGAACGTGTCCGAAGGCATGCACTCGCCATAGAATAAAAAAATTTCACTCCAAATTGCGTAGCTTTCAACCGTGTAATGCACATGTCTGGGTATACGTATAAGTAGCATTGGAGTGCAGCAGATTGCAGTAAGCTAGAATAAATTTTTGATTAAGTCCATCCCCGGGCCGCAATGCGCAGTATTGTTAAGTTGCCTGCATGGTCACCTGCTTGTAACAACGTGTGCTGAAAATATCAACCGGAAACGAACACGTTATATTATGACCGTGGCCGTCAAACAGTAAAAATTGTCACCGGAGATGATCCAAGGACCGATTGAGCGGCTCGTCATACGTGCACGTTGACAAAGGTTCGTCGACAACTTGGACTCTCTCCTTCACCTCCGTTCTCGACAACGTCAACCCGAGAGTCTAATCCACACTTCACTCGTAATTCGAAGGTGATCGGGGTCCCAATTACATACTAGGCCAAAATTGGTGCGACACTGCACAGTAGCTCTGCTTGCTGCGAAGGAGCCTGAGTTACATCAAGCTCGTCTTTCTACTTGTCGTTCTTTCCCCAATTTCCGTCCTGCCGTGCTGGTTCTCGGCCCCAGGGCCCTTTCACAATACCCCTTGTCACTAATTCATCATTTCAATGTCTTTATTCAAGCGCAATCCGCCATCGTCCGACATTGACGAGAATGATACCATAGACCCACAACTTCGTCTCCGTACAGTGCACACAGCAGCTTCCACTATTGCGGAATCTATACGTTCAGAAATTAGAGCTCACAAGAGGCGCACTATTGCCAACAAGAGATCCTTGTTTTTTCGCAAGAATGCAAAGAAATCAAAGACCTCGGAACCAGGCCCATCAACGGTTCAATTACCTGAGGCTCCCTCAGCCCCGCAATCGCGGATCCCAGGCGCGCGGAGGAACATATACGTCAATCAACCGCTCTCTGCTATGGAGACTGACCATCATGGCGAACCGCTCGCCCTGGTATGCGCGGAACAAAGTTCGCACAAGCAGTATGTTTCATATTGAGATTTCAGTTCCGATTCGAGTGTAATATTGCTCACAGGATACACACTCTTGACCTTTCTGCCAAAGAACTTATTCGAACAATTTCACCGGTACGTGTCACTGTCCATGCAACAGTAACCTCATTGATTGCCCCTAGAATCGCCAATATTTACTTTTTAGCGCTGGTCATCTGTCAACGTGAGTACAACTCATCTCTATCACCAGAGCAGTGCTTTGTGGAGCAACAATTGCTAATGAGACTTGCCCAGTTTTCTCCATCTTCGGTGCCACGTCGCCACAGACTGCAGCTCTCCCGCTGTTGTTCATCTTAGTCGTGACAGCAGTCAAGGATGCTGTTGAGGATTATAGACGAGCCAAACTCGATGAAGAAGTGAACACCTCCGCAGTAACGCGACTCGGGCAATGGCGCAATGTAAATCAGGCCCTTGATCCCCGACCTTGGTACCAACGACTGCTCCATATAAATGCTCCTGGAAAAATCACTCGTGGAGTGCAGAAATTACGGGAGAAGGAAGCAGGCGAGGGAAAGCAGATCATCTTGAGCAAGAGCGGTGAGGATAGGGTCAGCATGAGCACCGCAGACATGAATGATAGCATCGCGGTCTTGGGCGGGTCTCACCTTCCTACGGGGGCAGGTGGCCGGCAGTTGGAGGACATTGAAGGCAGTGTGGGCAGCGTGGACTTACATACCTACCCTCCAGGGCTCTCCGAAAACGAGCTTAGAGGATGGGATCAACACAGTATGTCCCTATCAAACTATATGCAATCATCTCCTTCACGGTCATATCTGGGCGTGGTAGATTGGAGCAGGCGCACCAACGGGACAGCCCGCTGGGAGAGGACATTGTGGAAGAAGTTGGAGGTCGGCGACATCGTGCTTCTACGGGAAGATGAGCAGGTTCCTGCTGATATCGTCGTATTGTCGACATCCGATGCAGGCGGACTGTGTTATCTCGAAACCAAGAACCTTGATGGCGAAACAAACCTCAAGGTACGGAAGGCAATACAGGCCACGGCATCCCTTAGTTCAGAAGAAGACATCGAAAAATCCTCCTTTGTTCTCGATTCAGAACCTCCGCACCAGAACTTGTATGTCTACAACGGGGTCCTACGATATACAGACACTACCACGGGCGAACCTCGTAGAGAGGGTGTCACTATCAATGAACTGCTCCTTCGCGGCTGCACCGTACGCAACACCGCGTGGATTATCGGACTGGTCGTCTTCACCGGCCCGGACACCAAGATATACTTGAACGGTGGACAGACTCCATCCAAGCAATCGAAGATCGCGAAGGAGACAAACTTTAATGTCATAATGAACTTCCTGTTCTTGGTCATCATCTGTTCTGTGTCAGCGACTATCAATGGAGTCATGGACGGGCTAACGGCCACAAGCACATATATATATGAGTCAGGTGTTCAACCCACCAGTTCCAATGCCCTCAATGCACTCGTTACTTTCGTGTATGTCCTTATAACGTCACCTGAATGCTCGCTAATTTCCTTTCAGGTCGTGTCTTATCGCCTTTCAGAACATCGTCCCAATCTCCTTGTTCATCTCTATCGAGATTGTCAAGACCATCCAAGCTTACTTCATTGCTCAAGATTTGGATATGTACTACAAGCCCTTCAACACCGCATGTGTCCCAAAGAACTGGGGTATTTCTGATGATCTCGGACAAATCGAATATGTGTTCTCCGACAAGACTGGAACGCTGACACAAAACGTGATGGAGTTCCAAAAGTGCTCGGTGCACGGAGTCATATATGGAGAGGGCGTCACAGAAGCGCAGCGCGGGGCTGCAACGAGGGAAGGCCAGGCTGATACAGTAACACCAGAAGAGCTGGCAGAAAAACTTGCAGTGCTCAAGGATTCCATGGTTGCCAAGCTAACAAAGTTATTCAAGAACCGCTATATGCAAGTCAACAAACTCACGCTCGTGTCACCCAAGCTTGCAGAGGACCTCGGAGACCGCTCGACGGAACAATATTCTCATATCGTCGCGTTTTTCCGTGCCTTGGCTGTGTGCCACTCGGTATTGGCGGATAAGCCTGAGCCACAGGAGCGCCCTTACCACTTGGAGTACAAGGCTGAGTCCCCTGATGAGGCGGCGTTGGTTGGTGCTGCGCGGGATGTGGGATTTCCTTTTGTGGGCAAGCACAAGGACACGATTGACATTGAAGTGCTTGGTCAACCTGAGCGGTTCACACATATCAAAACGCTCGAGTTCACTAGCACACGTAAGCGCATGAGCGTCATCGTCCGTGCATCAGATGGACGCCTCATCTTATACTGCAAAGGCGCGGATAGCGTAATATACGAACGCCTGGCTGCGAATGTGGACCCTGCTTTGAAGGAGAAGACGACCAAGGACATGGACTTTTTCGCTAACGGTGGTTTGCGCACGCTCTGCATTGGTTATAGAGTGCTCGCGGAGGATGAGTTCTTGAGGTGGCTGCGGACGTATGAAGATGCTCAGTCGGCTATCGACAACCG